AAATATTCACGGCCGTGCAATACCATTTTCACAGAGTCGTAAGAGTGTGATTTTAAAGCGCCATAAAGTTGACATAGATCTAGATAAAATATGGAGCTCTAGATTATTACAAAATCATACAATAAGAATGAGATATAATTCGGTTATGGAAATAGGACTGTAGAATGACACACTTTTATACTGTGATTTACAATAAGAAAAACAATATCAATATCTTACCAATTGGAGCGTTATCTAGCACTCTAAGGTCATATTTTCCATCATTTCCCGCTCTATAACGGAGTTCTCGTCCGTTGTCCCATATCACGGTCACTTTGTCGTCTGATGACCCTTCCTTAGGTACATAGATAATGGTTCCTTGAAAAGTAAATTGTAGCAATTGAGGTTCCAAATGCTCTCTATGAAAAATATCAGGGGTGAAATTGCCGTGCACACATTTTTTATATATATTTTTGTAACCTGATACTGTTACGTGAGCTGAATAATCTTTTTGATTTATATTGTGCATTTATTGAAACTACATGTACATGAAAATGGAGTTTCTATTCTGAACAAGAATTTGTAACAGTTACCAACGTCCCCAGCCTCAGGGAAGTTTTATATGAAGCATAAGATTGTGCTATTTCAAAAGATTGAGGTATGGATCTCATGACTTTCAGTCCAAAATTATGACCAATGCTAGATCTGCAAATGCAACAATAAATTTATTTAAGAAATAAAATGAAACGCAGATTTTAAAAATCTATCCCTAAGTGTAAGCTTGGCCTCGAAGGTAGGGGTGCAGGTGTTGTCTTATTATTGTAGCTATTTGTGCCATGTATTTTCAAAATCCCTTGAACTATGACGAAGTTCTAGATCGGACACAAAATATACCCTATAACAGACTTTTCAGGCTCAATCAAAACGAGCCTGCAACATTTTCAATTATGTTGTGTTGGACTTTCTTTAGGGATTCTTGCTTTCTCTATTTGTTAATCCTTGACCTCTAAGTGTGACCTTGGCAGTAGGGACCCAAATTTTGTGCAAAGTATTTTAAAATCCCTTAATCTATGAAAAGGTTATGCACTGGACACAAAATATATCCTATAACAATGTAAATATTTGACCTCTAAGTGTGACCTTGACCTTGTAGGTACGGACACAGATGTTATGCATGACATATCACCTTATCATTCTGACTATTTGTGCCAAAATCCCTTGAAATATGAAGAAGTTCTAGATCGGACACAAAATATACCCTATAACAGACTATGATAAATGTTGACCTCTAAGTGTGACCTTGGCCTTGGAGGAAGAGATGCAGGTGTTGCGCATGACACATTGTCTTATTAAAGTGAATATTTGTACCAAGTATTTTTAAAATCCTTTGATCTATGAAAGTTGTGGACCGGACAACAAATATACCCTATAACAGACTATGTAAATCTTTGACCACCAAGTGTGACCTTGACCTTGGAGGTAGGTAAACAATTGTAGCAAGTATTTACAAAATCCCTTCAAAGATACAAAAAGTTATGGACCGGACACGACATATACCCTCAAATAGACAATGTTGACCTTAAATGAGCAAGTGCGACCTTGACCCTGGAGGTAGGAGTCTGGTTGTTGCGCATGACACATCGTCTTATTATAAAAAAACATTTGTGCAATGTTATTTCAAATTCCTTTGATAAATGACAAAGTTATGGACCGGACACGAACGTATGACGGGCTTCCAGACGGACAGACGAAAGGACGGACGGAGCCTATTTCTACATACCCCTTTTTTCTTCGAAAAGGCGGGGGACAAAAAAAGGCATGTTTTATGTGCAGTAACATATAAACGAGACAAAATGAAAGGATCATTTCTATGATTGTAGAACTCGTGTATAACTTTTAATACCTTTCATTTGGTCGTTGATATTTGGAAATCAATGATGGCTGCCATATCAATCAATGTGTAAATAATATTTTATCAACTAGCACTAATTTCTAATGTGCATATATGCATTTTCAAAATGAATGTGTATAAACTGACTTATAATAAGCTCAGAGCAAGTATAATGAAAAGTAAAGGTAAAAAATGAAGGTTAATGGTGTCCATTTTTATTTGGACTTTTAAAGGTCTGCCGAGGTAGGACAAAAATGGATTTAGCGTATCGGAAATATGTAAAACAATTTGACAGCCTGCTCGTTCTAAAAATATTGTTCAACTCTTAAAAGAGGGTCTTTTTAGAAAATCAGACCGGGCTAAATCACCATCATCAAGATACAGTTACAGGTGATACACGTGTTTTGGAAGATATAGTTACAGGTGATCCACGTGGTTTGAAAGAAACAGTTACAGGAGATACACGTGTTTTAAAGATATACGCTGTTACAGGTGATCCACGTGTTTTTTGAAGATACAGTTACAGGTGATCTACACGGTTTGGAAAATATAGTTACAGGGATCCACGTGGTTTGGAAGATATAATTACAGGTGATCCACGTGGTTTGGAAGATATAGTTACTGGTGGTCCACGAGGTTTGGAAGATATAGTTACAAGTTATCCACGTGGGTTGTAAGATATAGTTACAGGTGGTCCACGTGGTTTGGAAGATATAGTTACAGGTGATACACGTGGTTTGAAAGAAACTGTTACAGGAGATACACGTGTTTTAAAAGATATACGCTGTTACAGGTGATCCACGTGTTTTTGAAGATATAGTTACAGGTGATCCACGTGGTTTGGAAGGTATAATTACAGGTGATCCACGTGGTTTGGAAGATATAGCTACAGGTGGTCCACATGGTTTGGAAGATATAGTCTCAAGTGATCCACGTGGGTTGTAACATAATGTTACAAGTGATCCACCTGGGTTGTAAGATATAATTTCAGGTGGTCCACGTATTTTGTAAGATATAGTTACAGGTGGTCCAGGTATTTTGTAAGATATAGTTACAGGTGGTCCACGTGGTTTGGAAGATATATATAGTTACAGGTGATCCATGTGGTTTGCAAGATAAAGTTACAGATGATCTTCGTGGTTTAGAAGATATAGTTACAGGTGATCATACACGTGTTTTGGAAGATATAGTAACTCGTGATCTACGTGGATTGAAAGATAAAGTTACTGGTGACCTACGTGGTTTGGAAGATAAAGCTTCTCAGATCAATAACAAATCTTCCTTTTGAAATTTTAAAACAGATGTATTTTTACATTGAAATTAAAGTTTTAAATTAAGTTGCCCATGGTGACTGTAAATAAATATTATTCATACACGTATACATGTGAGACCGTCAGATTAAATGTGCATGACCGTCAAATACTATCGTATAAGCTCAAACCATGACAGATATCTTTAAAATAACTAACCGGCATGTCCTAGTCCACCATCTTGTTTTTTACTTTGCCAATCCGGTCCTTGAATAACCCGAATACCTGCTCGGATCTACAATAAATATATTAATAATGAATTAAAACTGTAAACAGAGAAAAAGAAAACGTAACTTTTTCTAACAAATTAAATACGGTGAACTATTTACTGGTTTAACATTTATTTTCTGTGAAATATAGATCTAATTAATGTACATTGTAATTGTAAAAGATACATTAGTATTGAAATCATAAGTTAATCGCGGCATTCAGCTTCTTTGATTTGTTGATAAGTAGTAACAGGAAGTAAAAATGCCAAAGTTAAATTCATTAATCTTGTATGGGCTAGATATTGATCATCGGTGCATGATAATAGCCAAATTGTTATTTGTATTTGATAATCAACATAGGATTGTTTTACAAAAATGGGTGTAGCGGGCTGTTTTTAGTGCATTTTTATTTATTTTTATGTTTTTGTCGTTTGAACGCCGCCTTTCTTGTTGATCTTGTTTATCATATTTTGTGTCGTTCGTTTTTATTTGTGGTGTATTTTCTTCTTTTCTTATCGTAATTTGTTATTGTTGTCGGCGTTTTTTTTCTTGATGATCAACTGGGAATTATTTGAGATAATTTTACTACAAAGTAGCCGCAAAAGCCTGTGGATTTTCTACTTTCGATTTCCGTTCACTTTACATTACGTTATGCGCTTTCGGTTTTGAGGTCAGCTTTGCAAAACAAGTTTTAGTCAGATTTGTAATATTTTTATAATGCAGAAAATAATGATAACATTTTATGCATTATTATATAATTTTATGTCATATTTCTTTTTCATATGTTCTTGTATTTTTGTATAAGTTTTTATGTAATATTTCTTTGTCTTGCGTTTTTCATTTCAACTCTAAATTAGATAACATTTTACACATATTTTGCATTTATTTTAATCAAAGTATATTTCGGCTTAGCAAAACAAACATCCTTAACCATCTTTGTTGAAGAAAACATGCTAAAATATTTTTCACACATTGAAGCCAAATTGTTTGTTTGCTACTGATAGCTAGTCAGACTTCAGCTTTTAGCACCTTTGACATTTCCTCTAACTTCAAAGATTTTGTCGCTCAGAAATCAAATTAAGCCCTTTGGCTTTGCTTAGCAGATTATTAATAACACATTTTTTGTTAAAACTCCTTCTCGGTATTGTTTGGACTGTTTGGCAGATTGAGTAACTCTCCTGGTAGCCTTCCATAAAAAGGACTGTACTTGCAGTCAAAGTTACATTCGCTCACTGTAACTTTGACAAAGAAGTTTATTAATAAATTGTGATTCAACAGTCTTTTAAGTTTGTGGATTTATTATTCCAGGTATGTTGAGTTTCTCATTGTTTATTTTTTTTTCTATTGTTATTCAATGTATTTTTCTATGTCAAGTACAAAACATATTTTTAGTCTAAGTATGTTGTAAAGATTTCTGCTATCATTCTAATAAAACTAATTAATTATTGTTAATCTTTTTATGACAAAAATTTGATATAATTATATATCTCTAGAAGTTGAAAATATAAATGAGATATATGTTATAATTGATTAAAATGAGTTATATGTATAAATAGATAATGGTTTACATCTTGCATTATGTTACTGTATATAAGTGTTTGATAATTCATAAACAATGTGAGTAAAACATGATTGTATGTTCATAAGTATGAATAGGTTCATCTACCTTTCACAGCATAAGCGAGTTCTCTACATAAATAATTCTTATCTAATATTCCCCATAATTATTAAAGTCAATTCTTGTTTAACATCAGTAAAATGCAATTTCCATTATTTTTATCTAAGATGTTAGTTTTCAGTTATCATCCATATTTGCAATGATGTTGTATTTCATGATTGTCTTTAAATTGAAATTTGTATCATTGTATTATATATTTACTGATACATTCGCTCACTGTAACTTTGACAAAGAAGTTTATTAATAAATTGTGATCAACAGTCTTTTAAGTTTGTGGATTTTTTTATTCCAGGAATAATCCTAAGCCGTCCTTAATAGACGCACTATCCCAGTGTTATATTAATTGGTGGGGAACAGTGGTCGTTCTCACATGAACCCAGAAAACCGATATAACTTGCGGCGGCTACAGGAAAACTGACCTGATAGAACCACGTGCTTCAGACTCCAGATCAGAACCAGCAACACCTCCCCGAAGGCAACAGTCAAGCCAGCACACTAGCAACTCGGACAATCAAAGCCCACAAACAGTTGTCAAAGAGATAGAGCTGGATCCAATATGAAAATTGCCAGGAAAAGTCAAAGAAACGGCATGATATTAAAGCCAAGGAACCAACTTTTATCGTAGGTGATTGGGTCCTTCTGAAAAACATGAGAATAAAAAAGGAATTTCTCCAAAGCTCATGCATAAGCATATTGGTCCTTACTATATCAATGGACTCGGACCAAATTTCACATATCGCTTGATTGATTGCAAAACTCAGATTCCTCTGAAAGACTTGATCAATGCATCACGCATCAAAAAGTATGTGAAGCCTGAACCTGTAAGGCAAAAGCTTGCCAAGGCTGCTCAACCTGCTGGGGCCAAAGACTCCAGTGTTGGTCAGTCACCTCCTGAAAAAACCAAAATGGTTAAAGATTCAGTAAAACCCTCTGGGAATTCTGAAGAAGGTGGTAAACATTTGAATTCAGGTTCTATTGTAAAACAGAAAACCATCGATGGACGGAAGCATTACCAATTCAAGGATTCTACTGAATGGATTCCCCTGGAAAAATGCAATCCTGAGGATATTCAAAAACATAACATCCATAAGGCTGAACGTAAGCAGTCTAGGCATGGTATGATGACTCGTAGCAAAGCACGTGTTGCAGAATAATATCAGTAGGATCATTCAATTTTCAATGAAAATTCTGGAACAATTAAGTGGCTTGATGCTTCAGTTCTCTAGTCTAATTGGTATACCAATTTTTAATTTTCAAAATCTTTTTTTTATGTAGTAAGGCCAACCATAACAAATTAACATTTGTTGTCTTATAGTGCTATCAGGTGACTGATCCCCACCTAACCCGGCTACGCTACATACATTTTTTTTTACGTTTATTGTAGGTCCGACTGGAAAACTGAAAGCAATGAAACTACTTCTTTGGGCCATTGTCCTTCTGAATTGTTGTGTTAGGCCTACCACGTGTGCGAAATCATTGTCCAGGCTCAATTATGGAACTGTGTTTAAATTGGCTGCAGATCTGCATCTTTCGAATGACTATTGTTTGCACACTTTAGAGTTGCAAATACCACAATCACTTAGTTTAGACCCACTTGGAACATGTAACAGGAACAATGATACGTGTTTATTAATAAACCATATAGTGGTTCAAATTAACACTATTAGGGCTGAGACATCTGTTCTACTGAACGATACTTTAAATGCAAATAAAATCTGATTGGCCACATATGAAGGATATTTTAATTTTTGTTACCATGAGTGTCACTGTGCTTTCTACATTAATTACGAATTTGTCATTTTGTAAAATAAGGAAACTTTCTGTCGCACTAGTGTTACTTCAGAAAGCCAACTATGTAAAAGGGTTCACTTCAAATGTACCATCTTTTATTTACAAGGCGCCACCTAAACCAGAATCAAGCAACAGTTTTTTTATATTTACTTCAAACTTAACATGGGAACATGCTATTTTCTCATTATGTTTAATACACTTTCTTTTTGTGTTGCTCATATTAACATGCAGGAAATATTCAAACAACAAAACCATGTTACATTTGGAAATAACTTCTGGTGATTCATGCATTATTATGCCTGTAATGCATTTGCCTTTATGTCCTACCTATTGCAAAATCAAAGCACCGTCTGATATCTGTAACTTTGCTTTGCATGGACCATGGTACCAAAAAGTGTTAACCTTTGACTGGCCAAATTTTATCATTACTGACTGTCGTAATAACATGCCAGTCTTGGTGCCAAACAATATCAGTCTCAGTTTGAAACAGTACTTCAAAATACGCTCTATTTTGAAGAAACCCTTCTTTGTTTATGTACACATTCAACATAAGGGGTTCTTAATGCCAATAAATGACCGAATTCAAACTGATTTCACCTCTGATACTCTTTAGAGAAGCTACATTATAGAGTCTAACCAGTCTTTGCATTTGGCCACAAATATGTTCATGTTTCCTTGTGTTATATCACTTGTATATTTACATGTATATATGTTCTTTTGTTGTTTCATTTCAACTTTGGAGTCCAAAGTTAACGGACCATAGGAGACTTTTATAATGCAGAAAATATGATAACATTTTATGCATTATTATATAATTTTATGTCATATTTCTTTTTCATATGTTCTTGTATTTTTGTATAAGTTTTTATGTAATATTTCTTTGTCTTGCGTTTTTCATTTCAACTCTAAATTAGATAACATTTTACACATATTTTGCATTTATTTTAATCAAAGTATATTTCGGCTTAGCAAAACAAACATCCTTAACCATCTTTGTTGAAGAAAACATGCTAAAATATTTTTCACACATTGAAGCCAAATTGTTTGTTTGCTACTGATAGCTAGTCAGACTTCAGCTTTTAGCACCTTTGACATTTCCTCTAACTTCAAAGATTTTGTCGCTCAGAAATCAAATTAAGCCCTTTGGCTTTGCTTAGCAGATTATTAATAACACATTTTTTGTTAAAACTCCTTCTCGGTATTGTTTGGACTGTTTTGGCAGATTGAGTAACTCTCCTGGTAGCCTTCCATAAAAAGGACTGTACTTGCAGTCAAAGTTACATTCGCTCACTGTAACTTTGACAAAGAAGTTTATTAATAAATTGTGATTCAACAGTCTTTTAAGTTTGTGGATTTATTATTCCAGGTATGTTGAGTTTCTCATTGTTTATTTTTTTTCTATTGTTATTCAATGTATTTTTCTATGTCAAGTACAAAACATATTTTTAGTCAAAGTGTGTTGTAAAGATTTCTGCTATCATTCTAATAAAACTAATTAATTATTGTTAATCTTTTTATGACAAAAATTTGATATAATTATATATCTCTAGAAGTTGAAAATATAAATGAGATATATGTTATAATTGATTAAAATGAGTTATATGTATAAATAGATAATGGTTTACATCTTGCATTATGTTACTGTATATAAGTGTTTTGATAATTCATAAACAATGCGAGTAAAACATGATTGTATGTTCATAAGTATGAATAGGTTCATCTACCTTTCACAGCATAAGCGAGTTCTCTACATAAAAATATTCTTATCTAATATTCCCCATAATTATTAAAGTCAATTCTTGTTTAACATCAGTAAAATGCAATTTCCATTATTTTTATCTAAGATGTTAGTTTTCAGTTATCATCCATATTTGCAATGATGTTGTATTTCATGATTGTCTATAAATTGAAATTTGTATCATTGTATTATATATTTACTGGTTATACATTCGCTCACTGTAACTTTGACAAAGAAGTTTATTAATAAATTGTGATCAACAGTCTTTTAAGTTTGTGGATTTATTATTCCAGGAATAATCCTAAGCCGTCCTTAATAGACGCACTATCCCAGTGTTATATTAATATACATACATGTATCTCGTGATAATGAAAATGTTATATATCGATGTTTAACTTATTCTTTTCGGAAATGAATACATATTTATATACATTATTTAGATCTACATTCAACTTATTAAGAAAAAAAACTTACAAAGGCCATAATTTAGTATGTCCAGTCCCACTGTTTATTGCACTAATGAACTAAATTCCAATTTAAGAGTAATTGAAGTTAACTCTGTAAGCACAAATATAATGTCAGAGAAGTAACATGATTGTGCATGCATGAACTCTTTATCACAAATTCTTTGAAAGGAAGTTATTCAAAAAGAAACTACGACCGTTTTCGAAACCCGGAAGGTATGAAATAAATCGAACTCGACTGACGTATATATACTACTTTATAAACTCTTATATCGCTGAACATAACACAGCCGTTTCATTGTCTTTTGAATTGATCGATCTTTACTGTTTTTTATACTTCTCTGTATTAAAATAAAAATATTTACAATAAAACAAACAAATTTAGAGGCTCGCATAATTGACATTACGCCAGAGAAGGGATCGCTCCGCCCACTGATTCACAAGACCCGGTCAGTAAGAACCTTAGCGATGTATTCGCGAAACGTTTATGCCACTAACGTAACCATTGAATTTACCTGAAATAATTTTTGTATATATAAAATTTTGATGCTTTTAATGGTGTTATTGAATAGTAGATCTTTTATTCAATGTATAAATGTATTATTTTTTTTTAAAAATATATAAAAAAATATCTGCATTCACGTATGATGCATGAAACGTTTTGCAAATATCGTGTTATTTCTTGTTGACTTTTATGAAAATTAAAAAATTGGCAAAATATCATTATAATTTATCTTACAAATTCAAATAAGGAGAATATATGAAGAACAGTATATGATTATGTTATGATCATTTTATTTTGAAATAAAAGTAGTGAAACAAGAACAGTAAAATTATATTAGTGACAAAATAAAATTTAATTAAAATCATTTTTCGGGTTATATGTGCAAAATTCAGTTTAGATAATACAGTGTACATTAATTTGTTCATGAATTATTTGAATTGATTCAGAACATTGCATGACCTTGCTATATTTTATGATATGTGATTATGTATTGTTAACATACATTGATATGATTCACGACAAAACACTATACATATTCTCTTTAAAATAAACTTCACATACACCAGACATGATGTTATTGGTATTAGTTTGGTATTAAGGAGATCTATTTGAATATTTAATGTTAATTTATTGAACTTTTTAGAAATATTCAGGTTAGATAATTTCACCCAATTTTTTATCGATTCACTCATTACATTTGCATTTTTACGACTGCGTTTTTATTGACGCTAAACGTAATAAAACAAAAAATGTCATATCTTCTGGATATTTTAGGACCTGGTAATATGTAATAAGATTATTATTAGATAGAGTGGAAACAAAAAAAGTGGATTTGTTTAAACCTTTTCCTTTTTCAATGCATTGTGTTGTAGCCAGGATAAATGTTTCGTACTTATTATTTCCATATGTAGAAATTTATTGACTTTTTGTATAAAAAAACTAACAATATGTCAGTATATTTGGTAACTTAATTAATACATCCATAAAAAGGTTTAAATTGACAGAAGATTAAAATAATTTCAATCTAAATTACTTCTCCCATTGTCTAAGGAAAACGGCGGACTTCGCAGGCATCTTAGCGTGGATTTGATAATGATCGCTGATTGGTTTATCTCTGTGACCCCTGCCAGTTTGATTGACAGGCGGCGTAATGTCAATTATACCCCCCCCCCAGCCAAAAAGGAAAAATATAACGACCAGCTATAACAACCCGTTCACACAGAGCTGCGACTTTAGGACGATCATGCCGATCAAGCCACGATCTGAAAAAGTAGTTGATCGGGACGGTCGGGGGCGATCGGCGTCGAAATTGAGCAATTTGGCAAATTTTGGCCTTCATTACGACTGTACTACGATGTTCCCACGTTCAACGCGCTGCTGACACGCTTCTACTACGATGTTACGCTGACCGATGCCGACCAGCGGCCGCGTTTACTGCGTTTATACTACGCTGCCGCTACGACATTCAAGCTCGCACTACGACGCTACGGAGACCTAGAAGACTGTACGACGATATCGCTACGACGGTGCCGATCATATCACGCTTGTAGTACGCTTTTGGTACGATTTTGGCGATGATATATATATCTTGGGTTTCAAAAATTATTTTCATTTACTTCCAAACTTCAAACATGAACGGACGTATTAATGCTGATCTGATTTATCTGGCTTAACTTCAGCAAGAACAAATATTGGTTGAATTAAAAGTGCACATATAGTTAACAGGCGGAGGCGCAGAAGGAGGCCAAGAAGATACTGGGTACGGCAATGGCTATCTGCAGATAGGAGGCTCCAGTTTGGACAATATGATACACTGATGAGATAACTCCGAATGGAAGACACCAATTTTTCTTCAACTTTTTGAGAATGGAACCAGCGATGTCCGATGAACTGCTCGAGAGAGTCGGCCCCGGGATTCAGAAGAAAGATACAGGCTGGAGAAAAGCGCTAGAACCAGGCATCAAGGTCGCCATTACTATCAGACATCTTGCTTCAGGAGATAAGTACCCTAGTCTCATGTATAACTTTTGTTGCTATGAATACGATAGCGTGTCTCATACCTGAGGTTTGCCAGGTCATTTGTGAGGAATTTAAAGATGAAGTGATAAAGTGTCCAACAACTCCTGATGAATAGTCCCTCATAGCAGACCAGTTCAAGAACAGATGGAATGTTCCACATGCATGCGGTGCACTAGATGGCAAGCACGTGGCCATCAGATGTCCCACAAACAGTGGCTCGCTTTACCACAATTACAAGCACTTCATTTCCGTAGTGCTACTAGCACTGGCAGATGCGGATTACAAATTTCTTTGGATCGACTGCGGAGGTCTTGCCATGGTTCCATGTCTGATGCTCAAATTTTTAACGAATCTGAGCTGAAACAGTGCCTAGAAGACAGATCGATTGGGTTTCCAACGCCAGACCCACTTCCGCATGACATCGAGCCGACACTCTACTTCATTCTGGGAGATGATGCATTTGTGTTGAGAAACCTTATTCGCAAAGAGGTCTAACCAGAGAGCACTTAATCACAAACTACAGAATATTAAGGGGTCGCCGAGTGATTGAAAATGTTTTTGGTATTTTGGCACAAAGATTGCAGGTATTACTCACCACTATGCAGCAATTCCCAGCAGTGATACAAGACATCATAGGGAGTTGTGTATGCCTTCATAACCTCATGAGTTTGCCCTACCCGGCGTTACAAAATGCCCAACTTGACCAAGAGGATGATGATCACTATCCGGAACCTGGTGCTTGGGGACATGAAGCTAACACGCACGAGGTACAGATGCCAAGAGGACCAAACAGGGACAACATCGCTGGGAAAAGACAGAGGAAACTACTTAAACTATATTTTAACAGCCAGGTAGGATCGGTACCGTGGCAGGAAAGAATGATTCCCCACTAGTCTGTGTTATTATGTACAATGAATATGAATGTTTTACCTGCTGCGATTTTGGATTAAGTTCAGATTGTGCAAATGTCTCTGCAGTTATTTTTGAATTATAGTCAGGTCTAGTATGTATGTTTTTTGCGAAGGAATTTAGGTGTTTTATGCAATGTTATCTACATAAAAAGTAATCTTGACAGCTTTTGACAAAAGTATATACTGTTGTATATTGACAGAGTCTCAACAATAGAGCATTAAAGCTATGTTTTAGAATTATGTTATTTTTATTTTGTGAGTCATTAAGTAAATCTGTACCCAAGTAAGTTCTGGTAAAGTATGGAAAACATCGAAAAATGTAGCCGCACAAAGATTATAGGCAAATCAACGTGCCTGAGTTTAAGGAGTAATAAATGATACTAGTATAATGACGAAAGCAATTGGTTATATTTGTTTTATTCACGTACTTCTTGTATAAAATATTAACATATGACACAGTTGTACGGACTCCTGCATTTGACATAGTCGCATTGCAAGTATAGGTTTTTACCGATTAGGCATCATAACTTCTTTTTTAACAACAAAAGCTGATGGTGCAAACCATAAGGCGTTTTTTATAAACATAAAGATTTTTTTATTACAAGAACTTAGACTCATTCTTAAAACATGCATACTTACATACATACGCACGCACACACGCACGGAGACAGACAGACAGACAAAACAACTAAATTTTGACTGAAAACTAAACAGTAATACAATCGAGTTTATACAAGTATTAACTTTATAAATGCAAAGTTTGAACTAAAGTTTTGCAAAATTGTACATACAAACAGCATGCATCAAAAATCTAACATCTGATTTTAGAAACAAAATTTGTTAATTAAGTGCATGTCTGTCAAGACTTCAAAATGACAATAAGAACTTTGACTGCTGCAAAGAAAACGATATTGCTAGGACTGCATGTGTCTATGTATCGTATTATTTAGCGTTTACTGCTGCTGGAGTCCATATATCTAACAGTGAGCTAAGGCCTGCAAACACCATACATGATCCCTCTTGTGACTGTCTACTAGTGGGAGAGGTACATGCTTGCTTGTCTGACTGCTGAGACTGCTGCTGTTGCACCAAAGCACGCGCCTGAGATCCCCACACAGACGTTGTATTGACGACCTGGGATGGCCATTGTGAGGATTGGGCTGCCATTGCATGGAACAGGGATCACTATCCTTGTTTGAGGAAAGGCCAGGTCTAGACTGTACCTGTAAGTGTTGCTGCTCCTGCATGTCAGTGTAACGGCTGACCAATTGTTGTACGTCAGTCTGGAAGCGGCACCAAAAGGTCTTATTAAGGCCTGCCACGGCTTGTTTAACCCAGTCCAGGAAGGCATCACGCTCATTCGGTTTTGGTGTATTCTTGATGCGACCAAGCAACTCTCGCTGCAAGTTAATGAGCTTTTCCCTACTACTTGCTAGGTCTGCCAAGATTGCATCATCGGAGGACCGGTTTTGAGTTAAGGAGGCTCTTGAATACGCGGATGTTGAGGATACACTTGCCGAAGTGGATACCTTGGTAGCGAAATCATCGAGGGTGTCGTGAAAGGAGAGAGCGCCTGCACATGCGGTATAAGCTGGGGCATCAGCAGAGTCTAATGTCATAGTCTCTTCAGGGGTTGTTGGGGCCAACTTTGCCGTTATCTGTAACGAAAATTAGTGTCAATTAATACATTATCAACATTTTTTATGTGCAATGAATATTAACATAGAAAATAACATTGTGCTATTGTACTTGCTACCATAAAAACCATTACACCATCTTAATATGTAACTTGAATCATAATCAATTGGCGGATGATCGGACCCCAACCAGTTTTTGCTTGGAAATTAGTTTTTTCCAAAGGCATCAACACTCAAACATATGACATAATTTCAACTCTATAATGAATGTATGGTTATCTACTTACACTAACAGCGGTGCGCTTTTTGACTTCAATGATATTGGGCTGCAGGAAACCAAACTCACGCAGGATCCAACTGTCCATATCTGTCTGTTCCTCATCCGGAGAACCGGATCGCGTTTACTTGAGCCGCCCATACCTTGTCCGAATGCTACTGTACCAGGTTTTGATGACGTCAACATCTTTACCAAGCAGATTGACCCGTTTCCTCTAGAGATATTCCTACTTCTGGGTTTCTTTATACCCCTTTAGCTTTTTGTTGTAAAGGATTGGATGTGCGCTTAGCCATTCAACCATAGTCTGTTCCTTGTCCTTTGTAGGGTGTGTCAGCATTTTCCTGCGTTTCTGGTGGGGAAGATTTGGAACTTCTACTACATCGGATTGAGGCTCAATAGCGGGATCATCAGGCTGAGGAATTTCCGTGGATGTTCCACAGACGAAGGACCGTCATGTTCTTTTCCGGCTTCGGGATGTTCTGCTGCAGGATTTTCAAGTTCTTGCATGAGTCTCAGAGTTTCAACCACAGTTTTTTCACGGCCTTTACCACTGTTTACGGGGCTTTTTTTCCAAACTGTTGATAAACTTGGCGAGAGCGTAGAGCTTTCCGATCATGAAGACGCTACCGCGATCATACTGCACTTATGTAGACTCCACTACGTTTCTCCTGCGATTTGCCACGATCGGCCACGCTTTGATCGTAGTAGAAGCGGCGTCTATGTGTAAACAGGGGGTTAGAGAAGCAATATGTTTTTGAAAATATTTATTATTAGAGAAGCTTTAATAACAGACCAGCTGTAACCGTATTTTATAGACAAGCGAGGGCTCCCTAGAAATAAACGATGATTGCTATAAAAGTGACGATTTAAGTTTTGCTTATGAGAGCATTTATTGCTTAATTCTTTTACTTCATCATATCACTTTGAATTATAACTGAAACTGATGAAAATAAATTAAAAAATGAAATATCTAAAAAAAACTTCTTCTCTGAAAGTGCAAAGTAATAAGAGCTTTGAAATTTTGTGTGTAGCATAATATAATGAAACTCTTCATTAATTTTTTAAATTATGGCACTGGGGTCAAAATTGTCCCGCCCCAGGGTTCATGTTTTTTTATATTTTACTCAATGTTTCAACTGCAAGGACTAAGTGTTGCAAATGTGTTGTTTTTTACCGAAAATGTAAGTGCATATAACAATGGTGTTGGAGCGTTTACAAAACATTTTATACTGGTGGATATATTTTGTAAATGTTGACGTTATGTAGCAAAATTTTTAATAACGTGTGTAACAGCAACGTGCCAGGATGACAACCTCAGTACGGCGTCCAATGCGATTTTGTAGGAAATTTTGCCATTCTTGGTACTGAGCTTGTTTCAGTTGTTGCAGGTTGGCTATAGTTGGTTCGTACCATTGCCCAAATAAAATTTAATATTTCAGTTGTGGTCATGTCAAAATTGAGGCAAAATGCCAGGTGCGCTTCCCTTATTTCCAGGTGTATATGCACTGATACACTAAAAGGAAATGGAAGTGTATAATTATGTTAAGAAAAAAATTGTTCCAATTCATGATCAAATATTTTACTTTTGTTCTCAAAAAAGTAATGCTTAAAATTAGTTGTTTTCAAAATATATCGAGTCATTGGCACCACGTTGCAAAACATTCCTTATATTGATCTACTTTGTTTCTGTGTAAAGTATTGATCTTAGTCCATAAGCTTTTATATTCAAATTAAGATAGCGTTGTCGAATTTATTAGAAGTACACATAAAGGTGTGTATAGTTAACGAAGCCCAAATTGTGTGGCTGGAAATATTGAAGATTGTTTACTTGATGAATAACAGTCATTGAAAGCATATTGTGTTTTATTTCTTTCTTTAAATGAGTTGTAACTGAGTTTTACATCCTTAAAATATAGATAACATCTTTTTTTTCAATATGTACTTTTGTTACATGTGCAAAAGGCACTTACAAACTCGATTGCATGATTTCAGTCGGCCATGTTCCCTAGCCACGGATGATAACTCATGTTTCCCTGTCTAAAATTCCACCAAATTATCCCCCTTTTAAATGAACTCAAAGAAGGGACTTTTTCTTAAGACTTTGTACTTATTAATTCGATTTTTTTGTCAAGAAACAGACAATTTTTTTATTAACCTTATATAATTTGCTGTTTATCTATATCTGGTTGCTATGTTTCAGGGTATAATAGTTCGCGCATGAGAGAATTTAAGCTATACTGGTAATGCCCTCTACAAATGCTGCCGGAAACTGTTACAGCAAAACCAGATCTCTGAGCAAAACCAACATAACTCAACACAGGTGTTTAAAATTATTTATTCTTTGTTAACTAGGACATATAATAAAAGATTAATGATGAATGGCGTATATTTGTTTGCATTTATCGCCGTCAACACACAAAAGAAAAGATGTCCTTTAAAGAAGCATACAATTATTTTGACATAATGACAGAATTGAATAGACTTGTTTTGTCTTTGAGACATATAGCAGTCAGATACAGTGAATTATTTAAAAATTATACTAAAATAAATTTTACAGCTCTACAAATCTATCGAGTGTGTTATCCATTTTGTGATACTGCAGGTGTGATATAAACACAAAGAAGAAATGCGTTTTATCTGCAATTGTTACTCCTATCATGTTTATACGCCGCTTTTCATGGAATGGCACTACTGTGTCACATTGAAGGTTCCATGATAACCGCCGTATGAACACATCTGCGGATGTTTCTAAATTCAAAATTTTACTATTTCATGTTTAAATGTTGAATTCTGCTTAAGCCGGTGCTAGGGGGCGTGGACGGTAACTTGCACATTCCAGTACCGTCCATGAACAGGCTCAATCAAACCGAGCCTGCAACATTTTCAATTTTGCCGTGTTGGGCTTTCTTAAGGGATTCTGTATTTATCTATTTTAGTATATACAGTCGAGGGTTATTGGAAAAAAATGGTTAACTCATTAACTCTAAATTGTCAAATATCACTATTTTGCGTTGATTTTTCCATCGAAAACTGATTTTGAAGTGCTGCAACTTCTCAATGATTTGAGATAGAGTCAATTAAAGGCCTTTCAGCGTTAGTTACACGCGTGTACGTATAACCTGAAAGTGATATTATGCTCATATTTTCATAGTCAAGTTCAGCTGAACTGACTGTATATTTCAAAAGATTGACTGTTTTAATGGTGATTGACCAACAGTTCATATTGGAAAATGCTTAGGATAAAATTTAAATCTGCCTAATGCTTAGACTTATACCTTCTCTATTTTTAACCTGTTTTTAACAATATACTCATTTCCATTACTTTTATATTCTTTTATTTCAGTTCTTTTACTAACATTCTTGTCAGTTGACGCGCGTCAAGTCTAGGTCCCCAGCAGGGGTTTGACTATATGGAAGATAGATAGATAGATTATATATTACTTATTGTAATGTAAATCCGTGATGAAATGAACTAACAGGTAACTAGTGTCATTGCCTGTCACAAGTCTCACCCCCCCCCCCCCCGGCACCCCTTGATGTATCTCTTTTATAGGGGATGGCACCGAAATAGTTTTCACTTTTTTTAACACCATTTCTCAAACGTCTACTGATATAGTGCATATTTCACTATTTGAGGCCTAAAAAGGGGGTGAAAATGCGTGAAAAGACGTCTATATGAACATGATAAATAAATTTTCTTTGCTTAAATACTTTATGACGCACATTACTTCTTCTACGGGCATCTCGAGATCTTTCATGAAAGACCCTGCCAAATCCCGTACCGGGATGTACCGAATATGCCAGGGTTTAGCTTATTATTCCGGAATGTCAACACGGCCATTATCAAGGGTTTGCAACGAAACGAAACAATTTCTCATTTTTGTTTTAAAAACTACACGACAGTGCATATAATTACGTGCATAAAAGCCTTTAAAAAATTTGGCTTATCTTTGCATCTATGACAGTTCAGGTAATTACTTCTGTTTGTTTGAAAATTCACCATATAATTCGCCATTACGCAACATAAGTGTAATGGTAATCGGTAGTTATCGGATTCGGACAGCATAATTAATCACACGACAGGGATGATTCTCGAAGGACGACTGTCACGATTATAATAAAAAGCCCTGGGACATAAATGTGTCGGACTAACAGATATTCATGGTGTAGACCTTGACGACACACAATCATTCATTACTAGTCCAAAGATGATTGTCATTCAGGGTAGTCAGACTATTCTCTCCCTTACCAGTTCCTCCCCTGACGTTTCCTCCCTATTTTGGGGAGAACCGTCTGCTTAATTGCAAATGAGCAGACAGTTCCTCTCCATTTTTATTTTATACTAATACATTATTATTGAAGTATTTAGATGTAATAAATGGGTAAGTTTATTATCAATTAATAAATTAGAAGAAGAAAAAAATATAATGAAGTATTTAGATGTTTTATAAATGAGTAAGTTTATTATCAATTGATATAAATTAAAAAAAAATCTTTTTATTAGATCTTATGTATACATTTTAATGTTTTTAGTCATTGAAAATAATTAATGAATGATTTACTTGATTATAATATATTAATTATTGATGGGTTTTTTTTTGTTATTTTTTTTTCTTTTTTTTGATAAATAATAAAATTTATAAGAAAAAATGATTAATGAATTTAAATGCTAAATTTCATACTTTTGTATAAGGAAGAAAGGAGTTCAATACACACATGTATGCTGTCAGAGATAACTGATGTGTTTATTAATTCATTATTCAAGAATCAAGGTGTTGATTACGTTTAAATATCTGTAAAAAGATGTTGATGGATAAGTATTTCGTTAGACCTGTGTATATCAATCACTGTCCAATCATCTTAATCTCACAAAACATGCAAAATGAATGTGTTGATAGGATTAACATACCCAAAAAAAGGTGTTAAATATTCAGATAAAACATAAAATGCACTATACACATCCTTTTAATAATCTTCACTAAGAAATAATATTACATGTAGATTAAGTCAAAAATTAAAATGATATCTTATAAAAAAAAATGGGGGAGAATTGTCTTTGGGAGAGAACCGGTAGGAAACGGTTAGGGGGAGAACCGTCAAGGAGAGGAAGGGAATAGGAGGAAGAGAATAGCTAGTCTGTCATTCATCATTCATCATTCAGTCAAATAATAAATAAAAAAAATCTGGTAACGTTTTCATTTATTGATTGTGTGAATTCTTCAGAAAAAGCTTGTTTATCTTTTTATCAGTGTCACATGCACTTGACTAACCCTGTTTTTCTCACATTTTTGAGACTGAAATAGGGCTCCATTCACAAAGCCAAAAAGAATGAAACTTTGACAGTTTGTTATGTCAAGTGGGCATATAGTGTAACCCCTAAATACCTGTTCGTCTGGTGTGTACGTAAGGAATTTGTTTGGAAACCATGTTTGGCCCATAATCAAGGGATATAACAATTGTCATGCATCAAGTGATTTCGAGGGGCGCCCATAGCGGAATGGTTAAGGTTATTGACTTAAAATCACATGCCTCTCACCGCTGTAGGTTTAAGCCTGGCATTCGTCATGGAATTCTACATGTGAGAAAGCTGTTAAGCTAGCTTACAGAAGGCCGGTGATTCTAGTCCCGTGCCTGTTTGTGCCTGAAATAATGCACAGAAGGGCACCTGAGGTCTTTCTCCACCTGGAAAGTAAAGTTGAAAAGTTAACTTAGAATTATGACAAAAACCCAACAAAAAAAAGGGGGGGTGTTGAAAGTACATGACAGTGTGTCATGCCAAAGACCTAGATCAATTGTTCCAAGGTCAAGGTCATACTAAGGGTCAAAGGTCAGTAGTTAGAAAATCTTGTGCAAGAAATCAGTCATGCATGAAAGGATTTTGAAAAACTTCAGAACACACATGAAGCATGATGAGACCAATTGTCATGTGCAAGACCTACAGTTGAGTTCACACTAAACTTCCCACCCTTGTGCACTTCTAGTGCACTAGAGCTGAACTAGAAGTGCACACCGTGTGCACTTCTAGTGCACTAGACCATATGACCAGACTGGCCAGGGAAGGTGACACCTAAATTGTTTATTGGATAATTGTATATCAAGTGACAGGGGGCATCTATTGTTAAGCTGCTCTATATAGGAAAACAACTTTGGGAATATGTGGCCTATTCATGAATATAAATAAGTAAATTTTAACATATTAGGTGATATCATGTTAAAGCTTAAAATTAAAAAAAAAAATTATTGTAATCATATTTTAATTAACCAGTATTTAACTGTAAGTGTAAAACAATACCCCTTCAAATCAATTTTAAAGAATTAATAAGGTTAAATTTTAATATGCTCCGTAATGGATAATTGCGTAAAAGTGTTTTTAAAGCTATTATTTCAATTTTTCAAGTGTACAAATGGGAAAATTAATGTGGTAATTCTGGCTTGTAACACTTACATAACCATTTTTTCTCCATAAGCTCAAACAAATCAAGGAAAGGTTTATATTTAAGCTAAAATATTATTTCTATAATATATAACTTAGAGACAATTCCTCATGTTCAATATTGAAAGAGAATATTAATACATTAATTTTTAAACAATCAAAAATGTGATAATTTATTATTCAACTGTGTAATGCTTGCATATGTTTTAAAAGATATAAATGATTAAAATATTATCCATAAAATAAAAAAAATTGTTAAATTTATTCATGATTTCAATATTAAAATTTAATGTAATAAAGGGAATACTTTTATTGAAGAGGAAAATCTCAAGTCATGCTGTGTATTGGTGTTTTACTGAGATGGATTGTTTTCATTATACCATTATCCTGCTGATAAGAGGGCCTCAGGGTAAATAACAAAGAACAGTCAATTTTGCGAATTATAAGTATGCATTGAAATACCTTGGTTTTCTCAAAATGCATGTTAGATAATTATAAGCCTGGGATTCATCAGGCGTTGGCACTCAGGCTAGTTAGCCGAATCCTATAAGTCATATAGATTAATGACCATAATTTTTTTTTATAATCAAATATACAAAAAAAATCATAATGGCATAAATGCATATTAGATATTATTGTCTCTAAAGCGGAATTTTGTATATTTATCCATTTATCCACATTTCTTGCCACTCTGCATAATAATATATAACTTAAGAGGCAATTCCTCATGTTCAAAATTGAAAGAGAATATAAATTAATTTATTTTAAAACAATCCATACACTGTGATATTATGTTTTTCAACCATGAAATGCTTGCATACTTTTTAAAGATATAAAATAATTTTTTTCGATGAATCACGGAGCTAAATATCTATACATGAAATAAATAAAATTGATAACTTTATTTAAGATTTCTCTATCAAAAATTTAATGAAAAAAGGGAATGCTTTTATACAAGAGGACAGTCTCAAGTCATGCTGTGTATTGGTATTTTACTGAGAATGCCTGTTTTCATTATACTGATCTCCTGCTGATAAGGGGCCTCAGGGTAAATAACAAAAATGCAGATGTATGCAATATTTATTTAAAATTTCCTGTTTTTTGTTTCCAAAAACATGTAAGACATCTAAGATAAATGACTATAATTTTTGTATAATCAAATGTAAAAAAAATAATAATAATGGCATAAACGCATGTTAGATATTATTGTCATTATTGTCTTTGAAGTGGAATTTTCTAATCTTATCATAAAAAAACTGGTTTAAAATCAATATCAGTGTTTACTATTCTGGAAAGACCTCATTTCAATATTTATCCACATTTCTTGCAATTCTGCATTAAAATCATCTTTTAGTTTCTGAAGTGGGAAATGTTAATTTTTTATTATAGATTTGACAAATTTACCTTGTCAGTTTTAACACATTTAGAAGATAATATATCTTAAAGAAAATATTTAAATACATGTGATTATAAAACTTTTGCAACTTCCTTTTCACTTAAATGCAGATCTTTTTTTTTTTTTTTTTTTTTTTTTTTTTTTTAAATTTTTACCATACTCGTACATGAGCAGAAAACAGTTACAGAAGATTAATGTGTCATAAGTCATGCTGTGTATTGGTATTTTAATATAGTACCCTGCTGATAAGAGAGCCCCTTAGGGTGAATAACAAAAGGCAGATGATAAATATAAGTAGGCAATGTAAATTCTGTATTCTCTGGATGTTGGTGCAAATAAATTTCATTACAAGTACATTGTAGTACAAAAAAGAAAAAAGAAAACTGAAATATTTTTGCATTTTATAATAAACTCATAAAAATAATCATATTGCATAATTATGTTACAGTGCATGAAAAAAAAAAGAAAAAAGATTCGTGTTGTCTCAAAAAATGGAATTGAAAGATTTTCTAATCTTTTTGTTAATATGTTGTGTGAACTCAACTGTACCCAAACCATGTCAGTTAAAGTATACTAGTGTCCCACAGGTACATATCAATACTTAATCCACACATATCAATACTTAATATACCACCATTATATATGAATATTTATTTTTAGAATAATATATATCATTTATATTAATCTTAGGTAAATCTCAGTTTCAGAAGGTTAAGAGAGTTTATAAATGAGATAAAATTGACAAAATTTTGGCCAATTATAAACATATTAAATCTTTAATGTATTAAAGGCTATTAATGCTTAAACTCATTACCTTTAACTAAAACAATCATAAGTTAAGATAAAAAAACAAATTGTTATAATTCCCCCCCCCCCCCCCCCCCCCCCCCAAGAAAAAAAAAAAAAAAAAAAAAAAAACTTGACTGAATTTTGTTTAATTAGCATTCAATGTTTCATATTTCAGTACTACCAGATTATAATAAAATAGAATCATATTAAATATCAATTAATTTTGTTTATTTATGCACTTATCAACATTAAAGTTATAATTATTTATATTTACTTATTCTAACAATTAAGTTTTAAATTCAGTAAAATTAATGAATTTGAAAAATTATTGTTCTAATATTTTACGCCATATTTTACAAAATCTAATATTCACAACTTCAAATTTATTATGAAAAACTATTATACAGATATCTATATTTATCTATCTTTTTGTAAAAGTCAAATTGCTATTCATTGAAATAAAAGGTAACTGCTTAATACATATTATAGGTCTGGTGCACTACAAAGTGCACTTATGAAGTGCACTAGTAGTGCACTACTAGTGCACTTTGAAGTGCACTAGTAGTGCACATCTAGTGCACTCCTAGTGCACTTTGTGTAACCTTTAGTGTGAACTCAACTGTATCAAAAAGCCCTTACCTTCCAAGTCAAGATCACACTTAGGTAGAAATCTTGTCCAGCCCACAACTTTGTCATGCATCAAGGGATTTTGAAACAAAATCTGGCATAATCTTTAGCATGATGAGACAGTGTGTCATGTGCAAGACCAAGAAGCCTAGCTCTAAGGTCAAGGTCACGCTTAGTGGTCAATGGTCAGCAGTTAAAAGTCCTGTTCAGTCTATATAACTCTTTCATGCATCAAGTGAAGTCTGTTGGCAATTAAATGATTGTTGATTTTTTTTCAGTTTGACTGGAAATGTCAAGTAGGAAGCGTGTATTGATAGTGGGAGCCGGAGCAGCTGGGACAGCAGCAGCATATAGTCTGAGTAAACACCCGACCAAGTTTACTGTTGAACTCTGGGAGAAAAACCTAGTGCCTGGTATTATATTTTAAGCTTGCTTGATTTAGAATTTATCATTAGTTTTTTTTTCTTGAAAAATAATCAAGTGCTTGTAACTAAAGTGTTTTTAACTCGAAAAAGTAGATACATTAGCTTGTCATCGGTATAACTTTTATCTCCTGACATAACAGGTTCTTTTCAGCTAATTTTGGACATGACCCCTGGCTTGAATTTAAATCAAGTCATGTATAATGTAGCATTTTCGAAAAAAAATTCGAATGTGTACAGTGTATTATCACATAATATCTTACTTTTTGTAAGAAACAATTCACAGCAGTTCAACATTCCTTTACAGTTTAACAGTTTGACTGTTGTTGAGAGTTTTTTTATTTAAATTTGAAAAAAATGGAGAATTCGAATTTTTGAACAACGGTGGCCGAGTGGTTTAAGTCGTTGACCTCAAACTACTTGCCCCTCACTGCTGTGGGGTCAGATCCTAATAAGCACTTTTGATTCTTTCATGTGAGGAAGCTATCCAGGTAGCTTATGGAACATCGGTGGTTCTACTCGAGAAGAACATATAAAATGCAAATCATTAATTTTGAAATCATACATACTTGCTAATCTTATCTTTCTATCACATTTCTTTGGCCATTTATTTCTGTATATTGTCTTTTTCTTCCAAGGGGGTGTTGCCGGGACAGCCAGCTTACAAGAACAGAGGGGAACTTATGTGAACTATGGTGTACAAGGAGGGACTCCAACGTACAGAAACACTATGAATCTTATACATGAACACGGCTTTGAAACTCATCCTGTACACATGATGATTTCATTTGGTAAGGACGACACTGCGTGGACAAACTACGCTGATTCTAATCTAACCAGAAGACTCAAAGAGGACATAGCTCGTTTTGAGAAAACTCTCAAAATTATAAATAGATTTGAAGCATTGTTTATATTCTTGCCAATTTCCAAAGTTTTGAAATGGTTTGGATATTCCGAAGAGTTTATGAATCAGATGGTGTTTCCCCTTACAGCGCTGTTTTTTGGTACCGGCAATCAGACACCAAAAGTGTCATCGGCAATAATGGCGAGAGTATTTTTAGACGATGATTTACGCTTATTTGATTACGATACAGACAGGTTATTGAGCCAGACCCCAGAAATGTTTGCTTTTCCAAATCTTGAACAGATGTATGAAACTATTATAAAGAAATCTGGGGTACGTTTTCATCGAAACAGACCTGTCAGGACTGTGTCTAGAATTGATGGAAAAGTACATGTTGTAGATATGAAAGGGGTTGTTGAAATTTTCGATGAGATAATATTTGCTTGTGATGCTGAAACAGCTCTCGGAACTTTAACAGATCCTAGTTTTATGGAGTTACAGACGCTTGGAAATGTCCAGTATTTCAATGATTTGATCATCACTCATGAAGATGAACATTATATGAACTCTCACTATGAACTTCATAAAGACAAAGACCAGTATTTAGTTCGTACTGATGTCAGCGATCCATCTAAGATCGAAATGTCATTTGATCTGTCAAATTACCAGCCCCAACTGAAGGAGATTCGTGATCAACAACAGCATGTATATCAAACTATCTATTTAGATGATACTTGTGCAGATATTTGGACATTGAAGAAAGTCGATAAGAAAAAGATCATGTATCACCATTGGTGGCGTCAGTTTTCACACACATGGCGACACTTTGCTTTCACTGTGCCGCTGATGAGTTACATCCAAGGTAAAAGAAATACATATTACTGTGGTTCCTACACGCTGGTAAACACACATGAGGTGGCGGTTATGTCCGGGCTAGCAGCAGCTTACAGGATCGGAGCCTCATATCCGTTTGACCATGACGCTTTAGCAAGGAAACAGTTTGATCATTACCTCATGGTTATACACGGAAAACCACGAAAAGTTGGTCTCAATTTAGACACTTTGAAAGCAGGATGTCTTGGTTTGTTTATTGGAATCTTCACAGTGTTTTCACTACTGACACGTATCTTTGTTGACTGGTATACACATGAAGATAAACCGAGGTAATTTTTATCCAATGCTATGCATGAATGCTCTAATTAAATAATGGAAAATGATTTTCATTGATAGCAATAATTGGTACTCTCACTTCATTATTTCTATGGGTATTTTTAACTATTTAATAGTAAAAAATGACAAAACAGAAAATTCCCATCATCAAGGTTTGAATTTAACAATAGCGAACTTGCAAAATGCCTTCTTTCTTCTTTTTTTTTGGTAAGTTAACCCTTTCCCTCATGAGCCTATCGTGAAAAATGGCTGTTTTCATTGAAAAGCTTCCTGTTACAAGTTCAAACTGCTATGAAACTATGAAAAATGCTTCAATTCTAATCAAACTTGGCACAAATGTTGACTGGACCATTGCCTTTGTAACGACATGCTCAGTCTTAAATTTCCTGTTACCATGGCAACGAGGGGACGTCTCAAATTTGCCAAAAATCACTATTTTGCCTCAATTTTTTCCATCAAAATTTATTTCAAAGTGCTGCAACTTCTCAAGGGATTGAGATAGAGTCAAAGGCTTTTAAGCGTTGGTTACACATTACCTTATGATCAATCTGGGGTCAATTTTAGCCTCTCACAAGTCCAATGTTTTCTTGGCGATGAGGGGGACTACTTCCCCCTTTCAGACCCCCCAAACAGAAGGGGGCACATCTCCCTTCTGGCAACCCCCTGATGTATCTTTTGGATTGGGAGCGGCACCTAAAAAGTGCTCACTTTTTTAGCAACATTTCTCAAACTAAAACATACAATAGGGGCCCCAAATACGACATTTTTTCTTAAAGGGGGGGGGGGGGTCGAAAGTGTGATGTTTCGCATATATATGAGCCTATAATGAGGTAAAGGGTTAATAAACTGTTTCAGGTGTTTATATAAGGCTATGATTTGAAGGATATCTTTGGATAAAATTTTGGATTGACTTCTATATACATGTAACTTGAGGTAATAACAAGTAGTGTTATAATTTATTTATTTGAGATTTAGCAAAAATTTATAAAAGAATTTTTGGTAATAGTTCTCATTAGTAGTGTAGGGATATTTTGTTTTTTTAACAGTTAATCACAAGAAGTTGGCCACACAGGTTGATTGCAAATCAACAATGAAATATAAATAAACATTTGTATGAACACTTGGTTAAAGAGATAGCTTTTAACTGACTTCGGTTTTTGAAAAATTGCAATGTTGAAGTTACTTCTGATAAAATTAAAAATCAGACTTAAAAACTTGCACAATTTGTTATTTTTTCCTTTATTTCAATTATGGTTCCAATCAAATAAATCATTTCAAAATGCCTTTGACGAAAATAAGGTTTTTTGTTTATTTATTGTACATTATTGTCACTTTAAACTGAATGATTTTATAGAGAAAATACGTGTTAATTTAACATATATATACTTATGTTTATCTTCAGAGGAGGTTATGGAAAGGCTGTGTACAATAATCTGGAAGGCTGGCCAAAACTGTGAGTCAACAGCTCTTGACTTAACAGTATCTGTGATGGAATGAAAAATTCGCATAATAAACATATAGTGGTGTATATAGTATAGGACAATTATGGTTTAATATACTTGCTGATAAAAACATCACAAGGTTTTTTTTCTATACAATTTTTCGTTTGTATGATATTCTGTATTTGTAAAGTTGTCTATTTTTTTGTCACAAATACTTTTGTATATTGACTCTTTTTGACATAATTTATATTTTGAAACTGTTTAATGTTTTAGATACATTATAACGGGTAAACAAATGTATATTTTTATAGGTACAGTAAAGACTGTTTACAGTGACCTTCGATGGGAGAAAAGAAAAAAGGTCATTATAGACAGGGAGTCACTGTGGACAGTCTCTACATAATTCGGATATATGAACATATCATACCAATATTTTGTTGAAAAGCAGGATAGTACCATACTAAGGGTTTAATTATATTTTTATTGATATTAAACAAATATCATTTATAAAAAACAAGAGGTTATTAAAAGTGCATGTATTATTGGTTAAGATTATAAAATACACCATAACATTAGTATTTAAAAGTTACATATTCATTAAAATGTAATTTATATTGATAAGTCTGTTTGTAAAAAAATGTTTAATTTCAATTTTACTAATGAGATGTTACTGTAGAGACATTTAATTTTGTATAATCAGCCTGTTTACTTTACGGAGTTCAATGTATTAATAAAAACAAAAATAATATAAAAAAAATTACAAATCTTCACATATTTTCTACAGATAAGTGCTCCGAAAAAAATAACAATCGAGGTTTCAAACATAACCACACCTTTAAGACGTTTGGCATTGTTTATCTTTACTCGCCAAAACACCGCAGCAATTATGTATATGCAGGTGTTTTTAATCATTCTATCGGCGAAAATTGATTGAATCTGTCGCACTTTTGTGTAATTGTCAACAAACAGCCACAGTGTATTAGCGTGTCGCCGATTGGTCAATGCAAACTGCCGTAGATACAACGCGCGTTCTGATTCGTCAATCGCATGAATACGTAATAAGAAAGATAAACATAGTGAACTCTTGCCTTGCGGCGTGTATTTAACTTTGTTGATGTTGACACGCGTTCTTAATTAGCGGATTAACGGTAATTGGTTGTAATTGAGAGGTAAACAAATTATTAACAGACCTAGCGGCGTAAATAAGTATGACGGAAAAATATAAAAATCGGGCGACTTCAAAATCTATTTGAAGTTTGTTTTAGGCAAAGTCGCTGATCCGAAGGCGACTTCTTCGCCAATGTCGTCACCTAGTTCAAGCCTTGCTCCCCTTGCAAAAGTCGCTGTTCACGGCTCAAATACCGTAACGGGTGACTAAATCATGGTCGTTGTACGGACTAGACAGGGAGTCGCTACATACAGACCATTAATATAGTAAATACTGTTCGGCGCACCTAACTATGGTCACTAAAGACAGAACGTCGCTATATACAGGGGGTCGCTAAGACAGTCTTTACTGTATATAAACACTAACCTTAGTAATGAACTTCACTTATTCATGTTAGGATATTATTTATTTGTGATATTATTTATTTGTTGAAAATAAAACTGTAAAGTGGATCAAGTTATTTATCAGTGACAAGTCAGGTTACAAATCAAGGTGACATCACTGTTCTAACTATTTAGCTGAGATTTTCATATCATTGATACTATTCAAACTTAATGACCTTCATATACAGGTAAGAATATATAACTCTTCCATGGATTTTGACAGAAGTTGTAACATGGTTTGAAACATGGACTGCATATACTGTATTTACATATGTACATATACATGTTTACTATAAATGATTACCAGTGGAAGTCTGTCTTACTCATTTTGAAGTATACACCACTATATTTACCTAAATAAAGGCTATGTCTGACTATCTCCATTAAATAAAAGGCTACTTATACAAGACTTGCCTCCATTCTTAGTTTATCTATCTTATCTTAAACTAAATAATATTTACCTCCACTATCCATGGATTTTGACAAAGTTGTGACACATTGTTTAGAAACCTGGACTACATATACTGTATTTACAAATGTATTGGTAAGAGGGCATGGAAGTTAACTATCACAGCACCCTGAAATATTCTTTGGAACTTTTTGCAATGGTCTGAAACTAAAATCCTTTTTAAAATGACAGAAAATTGTGATTGAAACTAAAAAACCCACTTTTATGTTGATCTCACATACAATCGCAATACTTCCATGTTGATGTATTGGATTAACAGTCCTGAATGAGTTAAACAAGTTTAAAACTATGACTGATGGAAGTGGGTTGATGCTTTCTTTGCAAAGGTATAAATAGTGATAATACTTGACTGACCCATTCAAACAAACTGTGCAGGTATCTTGCGAGTGAATACTTCAGTGTATCAGCACTCAGACTGGCTTGGCTATGCCCCTTTTACCACTTATATACAAGTGTTCAATCATCAATATATATTTTAACATTATGTACTTGGAGCTTTAAAAGTTCAGGTTTAAGAAAAGCTCTTGTCTGTAATACAAATGATACACTATAGTTGAACATTTAAAATGTGATTGTGTGTTTCAATAGTTATATAACTGGGCAGTTATATCGTCGTGAATATATGTTGCCACATACTTGTCATGCTGCTACAAAAGTTACCCCCACTGCACACAAACAAAGACCATTTTTACAATTTGTACACATGTTTGACTGAACATTCTAACAAGACTTACCAGACAAATGGCCTAGGAAAAGAACCAGACCTTTGACTTGAACAAAGGCATGATAATTATAAAAAGAGTGTTACAAGCATATAGAAACATAAATAAATACTTTCATATTCTTGGTGTGGCCAATAATTTCAAAAAACACTCTTCACAAATAGTTTTAAAATACCATTATATTTAAGCCAGAAAATTTTAAAATCTTTCACTGACTTGACAAGAGATATGGACTGGAAATGACTATCAATGCACTATCATATCATGACTTATGAATTAAAGTATGAACAAGACTTTAAGGCTGTTGAAATAAATTTTGTTCATTACACGTCATCTTAATAAGCAGCATATAATCATATGCATATTTGTTTTGTAGTTAATCCATTTATAAACAAAGACCATCTATTCACATGACATTGACCTACCAGTGTGACCTTGACCTTTGAACTGTAGACCTGGTTCCTATCCACAACACATCATTATCATGCTAAACACATTTCTGGTGAGTTATTTTAAAATCCATCCAGGAATGATGAACATCAGTGCAATTGTGTGTGACCTTAACAGGTCGACATAATTTTCATTAAATCCCTGCAGGAATGACAGTGTTTTTATGAAAAATTTCCTTCATTGTCGGTGGGACATTGACCTTTGAACTAAAGACTTAGATCTTGTGTGAGACACATTATTTCGATATGCTAACATTTATGCAAATTTATTTTCAAATTCATCCATATGGACCAACACAAAGTGGGGACAGAAAGAAGGAATGATGTAATCTGAAAACTGTATATACCTCTTTATACTGGAGGGAAGGGGAGATGGGGAACATAACATCAATACTGCTATCAATAAAGATCATAAAGGAGTCACAACAAAACTACTTTTATCAAAAACTTTTAATTAAAATTCTATATTCAGTTCATTGGTTTACAGAGAAAAATGACATAATTATTATGAATTACCATTGTCCTTGATAATGGAAGACCTAATGATCATTTTTATCTTCTTACTATAATTAACAATAAAATAAAACTTTTGAATGATTTTTTGTAAAGCTGTCATACAAGTGATGATAAAATTATGTCAGTCATATCATGTGACATGGTATGTTACAGTCACATGATTATCCTTAATGCATAGTTAAGTCAATCACATGACATATTTATACTTTGCTGCGACATAAATACACCTATGACATTTTTGTCACATGCTTTGTCTATAACATGACAAACTGTATCAACCATGGTTAAGCCCATCACATGACATACTTTTGTGAGATAAAGTCAATCACGTCACATGTTTCATGTATGGTTGGTACACCACAGTCATGACATATCCAAGATACCTTGTTTAAGTTCATCACATGACATTTTTCAGGCATGTTTTGGCTATCACATTATATGCCCTAGATATTTTGGTTAATTTGATCACATGGCATGTTTCAGGCATGGTTAGCCCACTACATAACATATCCTAGATACCCTGGTAGGTCCATCACATGACATACTTTCACATGACATACTTTCTTATCACATGACATGTTTCAGGCATGGTTAGCTCACCACATAATTATATTAGATACCTTGGTTAATGAGTTATAAGTTCATCTCATGTCATGTTTCAGACAAGGTTAGCCCACCATATGTCCTAGATATCACGTAGGTCCATCACATGACATAATATCACATCACATGACATAATATCACAGTAACTTTGGTTAGTCCATCAAATGTAACATCCTTGGTACGTCCATCAAATAACATTTTCCAGGTATGGTTAGTTCATCACATGATATGTTCTTGTGACATGGTTTGACCATATGGCTCGATGAAAATGCTTTAGTCAACTGACTGAAAGCCCTGCATGTGGAGGTTTTCCACCTATGTATTTGGCTACCAGCACTGTTAAAGTATCACATTTAAACCCATCTCATTTATCAACTGAAGAAGAATGGTGAATGCTGTATCTCATCTAGGTCAAAATCTCCTGTAATCATCAAATAATATGATAAAACTTCTCACACAAATAGGTCAAATTAAAGGGAATTTAATAACGGATATTGATTTTTATGGAATTTAAATAAGATACAAGAGAGTCATGATGGCCCTAATATCGCTCACCTGAATATAAAATACTCTTAAAGACAAGGAACAAGTAATATTGTTAACGAAAGCAAATACATGTGTATTAAATCTAAATCTTGAACTGACATCATAAATTATATAGAGGATATTTGTTTAGTACAGTGTAAGATCGGAATATATTTCACCGAGTGAGCACCAAAAGGTATATTTCACGAGTGGCGCAGCTACGAGTGAAATATGAACTTTTGGTGTTCACAAGGTGAAATATATTTCGATCTTACACTAAACTAAACAAATTTTCTTTTTATTTTATGCAAAGAAACGTTTTAAAAAGACATTAAACCTAATACTGAATGAAAAGCGCGCCAAATAATAACACAACGCTACGTCATTTATGACTTCACTTCATTAAGTTGGTACCCAGTTCTGTGCACGCTGGTATTTCACTGAAACAACGTAAACGGCTTAAATTCAAAAGTGAAATTATCAAAGTGGTAATTTCACTGTTTCAAACAGTGAAATTACCAGTTTTAAATCACTGATATATTTCTATAAACCACCAAAAAGCATGTAATAAATATCTATATATCAAATAGTGCACATGTAAAAACATTGGTGGTTGCTATTGCTTATTGCTGGTTGCTATTGCTAAGGGAAAACGACAGTTACCAAAGAAGTCACTAGTGCTACATAAAATAAAATGTTTCCTTGGAAGTAAGTGCCTGCTATTAAATTCAATGGTAAATTCACTAGTTGCTATGGAAAGTTAAAGATTGCTATGAAAGTCACTGGTTGCTTTTGAAAATTACAGTTGCTATGAAGTCAATGGCTACTATGTGGTCACTGGTTGCTATGAAAGTCAATGGTTGTTATGAAAAGCAAACTATTGCTTTGGGAGTCATAAGATGCTATGGAAAGTCAATAGTTGCTATGAGTCACTAATTGCTATTTGAAGTCACTGTTTGCTATAGAAAGTGACCAGTTGCTATGGAAATTCAGTGGTTGCTATGGAAGTCAATGGTTGCTATGGCAAAACACTGGATGCAATGAAAATTCATTGGGTGATAATGACTGTTCACAAGGTTTGCATATAACAAAAAAAAGGCAACGAAATGTTTTCTTAGACAGGGTGATGGTTGTTCAAAAATACATTACCTGTCCCTGGCACATCTGTAAATGTCTTTAGCAAATTGGCATATTGTAGGGCATTCAATTCACCACTGGAAAAAAAAAAAATTTTTTTTACATTAAAATGATATAAAAATATGGAACAACCGTGATGACCCTAGATCACTTGGTATAAAGGTCATAATTTTTCAATGCAGAGGTAGGACAAATAGCTACAATGGGGATGGACCATTTTGATCCTTTTGCCAAAATCCATAAAAAATTTTGTAGAAGTCATTTTTGTGGAAGTCCATAAAGAAATGCTACAATGCAAATATCAAAGGTTTAGGCCGTGCAGATTTTCATAATGACAATTGAATGTGTTTTCCAAAATAAGTCTGTGTAACATGTGTGACACTTGGAGCAAGCTTAATTTTGACCCAAGGGGCATAGCTTTATTGCACTTTCCTATAAAAATTTATGTAAACTCAATATTTATCTCGCATCTTTAGCTTGATTTCCAGGACTAAAAGATTTGAAGTTATATTGTTAATCAAACCATGTTCTTTCCTTTGTTTTTATTTCTGAACAATTGTCATAAACATAGTTTACGCTACAGCAAGGACTTCAACTTTCTATCATAAAAATATTTTATTTAGAAAATACATTATCACCTGTTAATTAATACCTTACCTGTGAATATATCTTTCTATGAAGTAATTAGACAGGTTAGGAAGTATAGGTTGTTTATGTAAGGCAATAAACTGTTCTCTTGTTACCTGAAAAAATAAAATTAAATAAAACCTAGTACCTTTACCTATAGTTTACTGTTATATCTTATTTCCATTCAAAAACAGAAGTACACTACATGTATAGACAATTATATATACAGCTGTGTATTTAGACATAGTAGTTGATGCACCTTTTTCTGTGCAATAACATCTGCACGAGCACGAGGATGCATTTAAAGCCGGAGTGAATATGACAAGATCTCTGACCCCCCCCCCCAGCACCGACTTAAACAAGGTATAAACACTGTAAGAAATGTAATCATTAGGACCAGACCAATATAAAGGCTACACTATATAACATACCTTGCTCATTATATCCACATCACATGGGTGTGTCCAGTATGAATCATGTACTGAAGCATATGTAAGGCCTTTTCTGAAAACATTTAACATAAATGACTGTTAAATAATTACTATACTCACTACACTCAAGGTCAAAAAATACTTTATGAGTCATGTAAGACACAAATTGAAAATTGCAAATGTTTAACTAATTCAAGGGCAAAATCTCTACAATTACTGAATAAATTCAAAAGAAAACCCCTAAGTGCATAACTTTACATGCTGACCAAAATTTCTGTAAAGTTTCATGACTATAGGTCAAATACTTTTTGGGCTATGAGCAACACAAGTTGAAAATTGCAAAGTTTTAGTAAGTCAAAGGCAGTAACTCTAACAAAAACTTAATTAATCCACATGCAAAACCCAAGGTGCACAACTAACATGCTGATCAATATTTCTGTAAAGTTCGTTGACTGTAGCTCATGCACTTTTAGGGCTACATGTGACAGCATGGAACACACATGGACAAGGGCAAATCTAAGTGCACCCTGTCCTCCCTCAGAGTGGAGGCATTATAACAAAGCTATACCTGTATATAACAGTATCAAGGCGATACCTCTATAACAATAACAAGACTTTACCTACCTATAACAATAAAGTGAAGTTAACATCATGTGGGTGGAATCTAAAGAATGAATAAAATTAGGAGCAAATCCATTTTTCTGCTTATAAATATCAGCAACTCTGAAATAAAACAAGATATGTTTGTAAAACATGTATGCCCCCTATCGGCAGCCAATTTGTCATGTGATCAGGTTATTATGCATGACTTCTGACCCAGTGAACAAGCAATTAATAAGGGTTATCTAGTATCTACTGGTCATGACTAGTCACAAGGTAATAATTATTGTGACCCCATAGGTTGTGTGCAGCAATTAAAGTTATTAAAAATCTTACCAAATAATATATACATAAATTTTATGAACCACAAAGGCCTCATTAATGACAGCCAAGATGTTATATTACATAAGACCTTCAAATGTGTATACCAAAAGCACATAAAAATATCAACCAAGGCAACTTGAGTTGTTGAGTTATTGGTCAGAAACGGTCATTAAGTACAAGGTCACTATGACATTGACCACTTGACCCCAAAATCAATAGGGGTCATCTACTGGTCATGACCAATCATCATACCAAGTTTGAAGTTCCTAGGCCTAAAGGTTCTTTATTTATTGATCGGAAACTGTTTTTACCTACAAGGTCAATGTGACTTTGACCCCTTGACCCCAAAATCAATAGGGGTCATCTGCTGGTCATGACCAATCATCATACCAAATTTGAAGTTTCTAGGCCTAAGCCTTTTTTAGTTATTGATCAGAAACCGTTTTTACCTACAAGGTCAATGTGATCTTGACCTTTGACCCAAAAATCAATAGGGGTCATATGCTGGTCATGACCAATCATCATACCAAGTTTGAAATTCCTAGGCCTAAGCGTTCTTTAGTTATTGATCAGAAACCGTTTTTACCTACAAGGTCAATGTAACCTTTGACCCCTTGACCCCAATATCAATAGGGGTCATCTGCTGGTCATGACCAATCATCTTACCAAGTCTGAAGTCTCTAGGCCTAAGGGTTCTTTAGTTATTGATCAGAAACCGTTTTTACCTACAAGGTCAATGTGACTTTAACCTTTGACCCCTTGAACCCTAAATCAATACGGGTCATCTGCTGGTCATGACCAATCATCATACCAAGTTTGAAGTTCCTAGGCCTAAGCGTTCTTTATTTATTGATCGGAAACCGTTTTTACATACAAGGTCAATGTGACCTTGACCTTTGACCCCAAAATCAATAGGGGTCATCTGCTGGTCATGACCAATCACCATACCAAGTTTGAAGTTCCTAGGCCTGAGGGTTCTGTAGTTATTTATCGGAAACCGTTTTTACCTACAAGGTCAATTTGACCTTGACCTTTGACCCCTTGACCTCAAAATCAATAGGGGCCATCTGCTGGTCATGACCAATCACCATACCAAGTTTGAAGTTCCTAGGCCTGAGGGTTCTTTAGTTATTGATCGGAAACCGTTTTTACCTACAAGGTCAATGTGATCTTGACCTTTGACCCCTTGACCTCAAAATCAATAGGGGTCATCTGCTGGTCATGACCAATCACCATATCAAGTTTGAAGATCCTAGGGCTAAGCGTTCTTTAGTTATTGATCGGAAACCGTTTTAACATACAAGGTCAATGTGACCTTGACCTTTGACCCCAAAATCAATAGGGGTCATCTACTGGTCATGACCAATCACCATACCAAGTTTGAAGTTCCTAGGCCTAAAGGTTCTTTAGTTATCACTCGGAAACCATTTGGTCTACGGACCGACAGACCGGACGGACCGACAAGTGCAAAGCAATATACCCCCTCTTCTTCGAAGTGGGGGCATAATAAAATTATTTCAGATAAAGAAGGCCAGATCACAAAGACACTCATTTCATATTTCTTTGTTCATAATACCAATAAGGCCATGTAGGTATCAAACAATAAAAAAGTAGGATTTATTTACATTACTATAAAGTTCCATGTATACAACAAATGTCCTCTCTCTTTTCAGCCCATTCTGACAGACAAGCTTATTATAACAAACATTTGTGCTGAGTAATTTCAAATTCCTTTCATAAATGACTTAGTTATTGAACAGCCATGAAAGTGTGACAGACAGACGTTCTCAGTTTGGTATTCAAGTGGCTACTCTTTTGTTCCCTCTTTTGTTCTTATAGCCACATCTGAGAAAAAGTAGCCACATAAGAGCTTACTGAATGAATAGCATCAAAGGTTTACTGTTCCCTACTGTTCCCCAAGTATCTATATGTAAGTACGGACAGACGGAGACTATTTCTTTATCCCCTTTTTTTTCTTCGAAAGGGTTGGGGACAATTATATACTCCTGGCACCTGTATATACCAATTTTATAATACTGCACGTTTGTAATGTTGCTTTTCATTGGATAATTGTGACGTTTATATAGTTTTATATACACGGCTGTTGTCATTTCATAACGAAATCTTACTTTTTTTCTCTAAAAAGTGATGTTTGCTGTATTATAAAATTCATTATAAAGAATTGTCGACAGGTTATATGGCCGTATATACACTGCTGTTTGCGATATATAATTTTTCGCCTACCGGCTCGGGTTTATATTTACAAAATAGCCATTTATATAGGGCCATATAACCTGTTCAACAATCTTTATAACTAATAATATACCCATGACAACTATATACACCTATGATATACTAATCTCCGTTACCCATGGCACCTGTATCAGGGCATTTTTTCCTTCTAGAACAGGGGCCGATGTTAGGCCCCTTCACAATTCAAAATTGAACTTTTTGTAACAAATCGGCGGAAAGAAATTCACATTTCAAAAGAAATTTCACAAAATATTGTGACTTCGTCCTCGAAATTCATTGTTTACCTTCTGGTAAAACTTGACTTTTGTCAATTGCAAACACGTAAATAGTTATTATCAAGTTAAATGGTATTTGCACATGTTTACCGGGTTAAAGTTCCTACTCCAAGCAGATTTTACACAGGTCAGAAATTATAATCAAGCATTCATAGCAAATTGTTTCCGGTTTCAAAATGTTGCAAGATGGCAAATATCATGTCATTTTTTTTACAATTTTATGACATATTCACTTCTTTTCACAAAATGAACAGGCCCAGACCCCTATACAATTTTGACAAAAAAATGCCTTTTGTATACACCTATATGTGTTACCTATGGCACCAATCATATACTACAATAAAACTTACCTTAACGATTCTGTTTTGCGAGTCAAATAGTTATAAATTTTGTCGGGCATGTCTGGTGGTTGAAGTTTACTTTTATAGTAAGGTTGAATACACAATAAATTCAATGGTGTCACCCATTCCACAGCCTGTCCTCCTTTACTGATAGCTACAGAACATTTGTTAAACCATTCCTGGAATTTATTATAAGTCAATTGTAGTAGACAAATACTGTAATAAGAACTGCAATTTCATCATTTTATAAACCACAGTCATAAACTAGACTATATGACAATTAAAACAAGATGGCTACAATAGCCTTAATGGCAAATATTTGCTCACATGAAAGTGACAAAATAAGTAAGTTCATTATGAAGTTATTGGTACAGGTATAAGTTAACATATATCCAATTTATCCTTGTAACTAAAGACAGATTGAAGATTAACTACATGACAGGGTGATATAACAAATTTACAATGGGAATTGTGGAAAGGCAATAGTGACATAAACAAAGTAGGTCCAGGTGCATCTTGATACATTATGTTTTAGGACCAATGGTCAATTAACTTTGATTTAACAACCAGTTTTATGTTTTATTATTACAGATCTCCAGTGACGTGAAAATAAGTGTAAGAGGTAGCATTTATCAAAGTGCAACCATTATAGGTCCATTAATGACCTTGACCTCATTACCTGAAAATTGGTGTGGCAGGTAGAACACTCTTAATACATTTGAAGTGTCAGAATTTAATATATTGACCATGAATGAAAACTGAATCCAAAGGTTTAACCAAAAACAGATGCCCTGTTTCTTTAAAAGTGGAAGATGGACTTAATTTTGGCAAAACATCTGACATTAGGTAAAAACTTTGTAAGCTGAAGTCTGGGTGTAAAATATAGGCCTTCAACATGCTGTTCTATTTAAATGTGTGCCTATTTTTAAGATTCTTCCAGAGATTGGGAAAGAATTTTTGCAAATGAGACTATGTTCCACCTGTTGGAAAACTTATGAGACATTTTTTAAAGTTATGTTTTTTTTTTTTGTTTTTTGGGTTTTATGTCACATCGACACAGTATAGGTCATATCGCGACGTTCCAGCTTTACTGGCGGAGGAAGACCTCAGGTGCCCTTCTGTGCATTATTTCAGGCACAAACGGGCACCTGAGTAGAACCACCGACATTCTGTAAGCTAGCTGGAAAGCTTCCTCACATGAAAGAATCCAAAGTCCCTGTCGGGATTCGAACCCACAGCGGTGAGGGGCAAGTGGTTTGAAGTCAACGACCTTAACCACTCGGCTACAGAAGCCCTTTAAAAGTTATGAGACATTGTTCAAAACTAATGAGACATGTTTTTCTAAATGATTATAAAGTACGAATAAAGGTCTAAAATGTGTCTTTTCACTTCTCTATGACAAGTAAAATGTAGGTGCATGTGTAAAAGACCCTATCTAAAACAAAGTTTTAAAGATTTGTTATTTGGAAAAAAAATAAAAATTGAATTTTAATTAAAATATGATTGTATTCTTCTGGACACATTTAATATGTATCTGTTTTTCATGCAACATAGGATCACCCTGGAAAAAATAGCTACAATGTACTTGTTTGCCACTTCTAACTGGCCATTTTCAATTGGGTAAGTAGGTAGGTGGGTTAATTTCATCAACAATTGCAGACTTGAATTAAAATAATTTGGTCCTATTTGAATGAACATTATGGTTTAATATACATTATATTTGTTGTTATTATTTTTTGGTGTCAAACAGTTTGTTTATTTGCTGAAGATAAATAAGGTAAAAAGAATCATCATTTAAATGAATCCAATATTTTAAAAGTACCTTTCCATAACATATCAAGTAATATATGACGTAATGTGTACTGTCCATTTTTTTATTTGCATTGAATGGCTTCTAAGTAGCCTTCATTGTTGTCTTTTTTTGACAACTCTACATCAAAGGGACTCACAGCATACAGAAGTCATGCAGTTCAGATATCTAATTGGCTAGTGACCTGTCAATTATTGTAGTGATGTAATAAGCATCACTTCAGCTCATGTTTCACTTTGTTATTGTTAAGTTTTCATAGGCAGGTTATGATGACCTAGATTTACCGCAGAATATTCTGTCAGTGCAACTATAAAAAGATCTAGTTACACTTTTTTTCTGTGGTTACCAAACATGATTTTAAACACAAAAAGGTTTGGATTATTTTTGTTAAGGTAGGAAGATACTAAAACAAGCAATTATCATAGTATTGCAAGCAATCCATAAGTCCCCTACCGGTAAGAGCCCAAGCAACATTCTGAAGGGCCATTTGCCATTCACTTATGTTCCTATTTTAAGTAAATTTGTTGAAAAAGTTCTTTAAAAGTGATCACAGGAAACAGTTTTTATGTACAGACAGACGGACTGAAGGACACTCTAAAGTTATTTTTGAAAATATAACATTTTTAAAATCCTATCATGACTGAAGAAGTTGGAGTAAAATTACCAATTTCTCAAAAAAAAGTCTAAGTTCAAAAGGGGCATAATTCTGGAAATAGTCTTGCTAGAGTATTGAACACTCACAAATGTTGAGTGATAATAAGAAACATTTATATGAAGTTTGAAGTAGATACATTCAGAAAAAGAAGTTATTAAAAAAAAAAAAATGTTTTTTTCATGAAAATTTTAAGTTCAAGGGAGGTAATTCTGATAAATTTTGTGCTAGAGTTGTAAACCTTGTCACATATGATGTGGTTGATGACAAGCAACTTATTATTTAAAGTTTGAAGAAAATACCTTAAGAAATAAAGAACTTATAGTGAAAAAACTTAAAAACTAGAATCAGAAATCTTGAAATTCAGTCTATTTGTTGCCATAGCAACCAGAATTTTCAACATAGGAAGATAAGAAAAGGATGTGCATAATTTCCTTACTGCCATCTATCCATATGTCAAGTTTCATAGACATATTTTCAGTACTTTTCGTGTTATCACTGGATCCAGGTTATGTGTAAAATTTGCCATATTTTCAGTCTATTTGTTGCCATAGCAACCAGAATTTTCAACATAGGAAGAAAAGAAAAAGACGTGCATAATCTCCATACTGCCATCTATCCATATATCAAGTTTCATAAAAATATCTTCAGTACTTTTTGCGTTATCGTGGGATCCAGGTTATGTGTAAAATTTGCCATATTTTCAGTCTATTTGTTGCCATAGCAACCAGAATTTTCAACACAGGAAGAAAAAAAAAGACGTGCATAATCTCCATACTGCCATCTATCCATATATCAAGTTTCATTAAAATATTTTCAGTACTTTTTGCGTTATCGCGGGATCCAGTTTTGTGGACGGACGGACTGACGGACGGACGGACTGACGGACGGACATACCAAAATTTGATGTTTATGAGGCAAATGAGCTCATAAACACCACCTGGACCAACATCCATAAGCAAAATAAGCTCATAAAAGCAAAAAAATAGCTCTTAATTTCAATTTTATGAGTTTATGTTCTTTATTTAACTACGGAATGAAGCTCATAATAATCAAATGTTGGCTCGGACAGACAGACGGACAGACGGACGGAGGGTAAACCGGTAGGGGACTAAAAATTAATGAACTTTTTAATCTAATATAATTTTGGACTGACAGGTTTTGAATGTGTCTGACGGAAACGGCAAACAATGGAGGAATGGAAGCTAATGCTTTAATAACTACAAATGCATGGAAAATCTAAACTTTTGAAAATTATTTTGAACATTTAAAAACTGACTGCCTTGCTTTCCTAATCGACAGAATATTAATAATATTTTCAAGCAGAAAAGCATAAAAAATTTGACGGTGCTAACTCATAGCTACTGTACCAAGTTGTGTTGGCAGATAACTGGTTTAAACTGGTTTAATGCAGATAATTAGTCCTGCCTACTGTACCTGTAGGCGGAGCAAAGAAATTTGTCACTTCGAAATTTATTTGATGCCGCTAATTGATTTACAAACAGTAAGACTTTCATGCTTTTGCTGAATTTCTTGCAGGTCAAATTTGCATTTTAGAAATTACTTGTCTCCTCATTGTTTATTTATGCAACCTAATGTCGTATCTGCAAGCTAATCAATGCGACTAAATTCATTTTAATGCGACTATGTCGCAGGTCGCGGGACTTTACCGATCTCTGTTCTTCAGTTTTAAGTTTCAATACTCCTTATAATGTGACAGATATGAAAGTGATTCTAATGTTTTGTTGAACTAAAAAAATGTTGATTAGCGTAAATAAGTCTATATAATTTGATTTTTTTCCATATGTGAACAATTAATAAAATAATTTGCAGTATTTTTTTTCCAGTATGAACAATTAATAACAAGAGCTGTCACAGGAGACAGCCAAGCTCGACTAATAAAATACTGGACGCAGTAAGGAGGACAAAACTATGAAAGGAAAACCAATTATGTATAATTATGTATTAAGTTATAGTAAAGAAATATCATTTGTTAACATAAATTCCAAGATCAAGGGGAATAATTCTAGAAAAAGTCATGCTAGAGTTATGAACCTTTCACACAACATGTGTGTAATGATAAGAAATATATATTAGAAGTTTGAAGTAGATACCTAAAAAAGTAAAGAAGTTATAATATTTCTTAAAGAAAATCCTAAGTTCAAAGAAAGATTAATCTGTAAATATTGCTTCAAGAGTTACGAACATTGTCACATAAAATGTAATTGATGATAAAGAGTAAGTATTTGAAGTTTGAGGTAGATACCTTTAAAACTAAAAAACTTATATTAAAAAATAACATTTTTCAAGTAAAAAAATCTAAGTTTAAAGGGAGATAATTCTTGCAATATTAGTGCTAGAGTTATGAACCTTGCCACATAAGATGTGGATGATGATAAGTTACATATATTTGAAGTATGACGTTGATCCCTTTAGAAATAAATAAGTAACAGTAAAAAATAAAATTTTTAAGGAAAATTCTAAGTTCAAGGGGAGATAAATCTAAAAATATTGATGCTAGAGTTAAGAACCTTGTCACATAAGATGGGGATGATGATAAGGTACATATATTTGAAGTATGAGGTTGATCCCTTAAGAAATAAAGAAGTAACAGTAAAAAATAGTATTTTTTTAGAAAAATTCTAAGTTCAAGGGGAGATAAATCTGAAAGTATTTGTGCTAGAGTTATGAACCTTGTCACATAAGATGGGGATGATGATAATGTACATATATTTGAAGTATGAGGTTGATCCCTTAAGAAATAAAAAAGGAACAGTAAAAAATAGTATTTTTTAAGGAAAATTCTAAGTTGTAGGGGAGATAAATCTGTAAAAATAGGTGCTAGAGTTATGAACCTTGTCACATAAGATGTGGTTGATGATAAGGAACATATATTTGAAGTTTGAAGTTGATACTTTAAGAAATGAAAAAGTTATAGTGAACTAGAAATGTGTCATCATGCCACGGATGCCCCCGCATGCAGCCAAAATTTCAGATGTTATAATATTTAGTTCCAAATTTGTTTGCACAAATTATTTTTTTCATTTGCAGTTCAAAGCCCTTAAAACTTTTCAATTTTAACACAAACCATTTTCATACAATGTTCAAAGCACTGAAATTATTCAGTCTTAACCTTTTGAAAATAGCATATTTCATATTTGTAGCCAAAATAATGGCTACATACATTTCCACAAAAGTATGAGTGCTGAAACTGAAAGTTCAAATTTTTTCCAACATTCAAGAAAGATAAGTTTGTCCAAAATCATTGAACCACGACCAAATTCAAACTTTCCACAAAAGTATGAGTGCTGAAACTGAAAGTTCAAAATTTTTCCAACATTCAAGAAAGATAAGTTTGTCCAAAATAATTGAACCACGACCAAATTCAAACTTAAACTGCTTATTCCTAAGATGTATCTATATAATTTTCAAAGTGAAAGGGACATATCTCTGCCAAAAAATCATCGAACCATGACCAAATTCCAACTTGACCTGACAATTCCTTTGACAAATCCATATGTCAAATTTGAGTTGAATATGTAACACTGTTGGGTAGATAATAAACAGAAACTGTAAATTTCATATTATTTTCAAAGTGAAAGAGGCTTTACTCTGCCAAAAATCATTGAACCATGACCAAATTCCAACTCGGCCTGGGCATTCCAAAAACATATCCATATGTCAAGTTTGAGTTGAATGTGTTGTACCGTTGGGGAGATAATGAATGGAAACTGAAAATTTCATATTATTTTCAAAGTGAAAGGGGCATAACTCTGCCAAAAATCATCGAACCATGACCAAATACGAACTTGACCTGTATTTTCTCAAGACATATCTATATGTCAAATTTGAGTTGAATGTGTTGTACCTTTGGGGAGATAATGAACGGAATCTGAAAATTTCATATTATTTTCAAAGTAAAAGGGGCATAACTCTGCCAAAAATCATCAAACCATGACAAAATTCGAACTTGACCTGTATTTTCTCATGATATATCCATATGTCAAGTTTGAGTTGAATGTGTTGTATCTTTGGGGAGATAATGAACGGAAACTGAAAATTTCATATTATTTTCAAAGTAAAAGGGGCATAACTCTGCCAAAAATCATCGAACCACGACCAAATTTGAACTTGACCTGTATTTTCTCATGACATATCCAAATGTCAAATTTGAGTTGAATGTGTGCAACCGTTACTTAGATAATGAACGGAAACTGATGATGACGGAATGACAGAATGACGGAAGGACGGAATGACGGAAGGACGGAATGACGGAAGGACGGAACAGGGTAACACTATATGCCCCGGCCATTACATGGCGGGGGCATAGAAATATTTTACTGCACCAAAACTTTAATCTGAAATCTGGACGCGGACATGGACGCCGATGCATGGGCGAGTAGGACAGCTCTCCATATACTTCGTATAGTCGAGCCAAAAATAATTAAATATTTGTGAAAAATTATCACACCTGAATCTGTCTTGCAGATGTAAATAAATTACTCAAACATTGGAAAGTCTTCTCTGCCAAGTATGCGCTGCCAACTAGAATATGTTCACGAGGGAATTCCTTGTAACCAAGCTGACGCTGAATCTGTAATTTGGCACCATACATTGTTACTCCGTAAACCGTTGTCATGATGGACTGCTTGATCACCTTTAAATATACAAATATCAAAATTCATATTGACTAACAGAGGGATAAGAAGCTCTTAAAATAGAACATTTTCCAATCTTGACCCAAAATGCCTTGCTTGAGATTCATTGGTCCTTGGAGTTCATCAATTTCTGCCATCTTGTTTTAACGTAGCTAAATGTGTTAACATTTTCATCTATTACTGAGAATGACTAACATTTTAATTGTCAAATCTTCACTGCTTTTTTGTACATTTCTTCAACTTCTTCTTTTGATTACCATAACATATTTTATATAAAATGGCAGTGAACATATCAGTACATATCATTTTTCTTTTCTCAAAGATGGTCTTGGAAAATCTCTCAAAAATGCAAATTTGCAGGATAATAAATCTTGGCTGTAGATCTTAAATATATCACATCATAGCTTCCTCTCCATTTAAATATAGCTCTGTGACATTGACCAGAGCTAATTCTGTCCAGTTTTATCAAATGCAAACGATTACCAGTTTTATTAAATGCTAACGATTAGAAGTTTTGTTGATTTAATCTTGTGTTACTTTTTCTTTTTTTTTTTTGTTAAATTTTAGTTTTATTCAATTGTACGCATCAATGTATTTTTCTAGTTTTTTTCACTAACACTTTCTATTTTGTTATATTTATAAGACCATAAATTTGAGTTTTGTTAACTTAAACATAGTATCTCTAGTTTTATTTTTAAGCATATGCTTAGCATATGCTTAATCTCTTGTTCTTCCTTGTTTACTCATTTATAAGCACATGGTCACACATTTTTTTTTATATATAAACTATTGTTTATTTTCAAAAGTTGTTGATAGCTTTGTGTATCAAAGGGCCATAACTAATAAAAGAACCTAGGTGACTTGTTATGACACTTGATAAACCACATTTGGTTCTTCAAATAAACATTTTTGCAGTGTATTGTTTTTTTACCTACATGAAATGTTTAGCGACTTAGTAACAGTTTTGTATAATTGTTGTACATTTGTCACTTTTTCACCACATTTTCATGGTAAATAGTCATTACATTTTTCATTATGCTACCATACAAATTTTTACTTAAAATTTATCAGTAATAATGAATTAAAGCATGTGAGGATAAAATCTTCATACTAATGTCAACAGTAAGCTTAACCTAACTCAAATATACATTAGTAAACTATAGGGGTGTAACAATACGGCAAAAACAGTATTGCAATATATTGCCATTTTGCTTAAGTGTATTGCAATATATTGCAATACGTATTGTCGTGTAAATGTTTTGATGTAAAGATGGAGTAACATTTTATATTATTATTATATGTATATATTTTTAGTAGAAACTTAATAAAAATGGAAGGAATAAATAGAAAGTAAAGTGTCACACAATTTGATAAACAAAACTAGTCGCGTGTGACCTTTCACATCCGGGCCGCTTATGTAAATTATGCAGCTGCTTAATACTTTTAAGTGTACTAGTTGTCGGATATTCCATCGTAAGATAAAAATAATGTGAAATTTATACGAAATTAGAGGGCAATTAATTGAAAATTATAATTTTTATAAAATACCGGTGTTCCAAAAATCATACCGCGATACGAAATTTATTTGTTCATATTGCAATATATGGGTATACCAGTAAACCATTACACCCTTTGTAAACTTTGCAACACGAAATTCCTTACCTTTCTCTCAAGGAATGGTTCGCAAATTTTTGCAATTACATAGTCTTTTGTCTCGTTCTGTATATCATACTCAATCTCTTTTCTTACCTGTAAAGGTAAACATAATATATTACATGTACTTTCAATAACCATGATAAAATGTACACTTATTTAAATTGTATGAATGGAAACAAATGTTACAGGAGATATTATTTAGTTTTTATTAAATTTGTGTAATGGATATACATGGCTTTGAATCTAGCCATTCAAAGAGGTTGTGGGGCTTTCAATATCAAAACAACAGCTGTCAGTAGAACAGCTTGCTTGACTATTCTCAGAGCTTGATAGTGAAACAAGTTCAAAAAGGGCCATAACTCTGTCAAAGTCCATGTTGGAGTTATGGGCCTTGGACAGTGACCTATTATGCTCTCAAATAAGTGTGCGATTTGCAACCCATACCCTTAAGTAGTTTTGGAGATACCAACTTGCTAACACAAAACTTATTGATGCCTGGGTTACTACTATAGCTCTCACTTTTTGGCAAAGTCAAGCCAATAATAAATACTGAGCTACAAACAGTACAGATTGTAATCAGTCTCCATGGCTGGCAGAGATGTGCACACTGGCCCGGCTTTATGCTACAAAAGCCAAATGATTTTGTGTACTGTTTCTTTCTCTTTGGCAATTCTTTTTTTATGTTTCTTTTTATGTCAAGTCTGATTACTTTTGTTTTCCAGGGACACCTTTGTGACAGTAACTATTTCTAAGACAATCTTGACACCCATGTGATTATGGCAAATTTGATTACCACCACAAATTTTTTTATTAAAACTAACCAACATGGGGGAGTTGGGTTTCTTTCAAGAACTTCAAGAAATAGTATATAACAAGTACATCTTACTTGAAATATAGAAATTGAATGCTCGACTTACAAGATCGACTACGTCAGAATATACGTCTGCTGGGAAATCACCTTCCTGTTTGAGGTTTACTGATCTAGCCCCCGTGACATCTCGACCTAGTGCTGCGTAATGTTGAAGACCGTTACACGAGCCATCCTGATGCACGGGGTAATGTGAGACATACTTGCTTGGATCTCCACTTCTAACAGCGGCTGCAACTTCTTTACAAGCTGCGAGGGTCTGCCAGGGCTGTTCAGAGGTCATCCACCATTTATTGCCCTGTATTAAAATAGATACATGTACTTATATTTACTTACAAATATCAAGACACCACTATATGCTTGAATTTATATGTTCAAAGAAACTAAAAACATAAAATTTGAATTTCTTACCTAGATCAGCTGGGCACTTAAAAACAGAAATATATGCATTAGATGATATTCAAGAAATATACTCAGAAATAACTTGAAATTTGTATTTTTCTGCAAGTCTTGACACAATTTGAGTAAATTTCAAAAGCATTGCAATTTTTTTCAATTTTCAGCCATATGTCACAATTAGAATACTTATTCGGGAAAAACAGAGTGAGCCAATGATCGGAAATTTTGCAATTGGAACACTGATTATAAAATATTCTATTCTTGCATAAAAGTATAAGTTCCAATAGGTTATTCTGAGTTTCATAAAATAAATTTTGTATTAAGATTTCCAGTAATTATTGCTTGTTCAATGTTTTCCATATGCTAGTGAGACATCATTTGTTTCTGCCATCTGGCTATATGTTTTGATAATGAAATTAAGCTGTATTTACACTGCACCCCGAGTCAAGCATATTAAAAATAATGCAACAAAAGCGAGTGGTATTGAGATTAATCTGTTAATGCACGTATTGTTCTCTGTTAATGTACACTAGTGCTCATTTTTTATGCAATACAATACAATACCTTTATTGCTTCATACGCCACCATGTAAGAATAGCAGTTTACTTACAACAACAAGTAAGGTATATAATTACATTTAATGGGTTGTCAGCAGAATCACATATTTCTGGCATCATTTCATCAGCATATTTTAACCTCTCTTCAAAAGATGCCCTGCAATACAGAACAAGCCAGTCATGATGGCATTAAGTCACTGACCTGCATTCTAATTCTAGGAAAGGTTACTGAGTCATCCTAAAGTATGCTGTTCAATTAGTGTGAAAGAGAATGAAGCTGAAAATTTCAAAGAAGATCACTGGATCATTCTGATATAGTTAGGTGAATACATGTTGAGACTCATCTCCTCTATATACTAAGTTAGGTAAATTTATGTAAGTAAACTGATTCCCACTACTACTATAATATACCAAGTTAGGTGAATATCATTCAACTGTTTCCCAACACTACTATATACCAAGTTAGGTGAATATTAATCGACTGTTTCCCAACACTACTATATACTAAGTTAGGTGAATATTAATCAACTGTTTCCCAACACTACTTAATACCAAGTTAGAAGAATGTTGATCAACTGTTTTCAACCAATACTATATACCAAGTTAGAAGAATGTTAATAAACTGTTTCCAAACACTACTATATACCAAGCTAGGAGAATATAAATCAACTGATTCCCAACACTACTATATACCAAGTTAGAAGAATGTTAATCAACTGTTTCCCAACACTACTATATACCAAGTTAGGAGAATATTAATCAACTGTTTCCCAACACTACTATATACCAAGCTAGGAGAATATTAATCAACTGTTTCCCAACACTACTATATACCAAGCTAGGAGAATGTTAATCAACTGTTTCCCAACACTACTATATACCAAGCTAGGAGAATGTTAATCAACTGTTTCCCAACACTACTATATACCAAGTTAAAAGAATGTTAATCAACTGATTCCCTACACTACTATAAACCAAGTTAGAAGAATGTTAATCAACTGTTTCCCAACACTACTATATACCAAGCTAGGAGAATGTTAATCAACTGTTTCCCAACACTACTATATACCAAGTTAGAAGAATGTTAATCAACTGATTTCCAACACTACTATAAACCAAGTTAGAAGAATATTAATCAACTGTTTCCCAACACTACTATATACCAAGCTAGGAGAATGTTAATCAACTGTTTCCCAACACTACTATACACCAAGCTAGGAGAATATTAATCAACTGATTCCCAACACTACTATACATGTGTATACCAAGCTAGGTGAATATTGGTTCACATGTGTGTTCTAAGTTTAATAAGGGTCCATCCTTTCAGGCACTGAGTACGAACACTACTATATATCAAGTTACGTGAATATCTGATTAATTCTTACTATAGCACAAATCATGAAATGATATTCTTATTTCTCACTTATTATTCTACCATAAAACAATAAAGCATCAATCAAATCAAAAATTTTCAGAATACCTTTTTTTATGTTCTGTAAGATTGACTAGATGAACTTTAAGCCAATAAAATCCCTTCTCTCCAAGTGGTTTTCCTTTTGCAAACATCAAGAGTGCTTTAACATAATCCTGATCTAAAAATAAAATACCAGCGATGTGATTCTGATAAAAAACTGAATATCTGTACCAGGTTTACAGGACAAAACTCACTAACTCATGGTAGTTTGGCTTAAGAAATTTTTTGTAAATAAAAAATGAAGGTCTACAAAAAGGCATTAAAAAGTTTATCAAGTTGAAATACATTAAATGAAATTGTTACGTCCTTCAATGGTACATTCGCTCCCTCCCCCTTAACCCCCCCCCCCCCCAAATATTTGGATTGTTGAATTGAAATTCTAGGAATCTTAAGATCTGTAATTCCCTTTATTTCATGATATCTACATGACAATATGCACTAAATTGAAAGAAATAATGATAAATTCTGAAGAAAAAAAGCTGCAACCTTCAACCTGTAATTCTCCACTTACTTTGATGCTGCAGATGAGGAGCCACTGGGTAAGACCTTCCCCGAAAATCAATGTTCATAGTCAACCAGAAAGTTCTATCTCTCAGCTGAAATGAAAACCAGTTGTGCATTTTAAACAGCAGGCCTTCATATGAGCAAATAAGAAACATTCAAGAAAGAGTCAAATGTAAGAAAAACATACATTTTTTGTGGTACTGACATTTTTTTATGATTATGGTATTGACATTCTTGTATGATTATGGTATTGACATTCTTGTATGATCATGATATTGATATCATTTTTTAATTTATACAGTAAAATATGATATACCTGATTTGCAATAGAAAGTTTGTATAGACCACTCCACCACAGACTCACAGCCCAGCTTTTGGATTTTCCAACACAAACATTCTGTTTTTATACTCCTTTTCCTCAATTGTGTGGGACTGAAAATTTTTTAACGGGTTTATATCTACAGCTATATCCAATCATCCTAAACTTTATTTGATCATCACTTTATTTATAGAGTATAAATGCTTCCATTACTTAAGCCATAGTTTGAAATAACTAGGCATTGAAATATACATTGTAATTTGATAAAGGACATGATCACACATTTCTTTGACATATTTTGAAACATTCTTTTGCTTTATAATTAAACCATTGTGTTATTAACACTTATTGTTTCATTAAAGCCTTTGCTTATAAGCCATATCAAAATATTCTTTAATAATATCATATTTGAAAAATATTTCACTGAAAACTAGAAATGTGTCCATAGGACACGGGTGCCCCCATCGCGACACTGTTCTGTCAATCTTTTTACTAAGTCAAGGGAAATAACTCTACAAATACTGGATAAATCCACAAGCGAAACCCCAGGTGCAAATCTAAAATATGCTGAGCAACCTGCCCATAAGTTAATGACTATGTCAAATCCTTTTTGAGAAACTTGCGACACAAGTTGAAAATTGCAAAAATTTTCTAAGTGAAGGGCAATAACTCTAAAAATACTAAATAAATCCAGACGAAAATACCTGGTGCACAACTGCACATGCTGATCAATATTCCTGTAAAGTTTCATGACTCTAGGTCAAATACTTTTTGAGTTATGTGCGACACATGTTGAAAATTGCCAAATTTTACTAAGTCAAGGGTTTGTTTGTTTGTTTGTTTCATTTTACGCCTTTTTCAACAGTATTTCAGTCATATAGGCGGGTAGTTTCCTAACCATCGTTCCTGGAGAGTTACACCAGTACTAGACAACCTTCCTCCGCGCTAAACTACCAAAGCATCTCCCGGGGATAGAACCCAAGCCAGAGAGGTACCTGGATTAGAAGTCATCGACTCTAACCCCTCGACCACGGAGGCGGTTAAGTCAAGGGCAATAACTCTGAAATTACTAAAAATATTCAGACGAAAATACCCAGGTGCACAACTACACATGCTGATCAACATTCCTGTAAAGTTTCATGACTCTAGGTCAAATACTTTTTGAGTTACATGCAACACAAGTTGAAAATTGCAAAATTTTACTAAGTCAAGGGCAATAACTCTGAAAATACTAAAAATATCCAGACGAAAATACCCAGGTGCACAACTACACATGCTGATCAATATTCCTGTAAAGTTTCATGACTGTAGGTCAAATTCTTTTTGAGTTACATGCGACACAAGTTGAAAATTGCAAAATTTTACTAAGTCAAGGGCAATAACTCTGAAAATACTAAAAATATCCAGACCAAAATACCCAGGTGCAGAATTACACATGCTGATCAACATTCCTGTAAAGTTTCATGACTCTAGGTCAAATACTTTTTTAGTTACGTGCGACACAAAAGTGAACGGACGGATGGAAGGAGCTACGACGGACAGACGGACGAACAAGGGTAAATCTAAATGCCCGCCACTAACGTGGGGGCACAAAAATGGATGAGATTTTATATACCCATATAATTAACAAAAAGCAAAAACTAATAATTTACTCAGCATGGAGTTTCCGAGGCTTCTTAATACTCTCAGGTAATATAGGAATATCTAAATCTTCATCACCTCCTTCTTTAAACACCCTGATAGCAACATCCAGTACCTTAAAAATAACATGTCATCTGTGATAAATCTGGAACCTTAAAAATAAAAACACATGTCATCTGTAACAAATCTGGAACCTTAAAAATAACATGTCATCTGTAATAAATCTGGAACCTTAAAAATAACAACACATGTCATCTGTAATAAATCTGGAACCTTAAAAATAACAACACATGTCATCTGTAACAAATCTGGAAACCTTAAAAATAACAACACATGTCATATGTACTAAATCTGGAATCTTAAAAATGACGACACATGTCATCTGTAATAAATCTGGAACCTTAAAAAGAACAACACATATCAACTACCTTAAAAAGAACAACACATGTCACCTGTAACAAGAGGGCCATGATGGCCCTGAAGTCGCTCACCTGTATATAAGCCTCACGGAGCAGGGCCAGTTTAAACCCCAGGGCTTTTATTTGAACAAACTTGGAAGACACCCATTAGAAGATGTTTCATGCTAAACATCAAAGGGTTTTTTAAAAGAAGATTTTTTAAGTTTTTTCTTTACACATATATTTAAAAACAATGACACCCCTGGGGCAGGGCCAGTTTTGACCCCAGGGCTTTTATTTGAACAATCTTTGTAGACACTTACTAGAAGATGTTTCATGCTTAATATCTAAACTCTAGCTATTCTGGTTTTTCGAAGAAGATTTTTAAATTTTTGCTATACATATATAAGGAAAATCAATGTTCCCCGGGGCGGGGCCAATTTTGACCCAAGGGCTCTTATTTGAACAAACTTGGTAGACATCCATTAGAACATGTTTCATGTTAAATATCTTAGCTTTAGCTCTTTGGGTTCTTTGAAAGAAGATTTTTAAGTTTTTACTATATTCAAATAGGGAAAATCAATGACCCCCTGGGGCGGGGCCAATTTTGACCCCAGGGCTCTTATTTGAACAAACTTGGTAGACATCCATTAGAACATGTTTCATGCTAAATATCTAAGCTCTTGCTCTTTGAGTTCTTTAAAAGAAGATTTTTAAGTTTTTACTATATTCATATAGGGAAAATCAATGATCCCCCGGGGTGGGGCCAATTTTGACCCCAGTGCTCTTATTTGAACAAACTTGGTAGACATCCATTAGAAGATGTTTCATGCTAAATATCTTAGCTCTAGCTCTTTGGGTTCTTTAAAAGAAGATTTTTAAGTTTTTACTATATGCATAGAGGAAAAATCATTGACCCCCTGGGGCGGGCCAATTTTGACCCCATGGCTTTTATTTGAACAAACTTGGTAGACATCCATTAGAAGATGTTTCATGCTAAATATTTTAGCTGTAGCTCTTTGGGTTCTTTACAAGAAGATTTTTTAAGTTTTTACTATAGACATATAGGGAAAATCAATGACCCCCTGGGGCGGGGCCAATTTTGACCCCAGGGCTTTATTTGAACAAACTTGGTAGACACTTGCTAGAAGATGTTTCATACCAAATATCTAAGCTCTAGCTCTTAGGATTTCTTAAAAGAAGATATTTAAAGTTTTTTCTTTCGGTTGGCATGGCAACCAGATATCTGAATGGAATTAAATTCTTTGAAGAATTTTTAAAGGTGACCACCAAAGGAACATTCCTGTGAAGTTTGAATGAAATTGGTTTAGTGGTTTATGAGGAGATGTCATTTTAAGTAAAAGTTTACGGACGGATGGACGGCGGACGCCGTACGGACGCCGGACAAAAGTGATCACAAAAGCTCACCCTGTCACTTTGTGACAGGTGAGCTAATAAATCTGGAACCTTAAAACTAACAACACATGTCATCTGTAATAAATCTGGAACCTTAAAAAAAAAACAAATGTCATCTGTAATAAATATGGAACCTTAAAAAGAACAACACATGTTATCTGTAATAAATCAGGAACCTTACAAAGAACAACACATATCATCTGTAATAAATCTGGAACCTTAAAACTAACAACACATGTCATCTGTGATAAATCTGGAACCTTAAAAAGAACAACACATGTCATCTGTAATAAATCTGGAATCTTAAAAACAAGATATGTTTGTGAAACATGTATGCCCCCTAATGGCAGCCAATTAGTCATGTGATCAGGTTATTATGACTGACTTTTGACCTAAACCAACAATCTATAAAGGTCATCTACTGGTCATAACCTTCGACCCCTTGATATGAAAATCAATAGGGATCATCTGCTGGTCATGAACAATCATTGTACAAAGTTTGAAGTGTTCTTTAGTGATCAGAAAATGTGACCTTGACCTTTGACCCCAGACACCAAAATCAATAGGGGTCATCTGCTGGACATGAAGTCATGAACAATCACTGTACCAAGTTTGAAGTTCCTAGGCCTAAGGTTCTTTAGTTATTGATCGGAAACCGTTTTCATCTACAAGGTCAATGTGACCTTGATCTTTGATACCAAAATCAACGGGGGTCATCTGCTGGTCATGAACAATCACCGTAACAAGTTTTAAGTTTCTATGCCTAAGCTTTCTTTAGTTATTGATTGGAAACTGTTTTTCACCTACAAAGTCAATGTGACCTTGACCTTTGAACCCTTGACCCCAAAATCAATGTCAACAACACATGTCATCTGTAATACATCCATAACCTTAACATTTATGTAAATTTAGCAGTTCAAAGGTTGTGGAGTGTCTAAATAATACATTTTTTTATTTCTTTTCTATTTTCAGGCGAGTTAAATGAGGTTATATAGGTGCTTTAAAAATACCTGGACCAAGAATAAAGTTAGGGGTAGGAAACAGTTAAAACTTTTGTCAGCTCTTATATTATTTGTAAAATTAAGACACTTAACAACAAGCACTTTTGTATTTTTACATTTTGTGCTATCTTAAAGTAATATATAACTATTATTAAGTCATGTCTGTTATTTGTTTATATATTTTATTCTGATGAAGGCGTAAGTTAAATGCTGACAAGTAAAAACAAGAGGGCCATGATGGCCCTCAGGTCGCTCACCTGTATATAAACCCCCGGAGCGGGGCCAGTTTAAACCCCAGGGCTTTTATTTGAACAAACTTGGAAGACACTCATTAGAAGATGTTTCACAATGTTAAGTTTTTACTACACACATGTAATGAAAAACAATGATCTCACCTGCCCCCCCAATGGGAGGGCCAATTTTCACCCAAGGGCTTTTATTTGAACAAACTTGGTAGATATCCATAAGAAGATATTTCATGCTAAACATCTAAGCTCTAGCTCATTGGGTTTTTTACAAGAAGATTTTTAAGTTTTTACTACACACATAATTATAGTTAAAAACAATGACACCCCTGGGGCGGGGCCAGTTTTGACCCCATGGCTTTTATTTGAACAAACCTTGTAGACATTTACTAGAAGATGTTTCATGCTGAAAATATCTAAACTCTAGCTATTTGGCTTTTTTCAAAGAAGATTTTTTAAGTTTTTACTATATGCAATTTATATTCTTGTATTGTTGTTGATTTTTCAATTCTAAAATTAAAGAAATATTGGTATATTCAGCAAGGTTTGTCCTTTAGCACTATTTAATAGGTTTGACCTGAATATTGATAACTACAATCCTACAATTTTGCAGCAAAAAAAAACCCCACAAAAACACTTATCACACAAACTTATGAAAAGTGTAATGAAGATAATTACAGGTTTATTCACTTTCCATGCATAGGTTGACAGGATATTCAGACTGTCCAAAACAGGTCCTGCGTCATCTGTTTTTTCTTCCAAAGTTTCTATCTGTTGAGGTGTACACCAACGTAAAAGATTCACTACAAAATAAAGATGATAACTGTCAATGCTTATCAAAATAACCCTATGTATTGATATAATAATCCTACACTTTTATTTATTTATTCAAAGTTTTCAACATGGTACAGTTCAAAATATGAGCCATGTCATGACAAAACCAACATAATGCGTTTCTAAATTCAAAATTTCACCATTTTTGTGTTTAAATGTTGAATTCTGCTTAAGCCGGTGCTAGGGGGCGTGTACGGTAACTTGCACTTTCCAGTACCGTCCATGAACAGGCTCAATCAAACCGAGCCTGCAACATTTTTAATTTTGCCGTGTTGGGCTTTCTTTAGGGATTCTGTTTTCACTATTTTACAATTTCATTCATAACGTAAACTGATGTCATCCTCAGAACGCAATTCATTCATAAAAGGCGCGAAGCAATGACGTCATTTAAAGCACGCGACTTATCTTACATGGGGGGTGTAAAACAGGGTTTTCTGGCACCAGTGTAAATGGTAGATAATCCTGTCTGATATGCAAGAAAGTATAATAATGCACGACTTTTCGTTTAAATGCTTTGTAGTTAAACACTCAGGCTTATCAGCCTTAGTGATTATATTTCTACGCATTTGAATTCAAACCGTGAATAATTCTACAACAATGCACTTAGAATTGATATCTATTCTAATTAAGTCACAAATTATACTCAATCTTGTTACATAGCATCAATTAACAAGCTGAAATGACTCTGCACTGCTGAAATAATGCATTGTACACTTGCTTGATTTGAAAACATAACTAACAGAAAACTTATCACAGCTGAAATAAGATTACAGCTCAGTTTCTACTGAACAGCTACCCAACAGCCTGATACTTAAATCTGTGTCAACAACCAGTTTATTCCCTCGCTATTACGTATAAACTTTACTTCAAAACAAGATAATGATGTCTTTAAGAAGCACTTTAATCTTATAGTAGTTTATCAATTTACAACTTCATTCATTATCAGAAAAATAACAATATCCAAATACAACTTATTGGTAATAGTGCATGATTGATAGCATTTTAAAACCTGTGAATCATACAGTAAATCTAACACAGACAGTGTTCAGATTTACACAGAGTTTTATCTGGCACCACAATAAACAGTAGAACATCCTGTGTGATTTAAAAAGAATTTTTATTCTTGGAAGTTGTATTAGAAAAAATTAAATCATAATCACCTGTACTGATAAAGTTGCCTCCATGCCTAGGACCTAGAAAAGGTACTGGTGGGCACAAACTAGGCAATGTCTCAGTTGGCATAATCAGATCTGCTTGTGCATTTAGTAGTGTAATAAGTGTAGGGTTGGGCTGAAAAATACACACATACACAGTTACTTGTTTCTTTTGTTTCCAGGTAAGTTAGTTCAAATGTTCCTGTCAAAAACTGTAAACCATAAACATATTTTAGTACATGTACCACAAAATAGGGAGATATTTCTCATTGATTTGTAACAGTGTATGTATGGCTCCCTAGTCTGTTTTTTTTTGACTTATGACAGAAATTGGATCTAGTATCAGGGAAAGAAAGAAGGATATCCAGACACTAAGCAATGTGACTGTATATGCGTCTAGCTGGCTTAGACACTAAGCCAAGTGGCTGTATATGCATATAGCTGGCTTAGACACTATGTTAAGTAGCTAAATGTGCACTAGTTGGCTGAGATACTAAACCAAATGGCTGAGACTGAAGAACAGCTGCAAGCAATAATTTGTACAGACATATCATCTGAAATAACATTTAGGTGTGCTATAAACTACATAATTATATAATGCAGAAAAATCATTAAAGCGTTCCATAAATATTAAACAAATTTAACTCAGTAGGCAGTGGCTGCTACTTGCCAGGTCATCATTATGATAGAGTAGGAAAATGCTACTTAATTACATTCTTCTTCAACAAAGTATAACAATACATGGTATACTGTGCCATAAAAAAACCACAAACACTTCAAATACAATTGCCAACATGTAACAAGAGGGCCATGATGGCCCTGAAGTCGCTCACCTGTATATAGGCCCCCAGAGCGGGGCCAGTTTAAACCCCAGGGCTTTAATTTAAACAAACGTGGTAGACACCCATTAGAAAATGTTTCATGCTAAACATCTAAGGTCTAGCTCATCGAGATTTGAAAAACAAGATTGCATTTGAGAAAAATGCTATGCCACCGCAATAATACAACACTAAATAGTAGTGTAGGAACAGATTTTGACCCCAGGGCTATAATTTGAACAATCTTGGTAGAGGTCTACCAGACAATGCCTTATGCAAAACATCTAAGCTCTAGGCCTTTTGGGTCTTTACAAGAAGATTTTTTAAATTTATTCTTATAATTCATTTTGGTTGCCATGGCAACCAGATTTCTGCATGGAATTAAATTCTTTGAACAACTTTGGAAGCCCTTCACCCAAGGATCAATCCTGCCAAGTTTGGTTGAAATTGGACTAGTGGTTTTTCACAAGAAGATTTTTTAAGTTCACTATATAATCTATATAACACACACACAAACAAACAAACAAACACACACACACAGAGGTGAATCGCTATATGCCACCGCATCAGAGATGCTGCGGTGGCATAAAAAAAAGATTTTTTAAGTTGTAACTATACACATATAGTTAAAAGCAATAACACCTCTAGTGCGGGCCAGTTTTGACCCCGGGGCTTTTATCTGAATTAACTTTAAAGACACTCACTAGAAGATGTTTCATGCTTAATATCTAAAACTCTAGCTATTTGGTTTTTTTTCAAAGAAGATTTTTAAGTTTTTGCTATACACATATAAGGAAAATCAATGTCCCCCTTGGCAGGGCCAATTTTGACCCTAGGGCTTTTATCTAAACAAACTTTGAAGACACTAACTGGAAGATGCTTCATGCTTAATATCTTAACTCTAGCTATTTGGGTTTTTTCAAAGAAGTTTTTTAAGTTTTTGCTTTACACATAGAAGGAAAATCAATGACCCCCCGGGCAGGGCCAATTTTGACCCCAGGGCTCTTATTTGAACAAATTTGGTAGACACCCATTGGAACATGTTTTATGCTAAATATCTTAGCTCTAGCTCTTTGGGTTCTTTAAAAGAAGATTTTATAAGTTTTTACTATATGCATATAGGGAAAATCAATGACCCCTGGGGCCAGGCCAATTTTGACCCCAGGGCTTTTATTTGAACAAACTTGGTAGACACCCATTAGAAGATGTTTCATGCTAAATATCTTAGTTCTAGCTCTTTGGGTTCTTTCACAGAATATTTTTTATGTTTTCACTATATGCATATAGGGAAAATCAATGACCCCTGGGGCCAGGCCAATTTTGACCACAGGGCTTTTATTTGAACAAACTTGGTAGACACCCATGAGAAGATGTCATTTAAAGTAAAAGTTAACAGACGCCGGACGGACACCGGACAAAAAGCTAAAAATGCCAAGAAAATGTATGGTAGGAGCTCATTGAAAGAAATTATTTTAATCAATTAATTAATAATTAATTAAACAAAGCAAAGTCATTTAACCAATATTATGCTGGTATTTCTGTCACCTACCCTGACTTCTAAGTTACGAGTCCCATCTCTTGACCTCTCAACAAGAAAGAAAGCATCAGTCATTTTCCTATAAATACACATGTACAATCATCAAAACATAAAAAACCCCGACTTCATGTCAAATGCAGCAAATACACTTTCCACAATTATTTTTTCAGCACAAATAGGAAAGCTTTAGACTCATCAATATAGTCATGTTACCATGTACAGCTGTCAGCTAAATTTTAGTAAAAGTGTTTTGACAGTAATATGTCTGAAACTAAAACATTTCAAAAATTGAAATCAAATGTGTCCATATGACATTAATACCCCTTTTTGCACACCAGGACATATTTTATTCAAGTCAAGCGTAAAAGTAATGCATACATTATAATAATACAATAATAAAGAGATTCACAAACTGACCATTTTGAAAACATTTAATTTTGGTTGATAAGAAAAGTATTTCTAGTTTATTAGTGTCACTGTCACCTTGACCTAATAACCTAAAAATCAACAAGGGTTCCCAATTGACCATGGGATATTTCCCTACAAAGTTTTATATTTCCCTACTAGGTTTTATATACTAGTAGCTTTCTGACGCGGTATATTTTGCTATTAGCAGCATGGGCAAATTGATACTCGGTCTAGCTATATATAAAATTTGTGAAGCTGCTCATAGCAAAATACTAAGCTTCCGAAAGCTACTACAGATTTACAGACATGTTAAAGGAGAGTAGATACAGATACTTACTTTGGTCCATCAATTGTTATGTTTGAATCAAACTTCGTGTTCTTCACAATTAAATCAAAGAAAATATCTCCAATCTGTAAGAAAAAAAATAATAAAAATAATTGTTTTGAAAAGGCAAAAGTTACAAACTGATCTATACAAATATAAATGTGTCAGGGTATTAACAGAAACATTTTTAGCGAAAAAAAAATGAGGTCACTGATCTCATTTTCTGGGTATCTGCTGTTGAATTTGAAAATATAGTCTTAGATCAAAACATATGTTTATGTATTTTGACTTTTTCAAGTTTTAAAAGAGTCAAAACCTTAATGTACTGTCACAGCAATATGTGCATTTCAGATACAACTGGCACAGGGTAGAACCGCCGACGTTCCATAAGCTAGCTGGAAAGCTTCCTCACTTGAAAGAATCCAAAGTCCCTGTTGGGATTCGGACTCACAGCAGTTAGGGGCAAGTGGTTTTAAGTCAACAACCTTAACCACTTGGCCACAGTTAAGAAGTGTTGAAATTACTAATCTTTGTCAGAGATCAATGATTGCATTGATACTAATTAAATCATTGTAGAAATCTCAAGTAAATATAGTCCAGATATAACAAGAAATACAGCAATCAAGCAAGGCTGTCCCATCCTACCTAGCTTGTGAAAATTTAATATCAAAATACCCTATCCAAGCTTCTTAACTTGTAAATTTAATGTCAAAATAACAACAGTATAGAACCTGATCAAACTGTGCAAATCACCGTCCTGGCATGGCAAATGCCAAAGACTAATGATAGTAATCATGTACAGCAGCAGATGGCTGAGACTCCAGCCAGCTGAGAGACCAGCTGACTGAGAGCACGAGATGTGTAACTGAATATTACATATATAAATCAACTTACCGTTAATCTAATGGACTCTGACCATTCAACAAAGGGTCTTTCCTGGAATTCAATACCAAACAATAATTCATGCACCTCATTTCATTATCTCAAAAATCTCAAAATTACTTGAATATTAAAGGGACTCCACTGAGGTATTTATGACATGACATGACTAAAAATAAGTTTTCGAGATCAATGTTCCATTTATTATAGGTCTAGACCAGTAACATGTGTGCAAAATTTCTGACCATTAGATCACGCCATTTTTCCACAAAAACTATTCTTATTGTTGAAATGACCAAAAATTCTTGCTATGCTTTTAACTTAAACCAGGCTGAGATTAGCACAAAAATACAATTTTGAATTTATTTAATTATCTTTTGCATATCTTTTCTGTTTTAAGTGCCCCAGCTGATCAAAAATTCAAATGTTTATGTTTTTAGGATTTTGGCCTTCAGTGGAGTTCCTTTAATAAAATATATTCAATGTAACAATTTATGTCTCAAAATATAACAAGAGGGCCATGATGGCCCTGAAGTTGCTCACCTGTATGTAGGCCCATGGAGCGGGGCCAGTTTAAACCCCAGGGCTTTTATTTGAACAAACTTGGTAGACACCCATTAGAAGATATTTCATGCTTAACATCTAAGGTCTAGCTGGTCAAGTTTTTTTCTTTGCACATATATGTGTAGTTAAAAACAATGACACACCTGGGGCAGGGCCAGTTTTGACCCCCAAGGGCTTTTATTTGAACAATCTTTGTAGACACTTACTAGAAAATGTTTCATGCTTAATATCTAAACTCTAGCTATTTGTGTTTTTTCAAAGAAGACTTTTAAGTTTTTGCTATACACATAAAAGGAAAATCAATGTCAGCTGGGGCGGGGCCAATTTTGACCCCAGGGCTTTTATTTGAACAAACTTTGTAGACACACACTAGAAGATGCTTCGTGCTTAATATCTAAACTCAAGCTATTTGAGTTTTTTCAAAGAAGACTTTTAAGTTTTTGCTATACACATATAAGAAAAAATCATTGACCCCCGGAGCAGGGCCAATTTCGACCCCAGGGCTCTTATTTGAACAAACTTGGTAAACATCCATTAGAACATGTTTCATGCTAAATATCTTAGCTCTAGCTCTTTGGGTTCTTTAAAAGAAATTGTTTTAAGTTTTTACTATATGCATATAGGGAAAATCAATGACCCCCTGGGGCGGGGCCAATTTTGAACCCAGGGCTTTTATTTGAACAAACCTGGTAGACACCCATTAAAAATGTTTCATGCTAAATATCTTAGCTCTAGCTCTTTGGGTTCTTTAAAAGAAAATTTTTTAAAGTTTTTTACTATATGCATATAGGGAAAATCAATGACCCCCTGGGGCGGGGTCAATTTTGACCTCAGGGCTTTTATTTGAACAAACTTGGTAGACATCCATTAGAACATGTTTCAAGCCAAATATCTAAGCTCTAGCTCTTTGGGTTTTTTAGAAAAAGATTTTTTAAGTTTTTACTATATGCATATAGGGAAAGTCAATGACCCCCTAGGACAGGGCCAATTTTGACCCCAGGGCTTTTATTTGAACAATCTTGGTAGACACTCATTAGAACATGTTTCATGCTCAACATCTCAGCTCTAGCTCTTTGGGTTCTTTAAAAGAAGATTTTTTAAGTTTTTACTATATGCATATAGGGAAAATCAATGACCCCCTTGGGCTGGGCCAATTTTGACCCCAGGGCTTTTATTTGAACAAACTTGGTAGACACCTATTAGAAGATTTCATGCTAAATATCTTAGCTCTAGCTCTTTGGATTCTTTAAAAGACGATTTTTTAAGTTTTTACTATATGCATAAAGGGAAAATCAATGACCCCCTGGGGCGGGGCCAATTTTGACCCCAGGGCTTTTATTTGAACAATCTTGGTAGACACTCACTAGAAGATGTTTCATGCCAAATATCTAAGCTCTAGCTCTTTTGGTTTTTTAGAAGAAGATGTTTAAAGTTTTTTCTTTTGGTTGCCATGGCAACCAGAGTTCTGCATGGAATGGAATTCTTTGAACAACTTTGTTAAGGCTTCACACAAGGAACATCCCTGTGAAGTTTCATTATGATCTGCCTTATGGTTTCAGAGGAGATGTCGTTTTAAAAGTGTGAACGGACAACGGATGACGTACGACGGACGAAGAGTGATCCTAATAGCTCACCCTGAGCATATGCTCAGGTGAGCTAAAAAATAACAAGAGCTGTCCCGAAGACAGGTCACTGGACTACTATAAGTACTTGCATGAAATTGGGAATGATGGTCACTCGCAAGTATTTAAAGTTTCAAAGCAATACCTCAAAGGGTATTACAAATATATGGGGTGGTAAGAAAAACTTATTAAACAAAAGTGTGCCGCAGATGCCAACACCAACAACCGGGTGAGTAGAATAGCTCTCCCTATTATATATACATATATTGTATAATAATCAAGCTAAAATTGATTTAAATACAAACTTGAATTTAAACAAATACAAATAATGTAAAATTGTGATAATATTTTCACTGTTATAATTTCAAGGCTTAAACTGAACTTTTCTTAACAATCACAAAATTTTTCAAGCACACCTAATGTCTTGGACTAAAACATAGCTACTAATTCATTTTCTTTTATGTGTGAACATCATGCTTTCCTAGTGTCATCACCGGTCAGATTACCAGACCCATTCACATTTGCAAATAGGCTTATTTTTTCCCAATCTTTAAAAGAAAAATCCCAAAACTGAAATTCTCAAATCAAAATTTGCGAGAGTTCCAGTGTAATATCTGACAGAAAGTTTTCACACATTTCCCTATCAAACTTTAATGCATTTTATATGCTTTTAATAATATTTACATTGGTTGGAATAATTGCACAATTCAAAGTATTATGTTCCCAAAAAGTTCCCAATATTTTTCCAAATTACATAATTTTACAACGCAAAATTTCCCAAACAGGGCTAGGTACTTTTTCCAAAATGGTTAGGAAAAGGCCTGGAACATATAAAAGTTGCGGCAAATTTATCGATGTTAAACTAACTATATTGTTCCCATCACTTAAATTCTCCATCGTTTCTTTCCACAACTCTCTCTGTGACTTCACTTGTTCCTCCGAGTTAACAAGGTGCGAAATGTATGTGGAATACGCCTTATGTACCTGTAATTCACATTAATTATATACATTATATATACTCTACCCCACTTAGTTTGCTGTACATAAAACTCAGAAAACAAGAAGAAAAAGAAACACTGAATCGGCTATACATTTGAAATCATTACATCATCATTAATCCTGCTATAAATAAAGTAACAATCTTGTTTTTCATGTCTCGATCAAAAACTTCTAAATTTCATATGCTCTTGTCTGCAAACAAAAACATGTAGAAACTATAGAAATTTTGTTTAAAGTTGTGCCATTGACCACAAAGCACAACCTTATACCCACTTTTTACTTTCCCTAATCAGCAATTTTCCCCACGGGGGAACCTGATGTCTTACACACACACACCCCTATCCCTATATATATAATGTTTATTATATAAATACAGGGGATGGATAGGAGGTGTGTGTTAGACGGCAGGCATTTATGGTTTTACTGATAATTCTAATTCTTACAAAAATCAATAGGTTAATGCCTCTCGGAATAAAAAAGTAGAGAGCCTGGTCAGACTGCAGAGATGTGCAAGCTAGCATGACTGTATTATCCTTGCAAATGCCTATCACTTTCTAACATGTTAAAAGTTCAAGTTAAAACAACAAACTGTTTTAATTTGATTGCTCGGCAAAACCGCTTGTTTTAATATAATTGAGTTACGTCATGACAAAACTAACATAGTGCGTTTGCGACCAGCATGGATCCAGACCAGCCTGCGATCCGCGCAGTCTGATCAGGATCCATGCTGTTCGCTATCAGTTTCTCTACTTGTAATAGGGCTGGTATGCAAACAGCATGGATCCTGATCAGACTGCACGGATGTGCAGGCTTGTCTGGATCCATGCTGGTCGCAAACCCATAATGTTGGTTTTGTCGTGATGTGGCTCCTATACAACAGATCCTCAGATAAAACTAAACTGCCTTCATTTACCTACTTCTATGTCCAAACTGAATTACACTTTTCTACAAACACACCCTTAATATACAATCTTCGAATATTTCAAAATATAACCTGAAAACTGATGAACAATAAATATAAATACCTTTGGAAACGCGTCCATTTCGATCATTTGTTGTATACTAAACCTCTGTTTAATTTTGGTGATTATAGATTTACGGAGAAACGCACAAGCAGGGCTAAACATCTTTGAAAATGACAACCACATATTCAGCTCCTGTATAGAACATAGGTATCAAACATTTTTCATTTGTGCATTATCAATTTTGTTTGGTTTGGTTAGATTTAAATTGCAGCAACACTTTAAAGGTAATATGGTGATTGTCCTGCTTTATTAGTGTAGGCATATCTATAGTGGCCCCTTGTGCATTATTTCAGGCATGAACAGGCACCCCGAGAAGAATCACGGACCTCCCTGAGCTAGCTAGATAACTTCCTCACATGAAAAAACTTCCAAAATTCCTGACAAGATTTGAGCCCTCAGAGGTAACGGGAAAGTAATTTGAACCCAGCCACCTTAACCACTGGGCCATAGAGGACCCCAAGGATGATTTCATCAATTTGCTCATACAGAAATATACAAGTTTCTTTCTTTCCTGCAGGTGTTTTTAAAGAGTACAATGGTAAAATTTAGTTTAACCTATTTGAAGATATTTTCCAAAGGTTCTTAGGTCCAAGTATGAATATAATAAATCCATAAATAATGTAAAGCCAATATAAGCAAAGTTCAAAGAATAAATTATTTAAGGTCAACCTTATTTATAAGTCTAGGTCAAATTCCTTTTTACAAGCAAGAAGACCTATTTACTTTATGAACTTTTGGATATGAAGCACAACACAAGATTGTGTCTACAGACAGCCAGATTAATGTTTCTACCGAGTTGACGCTACAAAGTCATTTTTTAATCTTATATTTGAATTTTGAAAATTCATTAGCAACCTTGTTTGCACCCAAAAGTAAAATTGTTACCTAAAAATAGTGAGTAAATCGGTTGAAAATGAAATGAACCTCAAAATGTCAACATGTACACAAACACTCTCCTTAAACTGTTATGCCAGAAAGACACATGTATGGATATAGAGGATATTTGTTTGTTTGTGTGTAAGATGAAATTTTATTTCATCGAGTGGGCTTTAAAAACAGTATTCTCACGAGTGGCGTAGCCACGAGTGAGAATACTGTTTTAAAAGTTCAAGAGATGAAATAAAATTACATCTTACACAACAAACAGACAAATTTTCTTTTTATTTTATGCTTTAAAACAAGTTAAAACGAAATTTCTATAATTTTAACGATAATATTAAAATCTGTTTCCCCCATTGAGAGCCCCATTTAGAGGGAATTTCTCATTAAAAAACAAGAAGTCTTGAGCTGAAAAATAAGTCCGCCAATGAAGGTTAAATGAATGTGATATTTATTAATTTTATTAAAAAAATATGAATGATCGCTTGTTTTGATAATAAAAACAAACAATTCTTGTAGGAGAAAAAGTCCAACCATCCATCCATATTTCTGTTACTTACTGCGAATTTATATTAGACCTGGCTTTGTAAAATGTAAAACGGCAGCCATTTTTTAAAGTTGTGTATTTCACGGGACAAAAATAATTGTGTTTGATTCAGAGGGATATCATTTGGATTTGTTAGTCATACACCTATTTAAAAGAAAGAAAACATATTTGAGGATTGTAACAGACAAAAAATAAGTGTTGACAGAAGTGAAAACATTCAGAAAATGAACTAGGAAAATGGAAAACTTGGTCTTGGAAGCTTGCTTAGGCATTGTAAGGAACGCTGGCCGGGTTGTTTTACTTATTTTACGAGTGATAGCTGTCAATGCTTTTCAATTTTTCATAAAGCATACGGCAGTTATTGCTCGTAGGATACTTTAATATGCCCAAATGTCATCAAGAGCAGTTTTGCATGGGGAAGGAGATTATTTTTCAGACTGTAAAAACGAAACAAAAAAATTTAGAGACGAAATTTTGTGATTGGAATTTGAAGGAATAGAAGTAAGTTTTCTCTCTTTATTACTTTATACATATAAGTTATTTATCTTTTTCAGCTTTGCTATTTTTTTAACAGCCTGATATTGTCAGAATTGTCAGTAAAAATAAAATTGAGGTACCACATGGCGAAAATCTTAAAAAAGTAGTTTCGTCATTGAAAAAAGTGAAATTATATTTTGATAATTTTCACTGTGAAATTATCAAATATAATTTTCACGGATAAATCAGTAATCCACTGAAAAGCATAAAATAAAGACCACTAATATGTTCCCCACAGTTAAAGAGAGGGCTTAAAAATCTTACTTAATCTGTGACTAAATCATTTTTGCCTGTGAAATTGCTGCTTCAGTATTGTATTGCAATTGAATTATGACAAACTCATGAATTATTTACCTGACATAGAATGTTGACGTAGTCATCATCTGGAAAAAGGCACAAGAATGGGTAAATGTTGATCCCCTCCATCCCTGAAATGATAAGGAACAAAAAATGAAATCTTTACTTAGATATGAAGAAATGAGCCGCGTCTTGACAAAACCAACATAATGGGTTTGCGACCAGCATAGATCCAGACCATGCATATGCGCAGTCTGATCAGGATCCATGCTGTTTGCTTACAAACCCTATAACAAGTAGAGAAACTGATAGCAAACAGCATGGATCCTGATTAGACTGCGCGGTTGCGCAGGCTGGTCTGGATCCATGCTGGTCGCAAACCCATTATGTTGGTTTTGCCCTGACGCGACTCAAATAAAGCCAGGTGTGAGACAACTATTTGAACAAAAATAAGCAAATCAAAACATTACTGTGAGATCAAGTTAGGATACCACACATAGGTTACCTGATACAATAATTAACTACATGGTTTTAGAAGGCCATGCTGCCCATCTTATATATGTATTATTTTTGTCATATTTTATATATATTATATTTATATATTTAAATTGTTTTGTTTTTTTCTTCTATTTTTTATATTTATTATACAGTAGAGCTTTCGGTAGGTCCAAGTTGAAGGGACTTGTGTCAAAACTTGGACACATAGGGACTTTGACTCATGAATCCGTCTTAATGACAAAAGTCAAGCCGTCGATGTTTACAGGCGCGTAGCAAGTGGCATAAGGAAAAGAAAGAGCGATAATTAACCAGCTTATTGTAAATACATCCCATGTGATTATCATGCGACATCGGCTCATGGAAGTTCTCAAATGAAAGTTGTTTGTTTTGTTTACTTTCAAATACAACTACGGCAATTTGAATGGTAACAATTTAAGCTTTCATCACACATTTGTATGCATACATAGGCTGTTAGAATACAAGGCTGTGTAATTATCACCAGTCACACAAGCAAATCGGAAATCATCTTCGCAGCTAGAAAAGGTGTGAAAAATATCTTGAGATTGAAGATGTTAAAATAATCGAATTTTATTTTTGACTTCGTCTTATTTAAAGTAAATTGTACACGATTTATGCTATACAGACCACGAAAAGACTTCGACACATCACAAAATTTGACACATAAAATTCGACTCATATGTAGGTTTTTATAAGGAATAATGTAATGGGAAATATTGGGACTTTCATTTTACTTCAACACATCGAGAAAATCCACTAATTAAAGTTTGACTCATAGTAGTTCTACTGTATATATATAAAATATTATTAGACTAGGTTACCATTACTTTCATTTCAGACCACACATGATGGAACAAGTCCATGCGTACATACTAATTATCTTCAGATCTTGGTCAATAAATGTAGACTATGAGGTAAGATAGAAATAGAAATGTATCCAAACGACATTCTTACACCCTTATTATTTCGTAGTGGCATGTTTACAAACTTACACAAATTTTATGATGGTAAAATGCTTTATTATAATATGAATTAGTAAACATGTATTATTGTACTTTTACAAGTATGAAGTTTCACAGACTTATGTGCAGGGAATCTTTATTTATTGATAAGGCAAGAATTTTAAGTGCCACTGAGACCTTGACCAAATGCCCTGGGCCTTGTCCTTACTAAGTTTCACAAACATAGGTCACAAACATAGGTTTATTCTTTATCAATTTATTGATCAGAAAAGGATTCCACAAACTAAGTCTCACAACACCCAAACCTTTGACCTGGTGTCTTCAAAATCAATCTCTCATCTCCCACTCCAATCTCCCAGTTCATTCTCTCTTCTCCCACTTCACTCTCCAATCTGAACTTAAATCTCCTACCTCCCACTTCACTCTCCACACTTCAACTTCAATCTCCCACTTCAATCTTCACTCTTCAACTTCAATCTCCCACTTCAATCTTCACTCTTCAACTTCAATCTCCCACTTCACTCTCCACTCTTCTACTTCAATCTCCCACTTCAATCTCCACTCTTCAACTTCAATCTCCCACTTCACTCTCCACTCTTCTACTTCAATCTCCCACTTCACTCTTCAACTTCAATCTCCCACTTAACTCTCCACTCTTCAAATTCAATCTCCCACTTCACTCTCTACTTTTCAACTTCAATCTCCCACTTCACTCTCCACTCTTCAACTTCAATCTCCCACTTCAATCTTCACTCTTCAACTTCAATCTTCAAATTCAATCTCCCACTTCAATCTTCACTCTTCAACTTCAATCTCCCACTTCACTCTCCACTCTTCAACTTCACTCTCCACTCTTCAACATCAATCTCCACTTCACTCTTCAACTTCACTCTCCACTCTTCAACTTCAATCTCCCACTTCAATCTTCACTCTTCAATCTCCACTCTTCAACATCAATTTCCACTTCACTCTTCAACTTCACTCTCCCACTTCACTCTTCATCTTCAATCTTCTACCTCTCACTTCACTCTTCAACTTCAATCTCCCACTCCACTCTCCAACTTCAATCTCCCACTCCACTCTGCAACTTTAATCTTTCACTTCAATCTTCAACTTCAATCTCCCACTCCGCTCTCCACTCTTCAATCTTCCACTTCAATCTTCACTCTCCAACTTCAATCTCCCACTTCAATCTTCACTCTTCAACTTCAATCTCCCACTTCACTCTCCACTCTTCAATCTCCCATTACTCTTCAACTTCAATCTCCCACTTCACTCTCCAACTTCAATCTCCCAGTTCAATCTTCACTCTTGAACTTCAATCTCCCACTTCACTCTCCACTCTTCAACTTCAATCTCCCACTCCGCAACTCCAATCTCCCAATCTCCCACTTCACTCTTCAATTTCAATCTCCTACCTCCCACTTCACTCTCCACTCTTCAATTTCAATCTCCACTCTTCAATCTTCCACTTCACTCTCCACTCTTCAATTTCAAACTCCTACTTCAATCTCCACTCTTCAATTTCAAAATCCCACTTCACTCTCCACTCTTCAATTTCAATCTCCACTCTTCAATCTTCCACTTCACTCTCCACTCTTCAATCTCCAACTTCAATTTCAATCTCCACTCTTCAATCTCCCACTTCACTCTCCACTCTTCAACATCAATCTCCTACTTCAATCTCCACTCTTCAACTTCTCTCCTACTTCACTCTCCACTCTTCAACTTCAATCTCCTACCTCCAACTTGAATCTCCCACTTCAATCTCATCTCTCTCAATTTCCCATGACCCGGCCTAATAAGCAAAAACAAAACAAGATTTCTACAACTTACTATATGCTCTTAAACGTTCTAGGCTCTTACGCTCTAAGAAAGCATCCTTGATTTGTTTTCGCCACTGTTCTTGTATTTGTTCTACTGTCTCGTTCTGAAAGAGAACAAAAAATAACTTGAAATCACTAAATTTCGTAGACATGAGATTTCATGGTTCTGTCACAAAGAACATTTTCATGGGTTCTTAAATTGTGGACCGTTTATTTTTCCAAAAGGTAAAATGTAAACAATGTGATGCAAAATAATCTTACAACAGACAAAATTAAGTTTCAATGGATCTTAAATTTGTGGACTGACCCATCAACAAAAACCACAAAAATTAGTGCCCCACAAATAATCATGATTTTGCAGCAGTTGTTGGAACTGGACAAATGCCCCATGAATCTTGGCCATATTAGATATTTTGACTTTTATATAACTTTTGCAGGGGTACACTACTTCAACATAAGTGCTCTAATGTGCTAGATGTTAATCTTCTAGGTAATAATGTAACATGGTGTTGGTGTTAATGTTTTCATTCCAGATCATGACAGAAAGCCATATTGAATATACCAGAGCGCGGTTCAGCCTCTGGATAGGTTCTAGGCAGGCTGTCAAGAAGTTTACCAGTACTAATTGCCTTCACTTGCAAGGAACTGACATTTCCTGGGGCTTAGGTACAGTGCAAATGACCATAGAAAGGATATCATGATCAATAAGAAGGAAATTGACCAACATAATCTGGGAATCGAACCTGGATCACCTGATTCACGGTCCAACACTACCTAATAAGCTCACTGGATAGTGCCTTGTAATGCAATATTTTTTCACTTTTTTCTTATAGTTCATTAAGTGACATCATGAAAACAGCTGTAACAGCAGAAAAATTGTTTGCAATTATTGAACAAGAGTTTGATGCACACTAGCATACAAATAATTGAAAAGTGTTTTTTTTTTTCTCCTGTTTTTTTGTTTGTTTGTTTTTTTCTCAGTTAAAAAATTAACAAAAACAACGGAACCCTGACCTTTATATCATCTGATTCCATATTAGACTTGAATATTGAATTGACTGTCACAAGCCCATCAAGTTCTCTCACAAACTGTTCCTCTGCAGCATTCAGAATCTCCTGTTTACTCATCCCACAAGTAAATGGATTAATCTCTACTTTCTGAAAACATTAAAGTCACTTTAAACAAAAGTCGTCCGATGTAAAAACTATTGGCAGGAGACAATGCATCTAAATATTAAGTCTCGAAGTCATGAATGAGGTTATTGACCACAAACAACTTAATCAAACCAAGAGGGCTATGATGGCCATGGTTAGTTCACCTGAGATACATTACTAAAAAGTAACAATTCTTCAATATAGTAATGTGTCATTTCTTTTACCAAAGTTAAATAATTTATAAAATATAAAAACTTTTGTAGGTGTATGATAGGAAATGCTACATGGCAAATATTAAAGCTCTTCACATGGACTAAGAAGACTTAAGTGTTTAATTATTTCAGTCTAGACTATACAACTTAAGTGACTTCTAGGGCAGAGACAATTTAAACCTGAAGCATGATTTATATAACTTTTGTATTTCTTAACCCTGGGCAGTCTTTTCACAAAATTTTTTAATGTGTTTTGCTATATAAGTCTATATAACCTAAGTGACACTAGGGATGTGCTAATTTTGACCACAGGGTCTTGACTTATTAAACTTTTGTCAAATGTTTATGCTCTGGCCATTGTAGTTTTGGAGAATGTAGCTTTGGAGAAGAAGATTTTAAACCATGTTGACAATACATGTACAAGTCTACATAACTTAAGTGACCCCAGGGTGATGTGGAACATTTTTGACCCCAGGGGAGAGCATAATTTAAATAACTTATCCAAAATGAATTCAAAAACCTATATTCTGAAGTTTGTAGCCAATAAATCAACCAGTGATGTAAATAATTTTCTTTGGTTTAGTTTTAACAACGACTTTACACATCCACCAAACAGACTATCTTGGTAGTCAATCCACCAAACCGACTCATATCTTGGTAGTCAATTCACCAAACACTCATATCTTGGTAGTTAATCCACCAAACAGACTTTATCTTGGTAGTCAATTGACCAAACAGACTCATATCTTGGTAGTCAATCCACCAAACACACTCGCCTACATTATTAACTAGTAATTACTAATTTCTCTATAAGTGAGCCACTAAAAGCTCACACAATTTCTGAATTAGTGGTTAGAAATAAATGATCATTACACTCAATGTTTTAAGATCAAATGTCACCGAGAAATTACATCTCCTTTGAGGATTGGACCAGGGATTCCTGGATAACTAAACTGATGCTTGCCCTATTGTGTTAATGTGTGGTATAATGTTAATGAAACTTTATACAGGTACAAATGAGCCGGGCCATGACAAAGCCAAGTCATCTGCACAGTCTGATCAAGATCCATGCTGTTCGCTTTCAATTAGTAGAGTTGATAAGCGAACAGTATGGATCCTGATCAGACTGCACGGATTTGCAGGCTGGTCTGGAGCCATTCTGGTCGCAAACGCACTATGTTGACTTTGTCATGGGGAGGCTCATATTATAAATACCTCCTCTTTAGGCAACATTTCATTAAGAGGCTCCACCAACTCTCCACTGTAATCTGTTCTAACAACGGGTGGGTTCGGCTCAAAGTCTGGAATAACCTCTTTCAGTATCTGTTCAAAGAGAAATATTACATTCTTATTATAGGTTTGCACTATAACATCATCGGATCAAAACCAAATTTGAACTTAGATTTGTATTTTCTGGTTAAATACCTGCACATGCAATTTCAACCTTATCAATACATTTCTACAAAAGTAACAGTGCAGAAAATGAAAATTTTTCAATTTTTTTTCAAACATTCAAAATCATAGAACCATGACAAAATTCAAACTTGGCCTGCTTACTCCTATGATGTATCTAAATGTTAAATTTGAGTTGAATGTGTACAACTGTTTGGAAGATAATGAACAGAAACTGAATTTAAAGCTCAAGAGGGATAACTCTGTCAATAATCATCAAACCATGACCAAATTCAAACTTGGCCTATGATGTATCTAAATATTTAATTTGAATTGAATGTGTACCACTGTTGAAGAGATAATGAAACTGAATTTTTTTTTTTTTTTTCAAAGTTAAAGGGGCATAACTTTGCTATAAATCATCGAACCATGACCAAATTGTAACTTGGCCAGTGCAATCCTTTCACGTATCCATACGTCAAAGTTGAATATGTACAACTTATGTAGTGACAATGAATAGAAACTGAAAAAGGGTCATAACTCTGTCAAAAATTACAGAACCATGACCAAATTCAAATCTGACCTGCATTTTCCTGTGATATATCCGTATGTCAATTTTGACCTGAATGTGTGCAACTGTTGCAAAGATAATGAATGAAAACTGATGATTACGGAATGACAGAATGATGGAATAATAAGACTGAAGGAACAGGTTAACACTATATGCCCCAGCCCTTTTGTGGCAGTACATAATAAATAGTAAATACATACATATAGATCAATTTTTCCTATTCCTCACCCAGTAAAGCTAAAGCTGTTATGACAAGCATTTTTATAAACCTTGCATTTAAAAGGTCTCAATGAGACTGACATAATGTCATAAACTGGCATGGGAATGAAACTAGCAATTAACTGGCAATAAACTGTAGGGCTGTGCATTGCCATTTTTTTCTGTCACGATACGTATCACGATATTTGTTTTTCAAAACGATGCGATTCACGATATATATTGCATACTTTGAAGAAATGCGATGCTTATTGCGATTCTTATGTTGTGATGCGATACGTATCACGATACTGACTTTCAGACTTAGTATATAAAATTTTGGCCATTTGTTTACAGCATAATTATGAATATTATACAAAACTATTACAATAACAAAAAAATAAACTCTTTATCTTGTTGTTACAACTTGGTTTTCCGATTTTGATCTTTTAACAATTTACTTTTCTGATTACTTAAGGATTAAAGGTATTGTTAATTATACCAAAACAGCAAACTGATATCTACTATTCTAACACTTAAAAGTCCACTACTGTAAAATGGCAGTTTAACATTTCAGTCTTACAATACACCACTAAAGATTTTTCTTGTGAAAAAAAAATAGTAACAAGTGGTTAACAAATAGGTCAACAACTTTGAAAATAACAGTTTATCCGTTTCACTCTCAGTTTTCTCGAAAGATTTGTGCTCAACCCCAGAGTATTATTTTTTTTTTTGAGTTTGCAAATTTTGCAAACACTCGACGTCCGGTCTTCCACATTATACAACACTGTCTACTATGTTCCCAAAACTCGTGAATTATATGACAAGGGAGGATTAACTATAGTTTCCACTTCTAATTTTTTTGCAGTCTACATGTTTTCTGTTTGTTTGTTTTGTTGTTTTTTTACGGGAAAATGATGTCAACGGAAATGAAAGTATAAATACGTGACGAATATCACATGGGGATGTTGTCACCATCACTATTTTAATCCGACATTAAGTGCGACTAAATAAAATTACAAATTCATGTTTGTAAGTTGTTTTTTCTTGAAAACGCATAGATCTCTAATTATTTTTTAATTATAAACAAGTTCAAAGAACACCAGCCCATTTATATGGAATTGATAAAACTTGGTTAGTTACCGTTAAATGATTGCGGACATGGGGAAACGAGATGACAACGATGATATGAAAATAGTCGGGCTTGTTCATTGTTTTCATCCAAGCCTGTTTTCGTTCTTCAGACTTTCAAAAAAGACGTTTGTCCTTATATTCCTAGATATTGTTAGTGTATTGCAATACGTTCCCGCTATATCGATACATCAGGAGATGAAATTTGTATTGCATCGCAATATATTGGAATTTGTAATTTCATTACGATGCATACATCGAGGACAGGGCAGATCGCGATGCATCCATGCATCGATGAATCGTTACACCTCTAATAAACTGGCAATAAATCCCAGCACCAAACTGGCAATAAACTGGCAAATTGACACCAAACTGGTGTGGCACCAAACTGGCAATAAATTAGCACAGAACTGGCAATATATGAGCACCAAACTGGCAATAAACTAGCACCAAACTGGCAATAAACCCTGGCACCAAACTGGCACCTCACTGGCACCAATTTTGCAATAAACCCCAGCAAATAAACACTTCCTCATACCTGATAGACTCTGCATCTTTCATTGTACACAAACGTACACTTGTTAAAGATGTCCTTTACATCCAAACCCTACAACAATAAAATAATCTTAAAAATAAAATATTGACAATAACTGATAAAACTTTTTTTCTATTAAAATCTATGAAACAAAATAAATCTGAATAATTGTGATAAATCATATTAAAGTTCTGTTATATTCCAATTAATGAAAATTATTTCATACAACAAATTTGTTTTTAAATCATGTAAATAATTAAAACAAATAAAATCAAGTAATGTATTACTCATATATAACAAAACTTTGTGTCTTTCTTGATTTTCATGCATATTTGACGCAGGACGCACATTGATTAATTACTGAATATAAAATGTTTTAACAATAACCCAATTTTAGAAAGTCTTCATATACATATACACAGTACATTATAATTGTCATACTGCTCAAGAACTTACCTCATTTATCATATCTCTAACAACTAAAGATGCCATCATGACATTGTAGTCACTGGATTTCCCAATACACGACAAACAAACCATGTATGTCTCTAATGTTGGACTCAATCCGTCCTCCCTGATGTACGAGAACACATCCCGAACTTTTGACAAGTCCGTCTCCTGAGAACATAGAAAAATATTTGAGCCGTGTCACGACAAAACCAACATAGTGCGTTTGCCACCAGCATGGATCCAGACCAGCCTGTGTATCCGGGCAGTCTGATCAGGATCCATGCTGTTCGCTTACCAACTCTTTTACAAGTAGAGAAACTGATAGCAAACAAGAGCTGTCGGTAGGACAGCAACGCTCGACTATTCTTAGTGCTTGATAGTAAAAAAAATGCTTGATACAGTTACCTCCTCCTGTTTACAGGTTGGGGTCATGATGGTGAACAAGTGTGCAAAGTTTCAAAGCCATATGTCTATGGACTTTGAAAATATTTGAACTATTACAAAAACTTTAACATAAATTCTAAGTCGAAAAAGGGGCATAATTCTGTCAAAATGCTTGATAGAGTTACCTCCTACTGTTTACAGATTGGGGTCATGATGTTGAACAAGTGTGCAAAGTTTCAAAGCCGTATGTCAATGGACTTTGAAAATATTTGAACTATTACAAAAACTTTAACATAAATTCTAAGTCGAAAAAGGGGCATAATTCTGTCAAAATGCTTGATAGAGTTACCTCCACCTGTCTACAGGTTGGGGTCATGATGGTGAACAAGTGTGCAAAGTTTCAAAGCCATATGTCAATTGACTTTGAAAATATTTGAACTATTACAAAAACTTTAACGTAAATTCTAAGTCGAAAAAGGGGCATAATTCTGTCAAAATGCTTGATAGAGTTACCTCCTCATGTCTACAGGTTGGGGTCATGATGTTGAACAAGTGTGCAAAGTTTCAAAGCCATATGTCAATGGACTTTGAAAATATTTGAACTATTACAAAAACTTTAACGTAAATTCTAAGTCGAAAAAGGGGCATAATTCTGTCAAAATGCTTGATAGAGTTACCTCCTCCTGTCTACAGGTTGGGGTCATGATGGTGAACAAGTGTGCAAAGTTTCAAAGCCATATGTCAATGGACTTTGAAAATATTTAAACTATTACAAAAACTTTAACATAAGTGGTTACGCCGACGCCGACGCTCGGGTGACTGCAATAGCTCTACTTATTCTTATCGAATAGTCGATCTGAAAAGCATGGATACTGATCAGACTGCGCAGATGCGCAGGCTGGTCTGGATCCATGCTGGTCGCAAACGTTGGTTTTGTCGTGACACGGCTCATTTCAACATTCTCTATAAATAAAACATGTTCCTTATCAACGAAAACATTCACTACACTTCTCAACGAGATCTATTCTCCTGTGAATTTCAAGCTGAACTTGCAATACTTTTCCAGTAAATAATTTCCGTTCATTTTTATTAGGGGCATCACGTTTATCCGTTTAAACAAGAACGGTCGGTTTTTAGCAAAAACTGGTTAGAAAATAAACCGAGGTTAGTTTTTGACTAAGGGGCGGAAAAGTTTAAAATTGATTCTAAATATTACCTTAAGTTTTTTTATGACAATTGTTTGTATTTAAGTTGTACTCAACAATGTATTTTTCCAATCTGATTGAATATGGTAAGATCCTAGCGGAAAATATTTACTAGATATTCGGATATGTATTGTAATCATATTAAGTGCAACAAAATATGAACAAAATGGCATATCTTGTCATAAAGAAACAAAGTTAATGTTGAAAATTTAAAGATTTTATTAGTATGGTCGATTAAACATTTAACTCGGTTACTAATTCACCGTTTAAACGGTTATCATTTCTGCTAACCCTGACACCCCTTATTTTTATTACAAGATTTTTCTATTTATATTCTTTTTTCTTTTCAAGCATTAAAACATAAGACTTTTCTTGATAGAACAATATCAGTATAACAGTATCTAACCTCTTTCCCGAGACCTCGAAGTAGCAGATTGTATGTCCTCACATCAGTAATTTTGTATTTTATGTCATTTTTGGCTCGGTACATTCTTATATCTTCCAAGGCTCTGTCAGCCTAAAAAAAAGAAAACAATGTGCATAAACTTTCTCACATGCTTATATCATTTTAACTGTTATTAAGGGGAGCGGTGGCCTAGTGGTTAAGGTGTCTGCCTCTCAACCAAGAGATCATGTGTTTGAGCCCTACTCGGGTCACAACCATGTAAATGTTTCTTCATATGACACCAGTACTGGTTGGTTCCAGGAAAGTGATTAATGTAAGTTGCAAGAACTTGTTTTGCAATTGAGCTAACATAAATATGTTTAAACCAACTGTTATTAATGTAGGTGAACAGGGTTACTGAAGGTATATCTGCTCAAAACATTGCTACAGAATGATATCATTATATCAGTGTTTCCTGGTAGTGTGAACAGTGAACAAAATCAAGTTTAAAGCTGCACACATCCAGATGAGCCAAAATATTTTAAGAAAATCAATCTTGAAAAAAAGTGTACTAACATTTTAAGAACAGTAAAAATATACACAATTCAAGACTTAATATACATGTTATATGCAATTAATGAATGATTTTGCAGTAGTTATCACCACAATTCTGTGATTAACACAGTAAGTGCTGTTTTGGCTTATTTTGGCCTATTTTGGTAATTTTCGAAAATTTAAAGTGCCACTTACAATGTGTAGAGTACTTTCACTGTTCAGTTGACAATATTTTAATTTATTTAATACATGTTAAACATTTACATGAAAATTAGCATGAATCTGGAGGCATGTTGCTTTAAAACAAATCAAGTTAGCAGTTTAAGGTTTATAATAGATCAGACTGAAAAAGCAATATTATGTAGGATTCCAGTGTTTTTTTTTCTTTATATATTAACTACTTCCCTAAAACGGTACTGTTCCCAAAAGAAAATAGACATTAAAATTCCCAATTTCCAATGTTTAAATTCCCAAAATGGCTGTTCAAAATGCCCACATGGCCAAGTGATTTCTCTGAAATCATTTAAATCCAACATATTCATATAAATCACCACTTAATAGTTCTACCTGGACAGTGGAAGCTGTTAGCTATCTTTATTCATGATGACTAATCTTATTTGTAGCTGAAAAAATGCATTAAAATAATTCCCAATGTAAGTCAAAATAACACATTTTTTCCCAATCAATCTGGTACCGGCACCATTCCCAAAGTAGAGAAAAAAAATGCTGAAGATATATAATATAAACTTTAGAACACTTACTATACCAACACTTATACAAGCCCCGACATAGGAGAGTAAATCTTCATTAAATATTTCTTGTTTACTATGCAGAATCAGATCTTCGTCAACAGTTAAATGTTTCCACTTTTCCTTTTTTTGTTTTTCTTTCAATTTCTTTTGTGCCTGTAAAATAAAATTCCAATTTTACCAGCCCTCCTTATGATTAATGATACATGAATTCCAAGCCAGCAAGTATGACTATGTTCATATTTAACCAGCCAAACCAGCCAGTAAGGTAGTTATATGTCATTAAATGTTGAGATACTGATATATCACACAAACCAAGACGCAGAAGTGTCATAAAGCCGTTAAATAAAAATAATATTACACTTGTGTAACAATACTGACTTAACATCATTTGCATTATATACCATTCTTGTATCTTTATTTCCATTTTCATAGTATCAGACAGATAGAAAAATACTCACCTTAGATGTTAATATCCCTTCAATGTGTTTTACATCAGGTGCCCAATCAGAAACTATATGATCATATTTGATATCTTCGCCAGCAGTTGTGTCCTCGTGGAATACGTTGTGCATCATCTCAAGTTCATCCCACTCTTCTAGTGTCAAAGCCTGCGGAACATCCTTTTTCCTCCTTCTATCAAAATAATTTGTTCTTTAGCAAACTTAATATTTGTTTTATCTGCTGTACAGTATATATTTTCTGATAAACACCCATAGATGTTAAATTTTCCAAGAAGGGGACATTAAAAAGTTACATATCATTCAAATATAAAGAACCTACTGATTTAGAGTTGTTCACCACTAGGTTATATTTACTGCAATAACAAGATTAGAAGTATTAGAATTTGTGTGGAGTTCCTTGGATTTATTATATTTTTGTTTTTGGTTGGGTTTTACACTGTATGGTGACTTTCCAGCTTTACTGCTGGAGGTAAACCTCAGGTGCCCCTCTGTGCAATATTTCAGGTATAAACAGTCACCTGAGTAGAACCACCGACGTTTCATAAGCAAGCTGGATAGCTTTCTCACATCTAGAATCTGATGATCCTTGCACAGCTTGAACCTACAACAAGTGGTTTGTAGTCAACGACCTTAACCACTCCACCATGGATGCTCCTTTGGACTTACTAATAGCCCATTATAGTCTTGGTAATTCAGTCTTTTTTCCTATGTCAAATAGGTATGGGGAGGGAGCATTTATTAAGGAATTTGCATTCATTGTACTTTTAAACAAGAGCCATGTCAACATGGCCATCCCCCGCCGAATGTGTTTGCTCATTGGAAGAATGTATATGTAGTAGAGGGGAATAATTCCATTTTAAGAGGTCTTTTGGTAATGAAAACTGATGGCTATAGTGATTACAGATTTGAAACCTATGTGAATACTGATGGCTGAAAATAACAAAGGGCAATTACTGAAAAATAATGCAGGGTAGGTTATCATTCTTGTGTGCTGCATCCCTCCTCAGTAAAATCTATCCACCTATGAAGTTTCAAGTTGATACCTCAAATACTTTTTGAGAAAAAAATTGAATAGAAAAATTAAGTATGAAAAAGAACAAAGGGCAATAACTCAAAAATTATAAAAGGTAGAGTTATCATTCTTGTGCACTGCACACCTCCTGAATGAGATCTATGCACCTATGAAGTTTCATTTTGATATCTCAAAGGCTTTTTGAGTTATGCTCTGGACAAAAATTAATTTTGAAAAATAACAAAGGGCAATAACTCAAAAATAATGCAGGGTAGAGTTATCATTCTTAAGCACTGCACTCCTCCTCGATGAGATCCATCCACCTTTGAAGTTTCAAGTTGATACCTCAAATACTTTTTGAGATAAGCTCTGGACAAAATAGCATGAAAAAAAAGGGCAATAACTCAAAAATTGTATAGGGAAGAGTTATCATTCTTGTGCACAACATTCCTCCTCAATAAGATCTATCCACCTATGACATTTCATGTTGATATCTCAAACACTTTTTGAGTTATGCTCCACTCAGGTGAAAAATTAGGTATGAAAAATAACAAAGGGCAATAACTCAAAAATTATGAAAGGTAGAGTAATCATTCTTGTGCACTGCACACGTCCTGAGTGAGATCTATGCACCTATGAAGTTCCATGTTAATATCTCATAGGCTTTTGGAGTTATGCTCTGGACAAAAATCAATTTTGAAAAATAACAAAGGGCAATAACTCAAAAATCATGCAAGGTAGAGTTATCATTCTTGTGCACTGCACTCCTCCTCAATGAGGTCTATCCACCTATGAAGTTTCAAGTTGATAACTCAAATACTTTTAGAGATATGCACCGGACAAAAATGTCGGACGGAAGGACGGACGGACGGTCGGACGGACGGACGGAGACTATTTCTATATCCTCCGCCGAAATTTTTCAGCGGGGGATAATAATATTTTTGCTAATTGTATGCATTTAAACATCTTTGGTAGGGGATTCGTGCAAGGAACCGAGCATAAATAGTAAGTTTTATAAAGTTTAGTTCATATGTTAAAGAGATGTCATTTGAAACAATTGTGGTTGACATACTGCCACAGATCCTTAATAAAGTTAACCAAACATTAAAAGATAGATTGAATTTTAACTGAACAGGTTGATAAATTTGTATAATTTACAATTTAAGTTTCTCTTTTGTTTTACAAAGTGCATCTCTAAAGCCTCCATGAAATATACCTTGCTTCTATATATGCAGTATTAAAGAAATCAAGCTAGTTTAAAATTCTTGAGAAAGTCTTACTAACAATATTGCCATGTTTTACCTTAAAGCTTTTAATACGGCCAATTCAGCTTCTGGTATAGTGTCAGTTACATCGTTTAAAGATTCACCTTCTTCTACAGTATTATCAGCACTATCCCTATTTTCACCTAAACTTTCCTCTCCAACTTTTGTTACTACTTCTATACCGTCTTCAGTTCCTTGTACATTTTCATTGCTTTCATCATTATGTAATAGTTCCAACTGCTCCAAATTTGAATCTGCAGGCTCATATTTAAACAAAGCTTTCACCTCATTCAGACCCTCTTCAAACAAAGCAACGTTTAAATTTGACGGTAACTTCGAATATTTAGGCGGGTTCTTTAACAATTTTCTATTTATTTGTTCATTTTTTTCATTTTCTTCTTTTCTTTTTACTTTTTTATCATGAATTTTTTTACTTTTCCTCTCATAAAGTTCATGTAACTCAGCCTTATTTCTTTTCTTTCTGCTGCCTTTCTTAAACTTAATGTCCTCTTTTCCACTTTTAAGGCTCTGTCTTGGTGTACTTACTTCTTTTTTCTGATCTTCAGGTTTATTTATATGTTGTCTTTGAAATCCATCATACCGTTTCTTAATAAATCCTTCAAACATGTCCAGTTCATTTTCTTTACTTAAATATTCTTTCTTTGCTATCACAGATGAATAATTTACATTTGATACTTGAGCTTTCGTAACATCTTTTGAATGTTTATAAGATGGTACACCTTCTGTTAGTTCACTGTCATTTTGTTGTAAATAACCAACATTTCTGTCTGTTTCCAGGTAACCAAGTCTTAGATTATCTTTATTCAGTCTACAGAATTCTGGCTTTATATTCAAGGGGACTTCAGATTCTAAATAACGATACCCTTTTCCAGTAGAGGCTGATGACTGTAGCAGTGATGCATCCAGTACTGAAACAAATACAAAGAGTAATAGTAAAACATTTTAATGTTCCAGTCTTCACAGTTAGTGAAATAGATTCTTGAACTTACTGAAAGTATTTTTATTAAAGTTGTTTTTTGTTTTTGTTTACTTTTTTAAATTCTGGTTCAGTTTTTAGTCATCTCGACCCAAAATGAATTTAATGATGCCTAACAGACTTATTGCTTACAAAGATAGTGGGTTTTACTACTTACAAAATGTACCGAATGGAAAGAAACTATGTTTTAACCAAGAAAAAAGTAGCTTACGTTTAACTAATTGTTGATGTAACTCTTTCTTGTCAGGGAGCTGCTTTTTCTTTCTCCTTCTACGGAAAAATGTTTGATTAGGTCCAAGTTTAGTTTGTGTTGAAAACTTTGAATAACCTACAAAGAAAGATAACGGAGTATAACCTATAAAGAAAGATAACTCTGTATAACCTATAAAGAAAGATACCTCTGTATAACCTATAAAGAAAGATAATCATACCTCTGTATAACCTATAAAGAAAGATACCTCTGTATAATTTTTAAAGAAAGATAACTCTGTATAATTTTAAAGAAAGATAACTCTGTATAATTTTTAAAGAAAGATAACTCTGTATAATTTTTAAGAAAGATAACTCTGTATAACCTATAAAGAAAGATAACTCTGTATAACCTATAAAGAAATATAACTCTGTATAACCTATAAAGAAAGATAACTGTAAATTTTTTAAAGATAACTGTGTATAATTTATAAGGAAAGATAACTCTGTATAACCTATAAAGAAAGATAACTGTGTAATATTTATGAAGAAAGATAACTCTGTATAACATATTGTGATAGATAACTCTGTATAACATGTGACGAAAACAATATAAATCTATGCATGTAATAATTAACGTAGATGCTAGTGTTTGTACAATATACTGCTGTCTTGTAGTCTTGAGTAAAGTATTAAACATTCCATGTGTTGATTTTCTTAATATTATAAATTTTAAATGTTCATTTATAAAAAAAATCTTTTATGAGTATGGCTTATTTTTTTTTACAGTATCTCATTTTAATAACACACAATTAAAACAAGAATTGTTTCATAGCTCATTTCATTTGTCTGACATAGTGGCATATTCACATAGCTAAACATGTACATGTATTATCAATATATTAAGGAATATGAATATACGATAAGAGCAACACAAAAGTAAATTTGAGTTATCAAAAATAATCTTTCAATTAGGTTAGAGACCCAGTCAAGAAAAACTTAATTATCCTTATGATACTACATGTATATGACATCCACAGTGGAAGCATTTTTTACCCTGAGTGCATGATTCATTAAGCTTTTATAGAAGTCTACTAGGACATGCTATATGCATAGTATTTATTCACAAAAAGATAAAATGTGTTTTCCTGTACCTTAGTCTAGTTAAAGCAAGTGACTCCCAGGACAGGGCCACTTTTGACCACAGGGGCATGATTAATATCAATTTTGCAGACTTTTACAAGGTAATGCTGCATGCCAAATTGCTTAGCCAGGGCGTTTTTTCCTTCTACAGCAGGGGCCAGTATAGGGCTGCTTCTCCAAAGAAAAATTCTTCAAATCATGCAGTTTTCCCCAAAAATTGAATTTACATCAGGTTTTTCTTCCCCTTTTGCAAATATACTATGTAATTCTTCCCCAAAAGTAAGGGCAGGGCTGCTTCACCAACCTGTGAAAAAAGCCCTGTTAGCTCTTGGTATTGTAGTTTCACAAAAGAGGACTGAAATGTGTTTTCTCATACAAGACTATATCATCTCAGTGATCCCTGGGTTGGGACCAACATTGACCCAAGGGGCATGATTAATTAATATCAGTTCTGTAAAGGTTAATAAGGCTATGCTTTATGCTAAATATCTAAGCTCTAGGTACATGTATTGTAGTTTCTCACAATAAAACATAAATGTGTTTTTCCATACAAGGTTTTCCCAAACCTATGTTATGCACATGATCATTCTCATAACAATCAATTATCAAAGTATTGCAAGTAATCCATAAGTCCCCTACTGCCTACCGGTTAGAACCCCAGCAACATTCTGAAGGGCCATTTGCCATTCAATTATCCAAATGAATGAATGAATGAATGACATGATGACATGACATGATGACATGACATGGAATGAATGACATGACATGAATGACATGACATGACATGAATGACATGAATGAATGACATGAATGTATGAATGACATGAATGAATGAATGACATGAATGAATGACATGAATGAATGACATGAAAGAATCTTTTGAGTTCTTAGTTTGTCTGTATCATAGTAATGTAAGTTTCCCTGCCTAGTAAAGAAATTATGTTTATACAACAGATAATCAAAAGATCAAATTTTCTCCATAACTAAGTCTAATGCTTAAACTTTTATCTATCTTAAGTAAATTTATTCAAAACGTTTCAAGTTCTTTAAAAGTGATCTCAGAAAGCAGTTTTTCGGAACATACAGACGGACTGAAAGATACTTTGAAGGTTAATCTTTAAACATCCCTTGTTGTGACAAGAATTTAACATTTAACAAGCATAATTCTTAAAGAGAAGCTTACTCTTGAAATAAAGATGTTAGACTTATGAACATGGTCATACATGATGTAAGTGTAACAAAGAACAATTATCTTAAGGTTAAAGATACCATTATATAGTAACAAAGAAGAAAATTAAAAAAAAAAAAATCAAATAAATTTCAAGTTCAAAATGAAAATAATCATGGAAAGCCATGACTTGTAAATCTAATCAAATAAAATCCATGAGAAATAAGAAAGTTATTGAATGAATAAGAAAAATTCAAAGTTTAAGGAGGAGATAATTCTGGAAATATGGATGCTAGATTTATAAATCTTGTCATATTACATGTATTTGATTATCATGTGCATTTGTCACGATGGCTGTATGATAATTACCTAGTCAAAAAATACTGACGTGCCAAATCCAGATTCTGAGATATTTTTGTTCTAGATCAGAATCTTGCTTTAGAGGCTAGATATTGCCCTGACACAAAATTGCACAATGTCTTATCGCACAGTACAATTTGTTGGCCTAAGGGAAGCGTACGTTGTTGTCTTTTAATATAAAATTATGAATAATGATATGTTAGGGAGTTTTTTAAACATTGACAAATTAGCAGAATACAAGTTACATGTTCAAGACATGTGACCTGGTATGCAAAATATTTTGACTTCAACTTCAACAGGGTTTCTCGACAACATCCACCTGGTAGACAACGACGTCGAGGGGTGAAGACTGTACACCAGGGGGTGTACTGTTTGATTTACGGTTTGCAAAATAAATTTGTCAATGGTGTTTGTATGTGCAGATCGAAAAGGGGAGCCACTCACATAACCCAATTGTGTGTTATGTAAGGTGAAAAGTCATTGCTGTCAAATCATAATTAAATCAAGTATCTCTCTCCAAACCTATGAAACAATCCTCAGAATTGAGCCTGCCGATTTCCCCACTTCTATCACCAACACCAAATTATTTCTTGGCACAAATTCCCCAAACTTGTATAACTGAATATAAATAACTACTGTTTCTACTTGCCATTTCTTAAAAGGTAACAAGATTCGCAGACAGTATGTTTGTCATTAGTTCTGAACGTTGACAATGACAATCTTCCACCTATTCGCAAGATTTGAGACATTATTGACAGTTTCCATAAGCACGTTTTTTCAAATAACCTTGACCTCTATAATTGGGTATTGTGACTATTCGTCCCACTTCGATTCGCTCCTTAGGTATTCGACCCATACAGAACATCCGATCTGCATTTGCAAAATAAAATCATCATAGGCCTACATGCTTTAATTAATAAATTGAAAAAAAAATAAAAGATATGTATATATTGAATTTATTTGACATTTGTATCTAAACATGTTATAGATTATTATATAATACTAGAGAAGTTTGACTAAAATATGAAAGTAACTTTTTTTGACGAAAGTAGGTAAAAATAAGCGAAAGTGACTTTAAGACAGTAAGACAGTAAGACAAACTTTATTTATAGTCGGTTATGGTTAACAGTACAAAACATAAGCTTTAAGCTTGTATCCGACATGAACAAAATATAGAAAATAATAACAAGAAACAAAGAAACAAAAATAAACAGACACCATAAGATAATAGAAACAAAAATAAACAGACACCATAAGATAATAATACATACAATTAATTTATATAGTCATTGTAATGAGATCTGAGCATTTACAATGAAAATACAGTCATATCTATTAAAGGTAGTATAACAGGGTTTTACATATATACAGGTACATAGTACATAATTTAAGGAAAAGACTAAATTTATTTACAAGCAAAAAAAAACAAACAGGAATCAAGTAAAATAGAAACATTAACGATTAGATGCACATAGAGCAGGTACACTTGTCATTACTCCATGTTTCAATTAGTCGTTTAAACTCATTTAAGTCAGATGTACATCTTAGATCATTAGATAAACTATTCCAGATTTTAGATGCTTCAAAGCGAAAACTCTTTTTACCATAATTAGTTGTGCTTTAAAATATTAAATATAGCGATTAAAAAAAAAGTATTATATTAATATTATATATTATTTTAAGAAGTGTCACTACATATATCTCTCCTTTATATCACTAGATTTTTTTTTCTCAGTGACGTTGCAGAAGCACCTATCCAAGACCAGTATAGACAAGGGCTATCTAAGCTGTGCAATTATTTCCGATTGGATAGACTTTTACAATATGAAAAAAAAACAAGATCAACAAGGAAGGGCGGCATTTAATACTTCTCATGTATATTACACTCATCATCATTGTCTTTTTAATTTCTTACAAATACATCATACAATACATGTTTTTGGTCACTAGAAATAATTGTACATGATTAATTGATGATTAATCTTGTATTTTACGTGAATGGTTAATTAAAACAATTGAAATGCACACACATTCATGTTCTAAAAATATGATAAACAATATTGTGTTGAAAAAATAATTATTTTTTCTGGTTAGGCTTTGGTCCAGTAGTATGGCGCTTTTTGGAATTGTGAGATCTACGGATGCACGGTATGCATGTCACATAGGTTACAAAAAGAAAACAAATAAATGTAAATAACTGGCATGGAGCTAAATATAGATATGGTAAATTAACAGTCAGGCCGAACAAAATTCTGTATGATAAAAGTCAAAGTTGATTAGATCTTACTGCTATTTAGATTCTTGCTTGTTTTATGGTCTTTGTAATTATGTTAATTTATATAGCTTAAATAGTTATAATGTTTTATAATTTGTAAAATAAACGACTTATAATATAAAAAAGCCTCTTGCATATTGTTAACTGTTTTAGCATCATTGTTTACTTGTTGATTGAAAGGTTTTTTGAATCATGGTTTTAATTTTAAGCCATGATTGAATTTAACACACTGAGTGCCATTCATGCTGGAGACTACGTTTGAAGACATGCGGTCACAAAAAAGTGGCTCCACAAAAGTCTTATATATGGTCTCAACCCGGTACGGAATGAGACCCAACCCGTTATGTCTAGTTTCTAACTTTGGTTATTGACGGTAACGACTCCCAATGCTCGGGCAATATTTGGTAGATATTTTGATGTATATCAGGAGAAAATTTCTCTAATTCTGTCTATATTAAGACTACTCAATGATTTAAAGTGGGAGACGGTGTGTGCCATCTTTTTTAAGCCTTATTTGTGTGAGAGTTGGCTAATCTTACTTTGTCAGAAGACATAGCAGCCCATGAGGATATGGTAACCTCTTTGCTAACCTTAAGATTACCTCTGTTTGTCTTTATTAATATCTTAAGCAAACAATGTAGGGTAGATATGTTGGTACTTTACTTTATTTACCATGATATATAGGTAAAATCATAATCAGTAAGTTTTATTACAATATTGAAAGAAAAAGTTATGAAAAAAGCACGTTTAATTGTGATTACTTGTATTTTAGCCCAAAATTTCATGCTCTCATTAAAAGAAATGGAGTTTTTATTACAATTTTAAAGCAATAAGGTCTTATTCTTTCATGGTAAATGACTAACTTACATTAGCCGGTAACATTAAACTTTATTCGAAGAAAATCCATTGACAGAATCAAAAGATGTGACAGAATTTGTAATATAAATTTTAGCGTAAAAATTCTATTGGCCTAGCCTGATTTTTCGCATGAAGGTTCATATTTAAGAAATTGTACTGCATTAATGTAATTTGCTAGAGACATGTCAAACCTTTATTATTGTACTTATATAACACTAAATTACTAGGAAATTAGTATAAATTTTGGATTCATTTAGGTCTCAACCCGGTACGGAATTAGACCCAACCCGTTGTAGAAAGTAGTTCTTTAAAATTTTGAAGTGGCGCAATTTAAGTCATCTCTAGTTAGATTGGTCATAATTAAAGTGTATTTATTGCATGTGTGTAGTTTTTGTGTGTTATATGATGACTTTAAAAGTTGTTTTTTGTGTATTCTCCAGGAACTCATTTGTTGGCGGAAGGATTAAAGATGTACTACCCACCAGCAGTCAGGAGTTTTTAAAGTGGTGAATTTAAACAGTGTTACAACAGAATGAAGATTTCTGAAAAAAGTAGATGGCTAACCTATTATATTTTGGGCCTCATTGGACTGAGATAGTGTTAATGTTTAAAGTTGAAGATAGTATATAATTCATCAAGAACAGTGGAATCCAGAATTATGCCTTAAATGTGATTGATTTACTATATAACATAGAAAATGAAAATTCACCGGGCCGAGTCCATATTTAGGAGTTGTACTTTAAATATTATTAATAATGATGAAAAGCTGATTCCTATAAATTTCTACAAGGGTCTGTTTAAACAATTTATCTCGGCAGGAAACCTTCTAGCTTCTGTGATATTGGTAGGCAATTTTGCACTCCGTTGCGCCAAAAGATCTCCGATGTCTATCCAGTCACAGCGGCACAACGCCTCTTTTAAAGTCGATAGGTTATATTCGAGCATCTAAAATAATTGTTTAGCACTTGTAAGTAAGTATGTTTTAAAAAATTTCATGAATTGTACATGTTTAATTGCATTGAAAGGTTATATGCCTGGTGAAATGGGCATTTCATGGTGCAACGGAGATTTTTAGTTTAGGGTACAGCATGTACGTTTATAAATCATAATTATAGTAAACTATAGTTAACGTTATTTTAATATTCAAATGGACAATTTTCGACTTGTAATGTTTTGAAAGATTATATAATGAAAATGGACTTATCCTCAGTGCAGATTTTGCTTTTTTGGTGCAACGGAATTTTTTTAAAAAAAAAGCGTTTGTCCAAGAAATAAAATGTTTGTCCTAAATAGTAATTTGAAGAATTAAATAATTGAATTAGTTTATTAAACGTATGTTGTTTTTTTAATGTGGAATTAAATTTTGTTTTGAAAGATTATATGAAAATGGACTTTTACGCGGCGCAACAGAAATATGCATGTATTTAAGCACAACGTATGTTTTTCCTTTAAAGGACGCGTCCTGAATTACAACTTTGAAAATGGAATTGAACAAACATATTGAATGTAGCATCATATTGAAAGTCTTTTCTTTAAATTAAATAACAAATTCTGAAAATAATTGTTAGAAGAATTACAACCTTGGAAACATGGACTTATTTTCGGCGTAAAATATCGTTCTGCACAAAGGAGATTTTCTTCTTTTAGGGTGCTTAATAGAGTCCAGTTATAGCAACGAAATCAAATAGAATGCAGTATCGTAATGGAAGGAAAAGGATTAATGACTAAGTGGTTTAGGTATTTTTTCTCAACAAATGTAAATTTGAACACAACTTTGTTCACGGCCATGTTTCCACAGTACCCGTTATTACCAGGAAACAGATATGAGAAGTCAAATATGTAGGATAACTTATAACTTAAATTCTTTCATAAGAAGTGTCAGTTTTTTTAAGCTGTGTATAAATCATAAATAAAAGATGGCACCGCGACACATGATTCTCAAAAATGGTGGAAATTTCTATGTCAAATTAAATATTATTAATGTTATAATCAATAAACACCCGCGCCAAACACGTGCACGATATGTAGCTAATTGCTAACGATTTCTGCGTATTTGATTGCTGGCTCCATTTGTTAATATCATAATTTTGCTTTTGATTAAATGTACAATGTATACACAACATTTTTTACAAAATTACACTTTAATAAATGAAAGTGGGTGAATTCGTTGCCGCAATTGAGATCATGGACCATGTAATTAAAAATCTTCTTTTTTTGCAAAATATCCCTGTTGTGCGAACGAATTTTCCGATTTGAAATTTGCTTTTTTACATATTATTATAGTAGTAGTAGTAGTAGTAAACTTAAACTAAACAATTATATGAAAATATAATCTCCGATGCACTGAAAATGTGCCCATTTCGCCGTCATGTAAATATTATTTAGATTTATTCTATTTTCAACAATAAAGGAAAGTAAATCATTTTTAAAGGCTATTATTTATTATTCTCAAGTTGTATTACTTACATCACGATTTTAAGTTATCTTTAAACATTATACCCGTTATACAAATCTTTATTTTCCGTTGCGCAGAAATTATGTCCATTAATTTGACCGTTCATTTAGAATCTGATATATTCACTACCTAAATCAAATTAAACATATATAATATATGTTAAAAATATAACCAATACCAACAGAGTTATGAAAAGTATGACAACAATACAATGAATGCTGCGGTATAGATGGATACCGAAAATAAGCTAATTTCGCGAAAATAAGATCGCCGCTACTATGAATGGAATCCGGGTCAGCTCGGCCCTAAAACGTACTCGGCCCCCGAGTCAGCTCGGCCCTATTCCAACTCGACACGGGTCAACTCGGCCCACTTTTCAATTATTAATATTTAGGTTTGTGTTAACACTACTTATTGTAATTATTGTAATTATTTATAATACACGGATTGACAGTTTCGAACTAGCAGCAGACAAGCTTTTCTTATCAGTAGAATTGCGAGTAAAGATAAACGATTCTGTTCTGTTCTTTATTACTTTAACTAGATAATGCACAGACAAGGTCTTTCTATTTGATAGAAGAGAAAAAAAAACGTATGACACGTGTAAATAAATTTCGGCAACAATCAATGCGCTTATACGGAAGATTTAATTAGAAGCTTAAGATATTAAGTAAACACGTTTTTGTTTCATTTTTTTAAATATTACTTTACAAACACATTTTATTAGAATTTAGATCTATATTAATTTTATCGAATCTGCAAGACAGATAAATAACTTTTTTTTCTAAATATACTTTATTTCAGAAGAAGTACAATGTATAATTATATAATAATAAGATATTTCTTATTATTCATTTACCTTAACAACATGCAAAGCAAAGTTAATATGTTATATATATTTTTGTAAAGTGGCCCTATTTGACCCGTGCCGAGTTGACCCGTGCCGAGTTGGTATAGGGCCGAGTTGACTCTTTTCCTATGAATGCTGGTAATAAAAACTTGATTTTAGTTCGTATCTAGTTCTGTATCTTCAAAAAATGACTTTATTCCTCACATACTTATGCAAAGTCAAAAAATGCATTGCTAACGTACAAATTTATTATTTTTTGCACCCATTGTGCTCGTTGCGCCAAAATATCTCCATTATGTATTTTAGTAGTACCAATCGACGAGGTGTTCCGAGTGCAAAGAATACTCTTCACAAATAAAACAAAAAATATCACGGTAAATCAAGGCGCTGATTACAAATGTGTAAAATGATTTGATAGCGCATTTTTACAGATTTGTGGAACACGTATGTATTTTATAAGCAGTGAGACAGATATTTCTATTGACCTTTAATTTCGAACAAATTGCGCTGTTAGCTAAAAGGCACTGAAATTAAATAGATTATTCGCCACATAATTACTCGCTCCAGTTTTAGTTGGAGAATAAATTATTTCAGTAGCTATAGTGGAACCCCGATAAACACTTTCAGAACTAGCTGACGACAGGCTATTCTTATCAGTAGTATTTCGAGTAAAGATAAAAGGTGGCGTATCTCCCAGTATAAATCGTATGTAAAATGGTCTGACCATAGGTGTTCGGTGCTTTGATTAGTCACTGCCCCCGGGCCCCCCTCACCCACTCTACAACCCTTTTACCTCTCAAAACCATGTAAAATTTAGCATTTTTAATTTGAAACATGTTTTAATATTTGGTACATGCTTTTAATTCAATTACTTTCATTTCCCAAAAAATAAAAAATTGATATAGATCTAGATAATCTATATATTTAGCAAAAGTTTTTTCCAGTACTCCTCTTAATATGAACTCCATAACTCAAAGATTTTTTCACCAATTTTCAATATCTTGGTACCAAATGATAGGGAATTGATTACTCTTAAAGGAAATAGTTCAAATACAGCTGTCATTGCAATCATTTCAAGTTATAAGAAGATATGTAATCTCAAAGTCACCGCAAGCGTAACTCGACAGAGACGTGACCGCTCGTTTTTTTTCAAAATTACCCGACTAAACGGCAGTTTATTGGAAATGAATGAATATTTTTTGAAATGCGCATATATATATGATCAAATTATATTATTATTTGTAATGACTGTTCAATCAAAACATCATATAAAGTTATAACAAACCGTTTTTCCTATTTGCCAAATTCTCCAATCAGAAATGAAAGTACACATGTATAAACGGATGCATTCGTATGGGGTATTTTCATTGGTCGTGTGAAAAACCTTTGACCAATAAAAATACTCTGTACAAAAAAAAAAGAGGAGATCACTCTGCAGGACCATTACTTGGATTACGATTTTGAATTTGACATATCGGGAAAACGGTTTGTAAATGTAAATGCTATAACAGAAGGATCAAAATAAATTATTTACAATAAGGATTCAGGGAAGTTTTATTTCTTTTAAATAAGATGTGATTTATGAGTATCTAGATATCTAGATGGATACAACAGGGTTTCAGGCTTCCAAAGATCTGGAAACATAGTGGTCCATCAAAAGCATTAATCACAACAAAATTACATGAAAATTGCAGACTCAGTTTGATTGTGTCTGTACATTAGGGATAATGATTAAATGCAACATCTCTCATGGCCCCTTGCACGGGCCTGAGCGTTACTCAATTCTCAACACTTAATAGTGCTGGCATCAATGATCCCAAAATACCAGAAAATTATAACAACACTGAAGTGAAGTAAGGGGCAACTTTTTACGGCTGCCACACATCACTTGACACCAGCTGTTCTGAAGTATAAAAATCTATAAACATAGTGATTCCTCGAAAGCATTAATCATAACAAAATTACAGTTGTCATTGAGTCTGTACATGAGGGGTAATGATTAAGTGCAACACCCCACATGCCCCCTAGCCTAAAATCCATATTTTATTATCCTAACCCTAACCCACAAACCCTAACCAATAACACTAACCCTTATCCGTAACCCAAAAAGTAATTTGATTTTGAGTTGTTTTTAGGTAAGGAAGTGGCTAGTCATACCAGTCCTTAGGACCAGCCAAAGTTCTAGTTGTACGGAATCACCAGGACACACTAGCGGTACAGCACTTTTCACAGTAATATGAAAATCAAAAATGCATGTGTTATTTCATGTCTTTAAATGAGGATTTTAAATAAACCAAGAAAACATCGTATGGCTTCGTATGAATCGTCCTGTTTGCCACTGTCAGGGATTTACCGAACACTTGATCCTGTGTCATATACGCATAAAATGCCATCCTGTACGCACAAAAAAATAAATCCTGCGTACACATGAACGCAGAAAAATTGTCTAAAGTACCGGTAACTGTAATTTTCATATTTTAAAATAAATTCTTAGTACCATGGGCACACAAAAATTGTTTGTCATATTTTACATACTGGTTGGTCATAACTAATAGATGACCCCTATTGATTTTGGGGTCATTAGGGCAGAGGTCAAGGTCACTGAGGTTTTAAATGTCAAAATGGTTTCCGCTTATTATCTAGAAAACTATTTATCACAAAGTCTTCATATTTCACATATTGATTGTTCATAACTATTAGATAACCTCTATTGATTTTAGGGTAACTATGTATAAGATCAAGGTCACAGGGGCCTTAAATGTCAGAATGGTACAAAGTCTTCATGTTTCACATATTGATTGGTCATAACAAGTAGATGTCCGCGAATGATATTGGGATCACTGTGTCAAAGGTCACAGGAGCCTTAAATGTCGGAATGGTTTTTGTCATTATCATGAAAACTATTTATCACAAAGTCTTCATATTTCACATGTTTATAAGTCACAATGGGGTCACTAGTTCAAAGGTCAAGGTCTTTATATTTCATATATTGATTGGTTATAACTAGTAGGTCATTATTTTTCTTTTTTCTATAACTGAACAATTCCATGTACCCATATATGGTAAGTTACAAATTACCTTATGTGTCGTTCAACATTTCTTGTTATATTTAATTTGATAAAAATGTGTTTAATTATAAATAAGAAGTATCTCCAATCCATACAGCAAATAAGTATGTAGATTATCATATATCATAATAATTTGTGTTTATTTATTTTTAGACACACAATGCGGGCACAATGTATCATTTGTCAGGAACTGTTTGAGAATGATGATCAGGTATAGATATAAAGGTGTCAGTTGTGGGGTCAATGTCACTGTTACTAAAAATAGAAAAATGGCTTCCAGACAATAACTAGAAATTTACTAAGGATGATATTGTAGAGGTAGTTTATGTACATATTTTTAATTTATAAGGTCAGAAGTTTTAAAAGACAAATGCCTTCAGACCATGTTTTCATGACTATCAACAAAGCATTTTGTAGATTTTAACCAAGCTTTAGCCTTTACTGAAATTATTTACAGATGGACTTAATAGTTATACAATGTGATAATGATTTTTGATATATATTATATAATTAAAATATTTAAGTTTTGACATGTTATACAGATTGCATGTAATATAATGTATACATAGTTGATATTTGAGGTATTTGTTTGCAGGTGATATCGGCAATTAGTTGTGGTCATACATTTCATAATCATTGTTTGAACCAGTGGTTAGAGAATGGTAGGACGTGCCCTAGCTGTCGTGTACAGGTTGATAAGAGAAAGATCATCGAAAGGTATTATTAATAACAACACTATATAACAGTAATGAATATGGTAATTTAGTTGTGACAGATCTATTGATAAAGGATATATGGTAATTTAGTGGTGACAGATCTATTTGTTAAGTATATGGTAAGTTAGTGATGATAGATCACTAACAGAACAGGGAGAACCCCCCCCCCCCACACACACACAGAACTTATTTTCTAAATTTTGACAACCTCATTTATGTTTGCAAGTTCAGACTTAGTAGCATTTTTGTGACCCATTGCAAAAGACAACTGCTCTGACACACCTTGTGCTCTAGCATACTAGGTTTCTAACATACTAGGTAAACTGCTGACCTGTTAATGTACCTCTGTTTAGCATAACAAGGTCAGTTAGTCCATCCTAGCTGATTCTCCACACCATAAGAGACCCACCCTGCAGCATTCAGGCTCAACAGAATTTCCAGCATGAAACCTTTGCCCAGGTGTTCTCCAGAGTCTGGCCTGTCTGTCAGTCAAGTCTAGGGAAATCTAGACTTATCAGTGAAGAGAACATGTCTCCAGTTTTGTCTGGTCCACCTAACATTCCTGGTGGTCATGATGAGTAAATGGAATTCTTAAACAAGGTCTTCTTGATTGCAGATTACCCTCTTTTAACCTTCTGTAATTCTATCATCTATCTACCATCTGCATTGCTGTTGCAAACCGTCCATGAGGGGCCTGAATAATCAAGAATAATCTTGAGCTGATGTCGTCACCTATTGTCTGCCTCTGCCATGCCCACATAAAAAATTGTCTGCTCCCACATCAGGAAAATGAGGGGCTCCCACATCAGGAAAATGAGGGAATCATGCTTTCATGACCATGTGGCAAACTCTACTCAAGAAAATATCTAGCAATTAGGTTGGAGGCCACCTCAAAACATTGCTAGTGTAATTGTAAACTAGAGCCTAATTTTAAAAAGTTCAATATTGTGTAATAAATGTTTCAAGTCATTTGATGATACATGTATCTATATTATACTTACAGATTATATTTTGATGCACCTGAAGATAATGACGGTGTTGTAGATGATGGAAAACTGCAAAATGAGATAGACAGACTTAAATTAGAGGTAAATGATTTATTGATTGAAATGAGATAAACAGAATTGTGTTGGAGTTGAAATATATATATTGTTTAAAATGAGATAAACATACTTATGCTGGAGGTAAATTGTATTATTTTAAATGTGATAAACATAGTATTACTTATGTTGGAGGTAAATCATATTGTTTCAAATGAGATAAACAGACTTAAATTGGAGGTAAATAATATAATAATTGAAATGAGATAAACAGAATTGCGTTGGAGTTAAAATATATATATCGTTTAAAATGAGATAAACATTTTTATGCTGGAGGTAAATTGTATTGTTTTAAATGTGATAAACATACTTATGTTGGAGGTAAATTATATTGTTTCAAATGTGATAAACATACTAATGTTGGAGGTAAATTATATTGTTTCAAATGTGATAAACATACTTATGTTGGAGGTAAATTATATTGTTTTAATTGCGATAAACATACTTATGTTGGAGGTAAATTATATTGTTTCAAATGAGATAAACATACTTATGTTGGAGGTAAATTATATTGTTTCAAATGAGATAAACATACTTATGTTGGAGGTAAATTATATTGTTTCAAATGTGATAAACATACTTATGTTGGAGGTGAATTATATTGTTTCAAATGAGATAAACATACTTATGTTGGAGGTAAATTATATTGTTTTAAATGAGATAAACAGACTTATGTTGAGGTAAATATTATTTAGTTTAAGATAAGATAGATAAACTTACAATGGAGGTAAGTATTGTGTAAGTAACCTTTTATATAGTTAAGATAGTCAGACATAAACTTTAGGTAAATATAGTGCTGTATACTTCAAAATGAGCTAGACAGACTTACACTTGCAATCATTTATAAATACATGTATATAACAAGAAAATACAAGACATTTTTCTGGTCGGAATTATAAATTGAAGTCTTGAAAATTAGACAGGCATAAACTGGAAATAGATTGTAAATATAAAATGATAAATTGAATTTCGGTGCAGTTATAAGGTAACCTATATGCACTTGTGCATTTTATTATGTGAATTTTGGTGCTTTTATGCAGGTAAATTGTTTAAATAGGATAAATTGATTGTTTTTATGTGATAAATAAAGGTACATTTATTAGGTGTATTATGACATAGTTGTGAAGAGAAAAAACCTGATGCATTTATATTAAATTTGGTACATTTAATACGTAAATTGTAATGAAAATTTATCAATTCACTTATGGTGTTTTTCATTAAGTAAACTATGTTATAACAGGTTAGAAAACGAGACAAAGAAAAAAATGATATAGTGAAGGAAAAGGGGAAACAAGATGATAGGATTGAGGAGCTACAGAAAGCCAGAGATAGAATGTCTAAACTGCTTAAAGAGGAACAGACTAAAGTCAGTGCTCATCTGAAGACGTTGAAGTATTATGAGAGCCAACAGAAATCATTGGATCTGGAACGACAGGAGTACCGTAAAATCAAACAGAAATTAGTGACACTACAGAGCCTTGAAGTCCTGCTTAATGGTTTGATTTTATTATTTTTTATTGACTTTTCATGTGTACACATTCTGATCAAAATTTTCAGGTTGTTTTTGGTTGTGAATCCAGCTTGGCTGCTGTTAGTGGATAGGTACTTGTATGGTTTTTACCCGAACAAGCGTAACTTTACACCAGGTTAATGGACTACCTAGTCATCTATACGTCTTTTAGAAAATTTAAATATTTTTCAAACCAATAGAAAGCTATTACACTTGGCAGAGATGTTGACCATATTGAGATGATATGCAGAGCGCAGGTTTGACCTTCCTCATGTCAAGGTCACAATCAAAATGTATGAATTTCAAAATTTCTTGTCTGCTGGTTATCTTTTGAACCAATTTAAACTTTTTGGCAGAAATGTTATGCAAAATGCATGTTAAGATTTCCTTACATCAAAATGTGTTTTAAACTAGGATAACCAGGGATTAGATATTTGGCATGTAGCATTGTAGGCTTTGCTTAATGTGTCAGACAAAAGTTATATTAATGATGACCTTGAACAAAGTTTGTCCTGCCCTGGAGGTCACTTGCTTCATGTAGACTTATGTATATGAAAACACATCAGATATTTTTTGTGGAAAAAATTCAATGCCTAGAGCTTAGATATTTGGCACGAGCATTTATTGTTTGATAGACCTCTTCAAAAGTTTTATGAAACATTCACCTGGGGGAAATGCCCTCACCATGGTGGTCATTTAGTAGCATAAGAATAAGTAAGATTAACCATTTTTCAGACATGTTTCATGTATGGGTGTCTTCTCTAATTGAAAGATTATTGTAGATTTTGGGATTTTTACATTGAAGTACATTTTTTGTACTAACTGACTACTGCTGTTCATTTCAACTTACCTACAAAACACATTGTCCCATTAAGAGCACCTGGCATACCAGTTTGGATGTCCACCTTGCCATAAAATTGAAAATGCATATCATTGGAATTAATACTTTCATACACTGCACAAATTCCAATGTCTAAGATATTGTTAACCATTATATCTGCGGTGTCTGAATAGATGTTATCTGTAACTTGGCAAATCAGGGTTTTTCACCCCCCAGCTAATCCATAGTTACAAACAAACTTTTACTGTTATAGCTTCACGGTGCGTTTACCATCACAATTGATTAGTCAACCTGTTGAGCTTATTTTCAAAGCTGTAACTGTCAAAAGTTTGTATGTACCCACAGTTAAGCTTGGAAATACCTAAAATATTCTTAAGTCTATTAAAGTGTGCACCTGTTGTACATGCAGTACTGTTTTCTAAGTGTAATCAAACCTTAATTAAGTGTGCAATTGTCAGGGATTGATTGTAAACAAGAGTGTGTTTGTTTCTAGACCATAAAATAGTGAATGTTTGATATTTGACTCTCAAATTTTATACTTGACCTGTCAGACATTTGCAAATTTTAACTTGCATGATAAATAAGCCTTCTTACTATTGTAAATTTTTAACTCCTGTGTTTACTCACTTCATCTGTGTTTGCTTGTCACTGCTACAAATTTACTTGAATGATCAACAAGTAAAATAAACAAATAAGCAGATTTTTTCAAATGGTTTTGCATGCTTTCCACACCTTTGGCTACCTTAAAGGTCTAAATAACTTGTTAACTGTACTTGTCTGAACAAATTATTTAAAAAAGTGACCACTTTTTTGGGGCCATCCCCCTTCCAAAAGATACATCAGGCCATCCTTAAAAAAATGTTTGTTTGCAGTAACGCGACCGACTCAAAAAATTTGCCCCTACTCAAAAACTTTTTCATGGTCTGGATAAAAAAAATTTTTTTTTGAATCAGAAAATTATGCCTTGTGCTTTGTTTTCGTTCTTTTAAAGGTTAATAGAAGAAATAAAATGTAGGTCTTATTAAATTAGAATTCAGTTATCAATTTATTAATTGTTACCAGATTATCAAAGCATATATTGTCCAGCATTTTGAAATTCCATGTTAATTTGGGAGTACAGCTCAATAAAAAAAAAAAAAAATCGACCTACCTACCCACCTTGAAAATTTTGGGTCGGGTTACTGCAAACAAACATTTTTTTAAGGATGGCCTCAGGGGGTTGCCAGAAGGGGGATGTGCCCCCTTCTGTTTCGGGGGTTTGAAGGGGGCGGTAGTCCCCCTCATTACCAAGAAAATTTTGGACTTTTGAGAGGCTAAAAATGACCCCAGGTCGATCATAAGGTATCGTGTAACCGCTGAAAAGCCTTTGACTCTATCTCAATCCATTGAGATGTTGCAGCACTTTGAAATCAATTTTGATGGAAAAAATCAACGCAAAATAGTGATTTTTGGCAATTTGCCACAGTAACAGGAAATTTAAGGCTGAGCATGTTGTTACAAAGGCAATGGTCCAGTCAACATATGTGCCAAGTTTGATTAGTATTGAAGGAGTTTTTATAGTTTTATCGCAACTTGAACTTGTAACGGTAGACTTTTCAATGAAATCAGCCATTTTCACAAAACGCTCATGTGGTAATTGGTTAAATATATTTGTGATAGGTGAAAAATACAATTTATGGGGGAAGTCGTGACCCATATGAGTGTTATAATGAGCTTTTTGTTATATTAGGGCACATTATACAGTTGGATTAAAAAAAGAACAATTGTGTTTATGTAAGCAATAAAATGGATTTATCCTAAAAAAAAGGGAGAGCAGAGTCAATATTAAATTTTATAGAGTTAATTGCACCGACAAATTTTGTGTTGGTGTAATTGGGAAATTACTGAAGTGTTTCATACTTACAGGCTCTTGGAATGGGTGTGAGACACAATCCTGGAAATAATCTTACCATACATGTAGCACATGTTTGCATTAATATGTGGTATTTTTAGCAATACCTTCTGTGTTGCAATACCATGCAGTATATTTAGTGAAAGCCATATATGTAGTATGGGTTGCAATGCCGTATGTTACATTTAGCGATAGTAGAAAACCTGTATAGAATTGGAGATGTTTTCATGGTGGTTTTCTTAGTCAGTTTCTATAATAAATCTAATACACTTAATGTGACTCAAGGCCTTTAACTCCTGCCGTCTTATTACAGTCAATAAAGTTTTAAGTTGTTGCCCTTTATTTAATGATGAATCCATATACCATTATTCTTTAATTCACAAGCTTATTTAAACCTGAAAATACCTACTTGTATGTAAAATCCTTTACATACTACACAAGTTATTTCCCCTGAGTGTATAAATACTGTGTAACATTTCTATTGATGAATGAATTATAGAATTCTTGGTGGTGGGAGGAATTTTATAATATTGTGTTATTAAGTTTATATATGCATCTGAGTGCCTGAGATATATATTAATATTAAAATGAAAAAAAGAGTTGCTAGTCCTTCCATGAGAAGATAAATTCTTGTAAATGATTTATCATAAATTCATGTAAATTATTTATACCTGTGACGCATTATTAACTTTTACTTAAAGTTCAATTAACCACTAGGAAGACAAAAATTCAAGAATTATATTTCATAACGCAGCAAGCATATCCCCAAATCAAGTTGAAAAGTACTTGGAGCATTTTCATGTAGGGAGGTGTCTCGTAAAAAGGTCAGCAAAAATACCAACAGTTATATGTGAGCTTACCGGAGGGAAATAAAAATGTTCACAATTCTTAGTTTGAGTATTTAAAGAATAGAGAGAAACTTACCCTGTCATATTGGTGCCACAGTCACACTTCGGTAAAGTTTTTGCGTGCAAGTTGATATCTTCAAAACTACTGACGGGAATTAATTGAAACTTTACACACTTGATCTTTGTGATTATCTTACATGATGGGCACAGGTACCATAACTCTGAGTTACCTTTTTCACAGAGTTATGCCCCTTTTCTTTTTGTCAGGCACTGAGAATAGTTGAGCATGCTATCTGTGCAGAATTTGACAGACGATAAATGACATGCAATCTAGGATTGGGTCTACTTGTAAGTGATGACTTTTATATGAAATATAAAATTATGTCACTATTTTAATTATATATATGATATCTTTGTACTAGGACTTTTTTACTGCCAAAACTCTTGAGTTGCCAGTTAACAGTGAGGTTGAGGTCCATAGGAGGTGATCTAGCTCAAAAAAAAAGAAAAAATTTGTAAGCTAGATGGTGAATTTTGAATAATAAAGGCTATTCATTGTATTTTGTCTTAATGATGAATAATAATAAGAGCAATAATATAACTTGTTTGAAAAGTACAGTGATTTTTTCCCAGTTTTCAAAACAACCTGTGGCTGTCTGAAGGGGAAAATATAGTGCAATAAATCAGAAAAGGGGTAAACCTGAAATCAAATTCCATCAAATGAAAATGGAATTTACCCACACACCCACACATTTTACAGTTTTATGAATTTTTTTTTATATCAATTCAATTTAACATGCATGGTACATAGCAGAGGCTATCTATAGAGATAGCTTTCAGTCTTTGAGCAAATATAAGTCAGATGCTGTTAAGTCATGGTTCTGGTAAGGAAGAGCACGAGGCATTTTAGGGAAGAATATTAGCATTTTTAGGGGAAAATATACCTATTCTGGGCTAGGGGAAACAGCCTTTATTCGGCTGTAAAATACAGCGAAAAAAATCACTGAAGTATTATCAAGAATTTAACATTATCAAGAATTTAACAATTTTAAAATCAGTTAAAATCATGCTTTTATTATAATATCATTGAATGGGAAAATATTTAAATTTGAAAATCTTGGGTAAAAATTCATATTTCACAGTAGGAAATAAATATATCTTGAATAATATTTTGATCCGATTCCCCCCCCCCCCCCCCCCCCGGCATAAGTCCATTTTCAGTGACAGCTCTTGTTTTGTAACATAATCAGAAATGTCTGTAGAAAAGAATAAATGATCAAACTGAAATAATTGTCAATAAAAATGATATGCAGTTCAAAAAAAAAAATTAAAAAAAAACCCCAAAAAAATGGGATAAAGCAAAAAAATTTAATCAAGTAATTAAAACTATCAGCTTTAATTTTACT